ACCTGGCAGCCACCTTGGCTGCAGCGCGAGGCCCACGAAGCCATCACGCGCTTCTTTCCGGGCCTTGCAGATGATGTTGGCGGCAAGAGGCAGTAGATCGATCGGGTCGGCTGCTAATCAGGCATAGCAGTTCTCTTATCACATTGTCCGTCATCGGCATCGACGATACCTCGGCCTTGAAGGCTTCATTGACCGGCTAGAAGCGCGCGCTCTCACGGCAGCTCGTCACCTGGCTTGATATTCACTCGGGATGGCGATAAGGCAGCGCAAGACGCTTTTGCCTAAAGAACAGCTTAGGCCAGACACAGCGTCATACATCATCTGGTATGTCCGTGAAAGAGGCTGGAGGCACGATGGCCATCGCCTGCTTTCTCTATACCGCCTTCAGCAATGCGTCAATTCTCATCCTACCCTACGCAAGTCGACATCATCAGCCCTGGGCTGTCGTCGTCTTGGTATCCCCGTTTTACTCTCCGGCACTACTTTCCTTCGTTACGACGTCTTGACTTGTTTCATTCTCATGCCTACCATTCGTCGTGAGCACGGTACCTGCAGCCACAATCAGCATATCCATGAACTCGCCGGGCCCCCACTCCGCTACGACGCTGTTGCCATTGCATCTCTCGTGGAGTCGGGGTGCTTTGACTCCCGCTCTTCTACCAGATTGATCACTCTGAAACTTTGACAGACAAGTGCCTTGTGTTTCAGCTTTTTTCGGCGGGCATCCCGCTTACAGAGCGCTGACTGCATATTCGGCGTGATGGCACGAACTGTGCAGATGTGTTGGTTGCACAGAGGATCGGCTGTTGTGAATCACGAGCTGCAGGCCGGCGAGCAACGGCGTCGACGTGAGCCCCTACTGTACTCATACCACCTATATGTGCACGAGAGGCGCTATCGTCTAGCCTCACAGTTCGGTCAGCGCTGATCATCCCTTCTGTTGTCTCGACTCTTCCATCCATCCTGTGGCCCGCCACATCTGTGCGCATGCATGTTCACCAACACGAGAGCCACCGTACCTTCCCCCCTATCCACCCTCCTAGACCCTTCTAAGCTCAGATCCGTATGTGATCCGGTCGTGCAAGGTGGCCGGAAGGTGTGCCGGTCCCACCGGCAGGGAAGGAGATCTACTCTTGAAACCGCCGGGGTCCCTGGGCTTTGAACTCTCCGATGGACCGTGGACGATGGGCTAACCCTTGAACGTTCTGCTTGGCAGTGAGCTGCGGCATAAACTTGAAGATCCAGAAGCTTTCTCGACCAGGTCAAGGGCCCAACACTGTGAGCCGGCGGCGACTCTGCGCAGATCCTCAGCACATCCCATGGGCCGATGTGCTCACAGACGCCCCGTCGCATTGCCTTCTTGGGGCCCGGCAGGGCTGCCTGCTGGGGACGGCATGGAAGCAGTGGCCGGTTGGTGCTTTCATGCCCTAGCTGCCTAGCAGCAAAACGCATGAGCATGTTGTTGTCAAGCCAGGCTGTAGCGTCTTTTTCTCTCTCGTGCGTCATCAGTTGATTTCTTTCCAGTTATTCCTTTCCCAGGGGACCAGGCAAGCAAGCTACTTGGAACCAGCAGATGGGAGACCCTGATATGAACTTGTGAACTCCAGCCACCATTCTCTCGCTCCTACGGTGGGTTCCTACATGGACAATCCTGACAGTCGTGATAGGGCTCATCTACTCTAGCAGAATCTTCAGCCTGCTAATCTATGATCTGGAAGGCTAAAGCAGCATCGCCTGCCTATTTGCGGATCCCATCTGAGGTCTTTCTGAGGCTAGACAGTCTACTCAGTGGACCCTGGAAAGACCCTGAACCGTACGTACGCCTCCGCTACCTATTTCGGGTTTGGAACCACATTCTACGGAGCGGTTTCGATGTGGTCGGACCCTGCTGTGCTGTGCCGTGGGCTTTTCTCGGTGACTATTAGGTAACTAACCGGCTGTGTGGACGGACGTTGAGAGCTTTGACCTCACAAGCAGCCCACTCCCGTTGCGCGATTACCGCCTTCGCACGACACACGATAATCGCACAGAAGCCAGCTGGCCTTCCTTCGATACCACAAACGTTTTAGTTCGGATTGTTACTGACAGCGGGAGCCCAGAGTCTCGCAGACTCGTCTGTGCCCCCCGAACCGTCCGATCTCGTGGTTGGCTGGTGGCCGGACCGGGGATTTGTCGTTGACGAATATGTTGTATGATCGCCCTAGGGCCCCTGGGGCATCATGGCCGTACTAGGTACTGGGAGATATCGGCCTCGTGCGTGGACGGTCTGGCTGCTGTCTACGTCAGCGGCTCCTTGAGGCTGGGCGGACGTGTCTCGCTAGTTCTATGTAGACTCGGTTGCGGATGCCATGCGAGCGAAGTGGTGCTTAGCTTAGATTGTTAGGGTGTTGAGACCTCTGTGATGGTACGTAGCCGTGTCTGATGAGGCTGAACATGCTTTTGTATATCGATTATAGGACTCATCCATCTTTCATGCCCTGGGAATGGTCAGAGTTTGGGTTCGGCTAGGTCTGTATTTTCGTCCTTGCGCTGCGGTTACCCTGTATGCTGATATACGTCATGGATGTAGACTTTGTTGTAGATTGGTTGTTAGACTCGCTGCCATGTATGGTTGTGTGTGTACTGTGTCCACAAGTATCTTGTGACTCCCCATTCTAAGACTAGAATCCTTCGAGGAATAACTATGGTCTTGCCCCTGAGCTTTCATCTGGGCGGTAGGGCTTCGCCATAAAGACCAGCGCATGATAAGTCGCTTTGTGAGGGTAGTTGGTATGCCGTGAAATAGGAGGGTTTCCCCTTTCATGTATACGCGCTGACCCTCTTTGCTTTGCTTGGTGCGGTGCGGTGCGATGCCTGTCTCTTACTTAGGCTTCGTTCGTTACTCCTAACGGTGAAGAGGTAGGTGACCGGAAGCACGCGTCAACCCCAAACCAAGACGAGCGAGCAGCGTCAGGATTCTCGGACGAAAGCATTTCGCAAGCAGTCATTGAAGTACGTTGGAGCAGGAGGGACGGACCTGGCGTGTCTGCCGCATCAGTCGCTAGAATGTCTATCCCAACGACATGATGACGTTCGAATCTCATCTCCCGGTGGTTTTATTGCTGCCGTTGCTGCTGCTCATCGTCGTGTTTTGAGGCTGGTCATTCTAATGGATCAGAGCTCTCCGCGGTATGGCTCCTGATACTCGACGGTAGCTACTACTATACCAAGGTATATACGGCAGTGTAACACATATACTATATTCAGGTCCTCACCTCCGATCGACGCTGGTTCCATTCTAGGAAAATGTACCCTTATTCAGCGGGTGATGCTTCATTTTATGTTATTATATTTCATAGTTATCTCCAAGTCATTCTGGCACAGAGACGCCGCCGGCGAAGTCCCCAACCGCGCTCTATTTCCTGTCGTCCTCTCTGCCTTGACCTTCCACGCTGGATACGAAGGCCAGGCCCTCCTGGAGAACCCTCATTCTACTAGGACACGAGCAGACTGCGACGGTGAGGAGTTGGACAGTTCAATCTATGTACCAAGCGTACCTAGTGATCGTGGCGAGCCGCTCGTAGCAGTGTGCCCTGACGGTAAGACGGACGGTCCGACTTTCGATCAAGGCTTTTTGCGTGATGCTCTATCATCATTTGTGGCTCGATCTTAGTGTTGGTCTTGCCGCCGTCAAGGAGCGTGGAAATATTTGGTCAAGACGTCAGTCAGAATTCTCCTTCGTTCCCAACCAACCACCCCTCGTGCTTCCCATTGCATTCCCGCGCGATCACCACTCGCCCACCCACCCACCTCACCACCGCAGCTCTTCTAGCGGTTAAATCCTTCGTGACGCATGCCGAGTCGGTGTTACTACCTTCCATACCTTGTGGATAAATCTGTGGTGGTGTTTTGCACATCCTCCTTCCTTCCCTTATGTGCCCACTTTGCTCCCTCCTTCTCAGGAGAGAAAATGAATGAATTCCTTCGCGTTCGCATAAGTTCGGACTCCAACAGCGCTACATACCATGGATCAGTTTTGTCAGCATACCAGGACCGTGGACTTGGCGTTTGGCATTGCAGCTACCAGGTAGCCACAGAGAAAGTCGTCAATTATCGCACACGTTGATAGGAAACTATTCGCAGTCCCAATATTGAGCAAGCCCCTGGCACTTACTTCAGCTGCCACTACCTACCACGCATGGGCGGATCAAACTTGACCGTGGCCGCATCGCGCATGTGTGGAATATACTGATGAGCAAGGATTGGCAGAAGGTCAGGCAGCCCACTCGCCGTTCGATTCCCAGCAGCGAATCTGTTCGGATTAGTAGTTAGTAGGTGTTACTTCTGTTCCATCGCCACTGCTGGTGCAGCTGGGGTTGAGGGAGGGGGCCTTGGAAAAGAACATGGGGTATACCCACTCTAGTCACGGTAGACTGCACAGCGACTCGGTACCTCTGAAGCGAAGACATGACTTCTCTGAAACCCATTATATCCATAGATAGTCGCTCTATAATTATCGATGGCTGTCTCGCGAATGGGAGTTCGTAGACCACAGTCTGGGGGATACCACCATCGGCTTCCTTTCATAAAATAACCGCGAACTGCAATGGGGTCAGGTATATGTAGGTAGGTAGGTATCAATGCACAGTTGAGTTGAAAAGGTTGTTGTGTCGGCTGATGCGGTCTTGTCTTGTGCTAGGCCTGCGGTGGGGCGGGAACAAGGGGAATGGGAGTCATAGCAGGACTTGAACATTGCATTTAGGATCATGAATGAAAATCCAGAGTCAAAAGTTGAGGGATAGAATCACCACAATCAGTTTTCGAGACATGAAACGTCAACGTTGTTATAGACTACTTCGACTTTCCAAACCCGTTCGTCCTGCCAACCTGTCAACCTCCGACCGAGAACATAGGAAAGCCCCCGAATACCAGCTAGGCAAGATCAGTCATGTTCGTAATATGTTAGGAATAGGAATTGTTAAGCATTTTCCACAAGGGGTGCGCACGGAGAAGCCCACAGCTCAGCTGAGGCCCTGCGTCGCCAACCCATCGAAGACTTCATGAACAACCGCGGTGAACTTATCCACGATCGTCTCGATGACGTCCCGAGTGACATTGTACGCAGGCATGATCATGACGTGGTCACCTCTGCTCTGTCCAGCACACCCCTGACCATAGTACAGCGCCATGTTATACGGCGGCCTGAGCGCCCTCTCGTGCAGACGATGGGAAATCTGGAGTTTGGGGTCGAACGGCTTCTTCGTCTCCTTGTCCCTCACAAACTCGGTGCCCCAGAACAGTCCACGACCGCGAATATCGCCGACGTTGGGATGGGATCGCAGCTTGCTCCTGAGGAGATGCTCCAAGTACTGCCCTTGAGTACGGACGTTGGCGAGGAGGTCGTTGCTCTGGATGATCTGCTGTACCTTCATGGCGGCGGCGCAGCCGACGGGGTGGTCTTGGTAGGTGTGGCCGTGGGTGAAACTCGCTTGCTTCGACTCCATCATGTCGACGATCTTCTTGCTGACGAGAATGGCAGACACAGGCTGGTAGCCGCCGGCGAGCCCCTTGCCAACGGCTTGGATGTCCGGGAGGACGCCCTCTTGTTCCCAGGCGTGGAGCGTGCCTGTTCGGCCCATGCCACACATGACTTCGTCGAGCACGAGTAGGGCACCGTGTTTGTCGCAGACCGCTTTAATGGCCTTGAAATATCCTGGGACAGATGGGATACAGCCCGAGGCGGCGCCGACCACAGGCTCTGCGACGAAAGCCGCGACTGTATCAGGGCCAATTTCAATGAAAGCCTTATCCAACTCGGCGGCTTTGCGCAAGACGAAGTCTTCATCGATCTCCCCTGGCAGCCGCTGGCGGTAAGAGTTGCATGCTGGTATGCGGTGGACGTTGGTGACCAGGAGCGGCTCGAAGGGAGCCCTCCGGATAAGGTGTCCGCCTAGGGATAATGCGGCCAGTGTGATGCCATGGTAGGACTCGGCCCGCGAAATGTAGTTTATGCGTTGTGGTTCTCCCTTCCAGACGAAGTACTCGTGCGCTAGCTTCATGGCACCTTCTATGGCCTCGGAACCTGGAGCGTGACGTCTCAGTGAGGTACACAAGAAGCTTTTGGGGGAAGCTTTTGGAAGATGTCTTACCGGAACAAGTGACATATGACTTCGTGAAGTGGCCCCCTGAGCTTTGCGACAACCACCTAGAGAGCTCTCTTCGGCTTGGGTTGTCGAAGAATCCCCAAGCAACATATGAAACCTTCGCAGCCTGGGCCACCATAGCGTCGACAACCTCCTCGACGCCATGCCCTATGCACGCGACGGCCGCACCACCGCAAGCATCTAGTATGTCGCGTCCATCTGCCAGGCGTATATGGTTGCCCCTTGCTTCGAGAACGAGAGGCCGCTTGTCTGTCCCAGTTTCTGTAGTTGGTGGCAGTATATTGGACTGGTCATGTTCAGGGATGGGAGCTGAAGGCTCTATGCTACTCCCTAGCATGGGCCAGGACGTGCCCACCTTCTCTCCCAAAGGCAGATCCGAGCTCGACCTGAGTAATTCGAGCAGCATCATGTAGAGAATAAAGAGCGATAGGGACCGGAGAGAGTTCCATGGCGGGCTGGGAAGGTCCGAAGTAACTCATAGATGATTTATGCTTCAGTCAACCGTAGTAGGACTTGACTGCCTCCCTGCCTGCCGAGCCTGTCCGGAAAGGTCGACGAAATGTCGGCCGTATCGGACCGCACAGTACCACATATGTGACATCGTACCATGGGCGGTGATTGCCATGCAGTTGATCTGCATGCAACGTCGTCCAGCATAGTGTAGCGGCTGGTACGTCACTCACTGCAGGGCCTGGCTTTAAAAGAGCTTCGGACAAATCAAATCTAGCTTGGGGTAAGTCGGAGTTGCATGCGCAGATCGTGCAGTCTAGTGAGAGTCCTAGTAAGGTTCACGAGCCAATGATGAGACTGGCCACTCCTTCTGTGCGATGAAGGATGTAGTCGAGACCATTGGGACGCAATCTGCTCACCGCCATGCAGGTGCCAGCGTTACCTGGCAAGCCAGTTCCGTAGTCCACCACTCGGTCAACCTTCTGATTGGACGATGATGCAGATATCTGCTCTCGTCCCCTGCGCAGTCCTTGAAGGCCTCGTGGGTGCTCGCTTCACGGCTGGCCAGGTAAAGTGGCGTGCATAGTTCCACCCGACAGGGCTCGGACAGTTCTTCAGCAACGGACACTTGGATCATCGGGTCTTCGGTGTCAGATTCGGCATGTCTTTAGCTCAGGGTGGCAGAAACACTCGTTCGCACGCAAAACGCCAAAAGACAAGATTTGAACTTACTGCCGGAGTTCCAAGGCAAGTGTATCCATTAGAAATGCTTCCCAAGCCGGTCGGTCAAGTAGCGCTCCGTCCTTTAGGTACGTGCTGGCCGTGCTCGGTCCTACGCTGTCGTGTGACTGGACCATAAGTTAGGGATTGCTTCGCGTGCATATCCAGTATTGGGTGGTGAGCAAGCACCCACACTTTCCGTGAGCTTACGAAAGGGATGGACGACTGCATTAGTAGTTGTATATGAAGTCGTGGCACCCGACCGTAGTCGTTGATATGGGTGAAACACGTGCTCTCGAGAGGGCGGCCCGAGACAGCGCTTTCTGACGAGGATAGCCGGGTGTGACCGACCACAGATGCGGCCCGAGAACAAGACTTTGAAGTGGGCGAAAGTTGGTGCCTTTCGGCAACGCACCTTGATCTCACTGCATGTGAGCGGCGTAAGCGCAGTCTGCAGTCTGACAGCCCTTGAGAGTCCACTGCGCAGGTTTTGATTTGTCTGAGAGCCGCATGGGCAAGCGGAGCAAAAAGCAAGGGGTGAGTGGCACCCCGATAGCCATGCTCATTGCTCAGAAGGAGGTCTGGTGACTGCATATTCTAGCGTGGAGTCTCCTTGGGTGTCGCTCGGCTCCCTATCGCCGCTCCGTTAGGCACAGCCGTCGGCAAGATGCCGCTCTGAGAGCATGTGGGGGTTTCAAGAATCGCGAAGGGCCTATTCGACCGGGACGTATGGTTCTAATCGCTGCATCGGATATAGTTCGTATTCTCCCGGGCGTCTTGTGAATCAAGAAGGAGACAGAGTTGCATACCAGTGAGACGAGTTGTAAGGACGTGCGTGTGGGTTGGGGATTGACGACGTTGAGTCGTTGGGCGAGGAAGAAAATGATGAGACAGGTGCAGTTAGACGGAGATGACCTAGTGGTTAAGAACACATATGCACATCAGTCATTAACTCCGAGGTTAGTCCTATACCGAGCACAAGCTGAACTCAGGAGGCATTTTGGCGCAGGCACCCAGAACGGAATAATGTATTAATGCAATTTAATTGGCTCTGGGTCTGACTGTCAAGTGTTCTTTGATAGAGCCAATTCTTTCGGGTCAGTCACAAAATACAACTGAGAGTTGGGGTCCCGAGGTGCTGCAGCTCTGAACACGCCGCTCCCCGTCGTAGGAAGATGAGGAATTTCGGCCGTTATCGTCACATCGGACGGTTCAGAGTCATACGTACCAAGTTTAGAAGGGCCGCAGTGCTCAGTTGTACAGAGAGGTGCCGCCTCAGAGCTTCCGGACCTGAGTTCACCAGCAAGGGCGAAAATAGAGGGAATACAAAAAGTAAGCTGCTTACCGCTCGCATTATGCAGTGACCATGTCTGGTTGGTCACGAGCACAATGGACGACCATCGACCAGCACGAGTGGCTGAATCTGGACGCTCGGAATGCATGTCAGCGGCACAAAGCAGGTAATATGTCTCATCTATGTTGTTCTGGCGTGAGATACGTTCGCATAATTCGTCAACCATGGAAAAGGGGGGTTCGAATAACCTGGATGGAGACGACATATAGGTAAAGTGTGACTGCATGTGGCCCCCAACTCGGTACTGCGCCTCCACATACCATTCTTCAGCGGACGAAGCCGGATGCAACACACCATAAGTCAGTCAGTCTGCCATGTCCGGATTGGTGCTTCAACGGGACGTGGCGGGCGAGGCGCATCGCGGGCGTCGCATCACCTCCTTCCAAGTGTGTCACATGCAGCTCGTCTGGTCTCTCCTCGCTTGCGGACTTGACCGTCACTCTCCCATTCTTGCACATTGGAGCTTAGGGGCGCTTGGCGAGGTCGGCATACAATCCGAGACGACCTTAAGCAATGTCACAAAAATCTTACGTGATTAGGAACGAAAGAGATGAAACATAAATGCCTTGGTGAGCCAATGCTAACGCTGCAACTCCTGTCTGAGATGAAGAAGATGGCAGTACCTATAGGCAAGAAGACGGGAGGTAAAGAACCGGCCAATCTGACTTGCGGATCGGGTAGCCAAAAGGCCCAGGCAGAGCTAATGTATTGGGCATACATGCGTCGACTGCTTTCGTGGCTTTTTATCTCCACTATGGCATCCGCATAGGCTATCAAGGCGGTCTCAAGGTAGCCAGCCCCTTTAAGGTGACATCGCTGACCGCACCACCCGCAGCACAAACTCCGGGATTCAAGGTTCACCATCGTACAGCCTATGATTTCCAGAAAGAAAACGCTCACTTTGGACTTATTCTGGAGCCAGCTGTACTAATACAGCAGCTCATACTGGCTGCTACTATGCAAGATACTCCACCGTTGTCATACCCATGATCGGAGACGGGAGTGTCCAAGTGGGCACCACCTGGCATCACTCCTATGTCCCTGTTCATTACCAACACGAGGATCTTTATTCTCCCGCTGCAGTCCTTCGCGATCCTGATCTTAAAGCATCTTTCTGTACGGGGTGAAAGAAGACGCGGACACAGCATATTCGGACAAGATCTCATGCCCTCAATCGCGAAGCTTTCTTAGGCCTGGTCACCTTCGACACACCCGATCTGCACCTTCGGTATGCGACGGAAGCGTCTAGGGACTCAAAGCTGGAGACGCGATGGTATACATGCTTTACGGCCCATCTGTACACCGCCCTTATAATATGTACTTGCTTCATGGTAACCTTCTTGCCGCGTATGCCATGACCTTTTTGCTTCTGTGGCCGTTGGCTTTTCCCCTCTCATCCTGATCTCAGTGCATATGGCCCGTATGAAGCGGTGTACATGATAACATTTGCTTCATACCCTGAACGCCCTCGATACTCAGACACACCCTCGCCCACAGCCCTCACCGCTGAGAGGGAACCGACCGCCATATCCCACACGCTGGCATACACAGCGGTAGGGGACCACGAACCAGCTGGCCTGATAGTCCTAAAAGGAGTGGACTGGAGGCCCTGGTACCTCGTCCTGACGGAGGTTTGGATCGACTTCGGGAACCATCATTACCATGTACGTAGTTAGCATACGTAGATAGATAGTGGATCGCTTGTCACGTCCCATCGCCCTTGAGGCCATGTCGGTAGTTACTTCGCATTCACCAGCAGACGTTCACCTGCTTTTCCCTTTGCTTGGTCTATATGGGCGTGGTTTACCCGCGGGTCCTTGATGAACAAAGGGCTACTCGTGAACGGGTGCAGGCCGATCTCGCTGCCCTGGTGGCTCGTCGTGAAGGGGTGGGCGCCGATGAAATGATGGAGGATTAGTTCCGACATGGAAGTACCGGAATGGAAATAATGACATGGAGGTACCAACATGGAAGTACCGCAACATCATCTCCTTGTACAACCTGCTCGCCGCAGCCCACGACACCATCACACCCGCTCTCGCGCTACGCACACGTCTCTCTTCTATTACACCACCTTGTCGGCGATCCATCTTAGGCCAACCTCGCCGCTGCGTACAACATCGTCGCACCTCGCAGCCTTGTCCGACTTGGACGTACCGACTTGGACTCACGATATAACGTACACACGCCGTGGATTTTTCGTCCCTCACTCACCCTGTTCCTTCCTCTGCCCATCCACGCACACTCGACCACACGACCACACGACCACACGAGTCGTCCATCTTGCCAGATTACAGTAAACCCGGATCTCTCTTCACGCGACGCCGCAACCGCCACTCTGACACGTCGGATGCACGTCTCTCAAGCAACATATATTGATGCGAACCTTCTTCCCCGAACGTGGCTAGCCCCAACGATTCTCAAGCCGTTGGCGTCAAGACAAGCTCTCCCCTCTGTCTGTGAACGACGCATGCGGTTTTCTAACCCGCGGCATCTGCAGGAACTTGGCATCATCAAGCTGTGCGTCAATCACGAGCCCACTGCGCTACCGGGACAGGAATGGCGAGGTTGTCTAGATATTCCAACCGCTCGCGACCTGCATCCAGACTTGACCGACTCAAAGCAGCTCGCCGAGGTTCAGAGTCTCCTGCCCAACGAGTGGAAAGGTACTCAGTCTAATGAGCCTTTGGACACAGGCAAGCACAGCGATTCTGAGATTGGAAGGGATCAGAAAACCCAACCGTCTACTGCACAGAGATCTACGGAACTCTACATCTATACACCTTAGTTATATCAATGAACACAGCGTTTTTCCTTAAAAAAAATCTCCTCCGCGTCTGTTTGATCTAAGCACGTTCTATACCTCATATACTAAACCAACCATCCCACCACAAGCTCATCTAACTCGCATAACTTCGTATGCCCCTCAGTACCTAGTTCTCGGATTCTACCTCAGCGTTTCCCTGATGTCATCAGGAAGGCATGTATGTCACCAGCTCGAGTGCGCCACCTTCGCAGTCGGACTGCGCTGATACGCATCATGGTAGAAGAACGTAAGCAGTGCTGGAGTTGCGCATCCCAGGACGTAACATTGTCTGAAGACAGGTTCCCAGCACAGCTCGTATGATCCAGCGGTGCGAGGCGTCCTGTTCACCAGATCAATCCCCGCTCTGAAGAAGGGCACTGAGCCAAAACGACACCACTACAGGCGGCCCGCGATTCATACCAGCACGTAAGAGTTAATGACTCGAGATTTCTGTCAGCTCTCGATTGCTCCATGCGCCGATGTTACGCCCCAGATGCTCTGTTCCTCGTGCCACCATCCGATCCGCCTGGACATACTCCTCCCAAGCGACCTCGCACCCCTTCCACCATCTCCTGTTCACTCCCCATCCCCTCGAGCTCGTACTCACACGGGTCCTTCTGCTTACCGTCACGGACCGTAGTCTGTGTCCTGTCCAGCAAAGTCCCGTCATCCAGCCGGAGCCGCGGCCGTCCGCCCAGCTTTCCAAACGTTCCTGGCAGCTTGGAGTCGTACTTCTGGCTCGTGGTCTTCTTGTCGAGGAAGCCGGCGAGCAGCGGCGCCAGGGCCGGCACGCAGATGAAGACGATGCCCAAACTGGACTCGAGGACGGAGCAGAGCTCAGCTGGGGCCCAGTACCTGCTTCAGGGTTAGAGTTTCGAGGCGTTGGTGAGGGTGGTGAGGCTGGGAGGCTGGGAGGTTTACCAGGTGAAGTCAGTTATGTTGTTGATGGCGATGGCGATGGCATTGGTCACCTGCCGTTCGATGGTGCCGCCAATAGTGAGGAGACCGAGGCCAAACATGATGCCCAGAGCAACTATGCTCACTCGGTGTCAGCGTCGCCTGTTCATCCCAACGCCCCGCTTTTCGATATAAAGTACCGACTTTTCCTCCTATGGTTCATCTGCAGGTTCCGGAGCACGGGGATCGGGGTCAGCGCCAGCAGGATGTCGGTGACGATGAAGAAGGCCGCATTCCAGTATTTGAAGGCCAGGATGTTGATGCAGGCCGGGCCGCCGAAGCCGCCGTGCGTGTTCGTCCACACGATATTGATCGGGGTGCAGAGGAAGCCGGCGACGACCTACGGGGATCAAATCGTGTTAGAAACGAGGGCGGAATCGTATATGTGACCAGGGATGACTGACCGCGGCGGACGAGAGCCCTTGGCCAAAGACGACGACCAGAGACACCCAGAGGATTCGTCTCTGCGCGGGTGAGATGGCGAGACGGAGGTAGAGCGACACGATGCTTGCTTTGATGCAGCCCAGCTGAAAGAAGTACAGAAATTGCGCAACCCAGGGCCACTGCCGACATGGTCAACAAGAGATATCAAGTGGTAAGTTATATCCTGAGTTGCCACTCACCTGGACTTGTCTCGTCAGTATCTCGACGCCATCCGGCAGTGCCATCAGGTCAGCGGCATGCCAACCGATGCCCGAATCGAACTGCAGCTTGACGGAGACGATGACCACGGCTTGCGATATCCACGCCGCTAGGACGAAGCAGTCGTCCAGACCGATGTCCCGGAGCTGAATGAAACGGAAGTAGAACCTATGTTCGATTAGCCTGAGTAACGAACTCCCTGTTGTGACGGTGCGTCCATGAGGGTTCGTTACCTCAGCAGTACAGCGAGTGTGGCAATTCCGAATAGGATGTAACAGCCTATTCTCATATCCAGACGGTTTTCCGTGCCGGGCGGCATATTTGATATTGACACAGACATTCTGCAAGGAGAATTGGATAGAAAAAGAGTTCAAAGGTGGGAGTTCTTGAGAAGACGGATGCAGAAACCCAACAAAACCCATGATGGCCTGCGTCTGGGGAAAATAGCCACATCATATAGGCAGAGGAGGACCCGATCTGATGCTGGACGCACCAATATGTGAACTATCACATGTGCTTTGCTCCGTCTCGCAGTGTCCCTCCTCTACGGACTCGGGATTGTGACGGAGGTGATGAGAATTAAGTTCTCTGGGCTCTGGCGGTATTGGTCGTACCACTGACAGCTTCTCAGGACCGCCTCACCGAGCTCAGCGCGCAACGACATACTCACGATAGACTTGCAACGTGAGTGTGCAGAGCAGGCAACAAGATGTCAATAACAGGGAGGCTTCTAGCAAAGGCCTCCTGTTCATTACGACACACGCAACAGCAAAAGTATGGAAGGTAGTCCCATAAGCCGAGGCTCAAGTCACCAAGCTCGACAAAATCCTCGACGTCGCCATCGTCGACATCGCCGGCGACCAGGGCCACGTCATGGGTGCGGTGCGCGCGCAGAACCCGGAGATCCGCGGCCGCTTCATCGTGCAGGACCTGCCGTCGACGCTGGCCGCCGTGCCGCGCCCGCCGCCCGCGGGCGTCGAGTTCATGCCCTACGACATGTTCACGCCGCAGCCCATCCGCGGCGCGCACGTCTACTACTACCGGCACGTCTTCACGACGGGAGCGACGGCGACATCGGGCGCTTCCTGGCGCAGCTCGTGCCGATACTACAAGAACAGCCGCGGAGCAAGCTGCTGCTGGTTGACCTTGTGCTGCCGGATGCGGATGTCGGGATGCAGGAGGCGGTACGGGATCTGTCCATGTTTCCTATTGGCGGCTTGGAGAGGAACGAGGGCCAGTGGCGCGCGCTGCTGAGGGAGAGTGGACTGCGGATTAGGAGGATCTGGAGGGGGAGCGAACCGGAGGCTTGTGTTGAGTGTGCGGTGGATCGAAGCGCGCTGGGTGCGGATTTGTAGTGGATGGAGGGAGGTGAATTGCGTCGGGAGAGAGAGAGTTGGCCAACGGTCCTGTCACGTGACACTGTCTCTGTCATTTCGATCCTCGGATGGCTGTAAGCCTGTGAGACGAAGAAAGCTGGAGCAGCCTACACTCCTCTACTCTTTCTCCTGTCCTTCTCTGACCAACGTGGTATCTTCTACTCCTACCCGAGCTGTGTCAAGTATCATGAAGAGGTTTTGCTCGCTGTGAAATATCATTGAATCTGTCAATGAAGAACACACTCTCTCAACTGATGGGTTGCGGTGTGGGCACCGGACCTCACTGACTCCCGTCGAACAGGCAGCAGCAGCCTCTCATGAGATCTGTCACAACTTCCGGTCGTGTCGACGGAGCGAGTCCATCTCTACCTCATGAACTAGATCTCGCCATTCTGTACCGTCTGGACTATAGTGGTGAGGCCGACCCTCATCGCAAAAGCTAGCTAACCTGGCATCAACAACCCAGGAGTACACAGTCATGGACCCTGCAAGGCCATCTTTAGCCGTACTTGGACTCGACATCATCAGCGTGATCATGGACATGCTCCAGGACACCTCTCCATCGTCCGTCGCAAGCATGGCTCTCGTAAGTTCGGACTTCCTCTTGCCGGCCAGGTACTGCCAACACAGGAACGTCTCTTTACTACTGTACCAGGAAGGAGGTAGCGATGCCGCGAAGAGACGGTTGTTGCAGATGGAGAAGCAGGATCTGCTCCCTGCTATCCGCAGCCTGACAGTTGATGACAATACCAGTTCGCGTCAGCCTCGCGACGACACCATGCATATACTTTGCAGGCTGCTCCCGCAGATGACAGGTTTGCGAGATCTGACCTGGAGCAGCAACTTCATGCCCGCCAAGATCCGCGCAGCGCTTGAGAGCTGTCCGAGTGTTCGTCTGCACACAAGGTTCGACGAGTACCGGGCGCTGACGCAAGTCAACAAGCCCTGCAACCTGGTCACGCTCGCAGGTAGCCGCAATCTCAGCTCATTGCAGGTCTGCATGGAGTATACCGAGGCTCGGGAGTGTCAGGCAGTCATGCAGCCATTGAAGTAGCTACTGCTGGCTTGTCCGAATCTGCTTTCGTTGACGCTTGATCTTTGGCTACATCGGGGTAGTGGTGTATGTGCACGTAGACCGACTTTTCCACTTGAGACAATGCTGACGCATCGATGCAGGTTGTCTACGAGGAGGAGCGAGACGAGTATTGCGGGCTCGGCTTTACCGGCGGTGAGCATCCAGCGGCTCTCGAAGAGCTCGTACTCAGGCACTATCCCTTCGGTCGCGCATGCTTGCCACGAGTGATGGGATCTGTGAACTACCCTTCCGAGATGGATGAGATGGATTACTGGGCTGCGCATTTCGACTGGTCAAGGCTGAGACGACTCAAGACGCCCTCCCTACAACTGGTCCGCCAAATACTGCCGCGCCTAACCGCGTTGCAAGATCTATCGCTTCAAATACACTACGCAGGCGATGAAGTAGTCGGTGCTGTCCTCCTGGAAGTCCCGGCATCGTTAACGAGCATCACCATGCCGTTCTTTGGTGACACTACTCTCCAAGGCATACTTCGACACGCCAAGACGCTACGTAAGCTTGATTTACACCAGCTGTACGATCACGGATGGGACAGCTGGTACGAACGAGCTGAGCGAACACGACGATGGTGTCAGATGCTGCGAGACGAGTGTTCGCTCGTCGAAGAGCTTTCGCTCGATGTCGTCCGCGACGGAGCCTGGCCTTTCGAGCTTCTGGACACCTTGGCCAGCTTTCCGCGCCTACGGCAGCTCGATATATGGCTTCAGCTTGGTGCTGAGGGGAGTACGACTGAGCCAAAGATGACCTTCGAGGCCGCGGCAATGCTGTACAAACACCTTGAGGCGCACGGGCAGCAGCAGGGCTTGTCTCTGGACAGGATTGGCTTCCATTCGGGCATGGCGTGGACGGTAGGACGTGGCTACTTGACCAGCGGCGGAGGCATGGGCTGGGTAGAGGACCAATGTATGGCGTTCGTGTGTATGCCGTCGGAGCGGGAAGATGAGAGGGTTCTCGGCCGCTTTACGATCAGCTGTCCAGTGCTCAGCGCCAGGGACGATCAAGTGAAAGAGGTCGTTGCAAACGCGAGGGCCGCGAGACTGGAGATGGAAAACGAGTCGGAAATGTGGCAGTCGTTGACCATTGCGTTGGATGGGCCAATACTGCAAGAATTCATTGGTTGTATGATGTTTGATTGATATCGAGGGCCACTGACGGTGTTTGGGAATACAGAGCTACATGGTTGGCTTCGGTATCATTACCATTGGGCGCATGACAGGTAACCAATGCCATCGCTATCAATAACATTACTAACTTCACTTGGTAAGCCTACTTGCCTTGCTACCTTCGCCCGGGGCCCCGGATGAGGGCCGGCTGTCTTGGTGTCGTTCCTCGGTGTGCCGTGATAACCAATAGGATATACTGCTAGTCGGCGGCGCATTGAGCTTGGCTCACACGACAAGATACACGATATGCTGCTATAAAGTCTACGTTCAGCGTGAGTAGTAAGTAAACAAGAAACGCCCAATGCACGTGTTTATTATTAGACGGCAGAAACTCTCGCAACGCGTGGTAAGAAGACTCGAGCCGAGCTTCTCTGGGCAAACTAAGTTTTCAACGTCGCGTGTATCTGGTACCCGTTTGGCAAATCAGGTGCAAGTGATTCGAAGGGTCTTGATTTTTGGCAGAGCCTGGCGCCTGGCCCAGTGGAGCGGTTCCGGTACCTTAAGACTTTAAGACTTACCTAGGTAAGGTATGCATGTCTTGCATCGTGGGCTGACAGCTGGAGGTGTTTGGACCTCGGGACTTGCATACCTTTACAATAGGACAGGTGTATACAATTGGCATTGACTGCGCGCTGTAGATCTCGAAAGCGCCATGAACGACAAGAAAAGAAAGATGCAGAGTTTGAGCAGGACAATGTCCAAGTTTAAGTTAATTGACTCGGTGACTTGAGAAAGAGAAAAGGTGGAAAGAATGAGCAGGTTTTGCTAGGCGGCCCGAGGCAGGAAGGGGCAGGAAGGGGCAGGGAGCGAAAAGCACTTAAAAGCAAGACGCGACTCGGTGCAGGCATTTTATCTGCCGGCGCGACTGAGCGGCGCCCGCGCTTTTTTAAACAAACCACATCATCAGTCAATATCGATGAGAGTCAATATTCATCCCCATTCACGCCCGCCCATTCACCCTGTTGCATCGCAGCATCGCCAATTGTACTCTTCCTTGATCTGTCCTCTCTGGGCACATACAGCCGCAGCCGCAGCCTCTGCGTCTGCGTCTGCGTCTGCGTCACTTAGTAATTACTAACTGCGAAGGTACCTATTTGGTTTTTCTCCCACCACCGACCGCGTCGCGCAGCCGCCGCCGCCACCACAACCACAACCGCTACCTTGACCACCACCTCTTGTACCCCACCTCAACTTCCGCACCCTCCCTCGCCAACATCGTGCATCCTTCCGACCTTGGTAGAGGGCGCCTTTCGTCTCTTTCCACCACACAGGAAGACTCGCCCCAGACCACCTGCGACCTGCGACAGAAACCTGCGACCGAAACCTGCGACCAACCTGCATATTGCGAGCACGAGACCAACACCTCGGATCACATAGCCTGCCTGTACCTGCTCGTCCATCAAGTCGCCAATCTTCGCCCTTGTCACCAAATCACCCTCCGAAAAGACAGAATCTGCAAAACCCTATTATCGTTGTCATGGGCAGCGCATGAGAAAATCTACACTCAACATGCCGGCCTCTTCCAAGCGTTCGCAGAGGACTCGCCGCGCGCGTGACCCCAGTCCGAATCCACCTGTCGCAGAGCAGTCCTCGCCTTCGCGACCTGCCAAGCGCAGAAGAAAGGTACCCATCTACCGCCATCCACTTCCCATTCCCACGGTCAATTAACTGACAGTCCATCGCAAATCAAGGTCGAGGAGCCGCCTTCGGAACCCATTGAAGACGAGGGCTCCAGCCTGACCATTGATCCCTCCGGTCCGGAACCCGCAAGCGACGACGACAGCTTGATTACCCAAGTCACCCAGCACTTGCGCCACGTGCCCACTGCAGCGAGCGAAAAGCATGCCAACTCCATTCACACCTCGGAGGACATCGAGGCCTACGCCAAGATCTCTGCCCAAGATTGGACCTACTATATCAAGAACTTGACCATCAACATTGGCAGAAACCCAGACAACACTGAGTCCGCCGCCTCTGGTCCCGACGACGAGGATTACGTCCACATCAACCTCGGCCCCAACAAAACCTTCTCCCGTCAGACTGCCGTCATCTACTTTGACTCCAGCTCCGAGAAATGGTTCATCCAAGCTCGAGGCCGCAACGGTCTCAAGGTCGATAATGAGATCTTGAGGAAGAGCGGCCCTCCGCACCCCTTGGTCAGCGGCGAGGTCATTGAGATCGGTGGCTTGGAGATGATGTTTGTCCTGCCCGGAAACTTCAGCCCCCTGCGTATAAATCCCATCTATCTGCAGCAGGCTGGCTTGAGACCTCCCTCGCGAGATGCCCGGACCGCCTTACCACCGCACCCTCCTGCAGGCTTGTCATCTTCGCAAGCTGTCGCAGCGCCTTCTTCCTCCCATGGCCAGTCGTTCCAGCAGCTCGCTCCAGCGCCTCCCGACTACAAGCGCCCGGGCACTCCGTCGTCGGCTAAGAGCCGTCTCACTCCCGCGCCGGCCAAGACCCCGGCACAGAACTCGGCTGGTACCATGGTCATGAGCCAGGGTGATGTCGATCTAAGCAGCGATGAGAACAGACATATCAAACCTGCCTTCAGCTATGCTCAGCTGATTACCCAGGCAATCATGAGTACCACTGACGAGAAGCTGAACCTTTCCAACATCTATGGGTATATTACGGATCATTACGCGTATTATAGACACCAACCGCCGAATGGTTGGCAGGTGAGTTCAGCCATTGTTAACCACCACCCTTCACTGTGCCATGCTAACGATTTGAAGAATTCGATCCGACACAACTTGTCGCTGAACAAGGCGTTCAACAAGGCGCCGCGGTCAACAAGTGAGCCTGGCAAGGGAATGAAGTGGGAGTTCATGCCTGAATGTCGCGAGGATATGATCAGAGCCGCTTACAAAGGAGGTCGAGGTGGCCACCGTGGCTCGTCAGCACCATCATCCCCAAGTCAAGTCAATCAGATGACCTACATCACGTCAGGACCGAGGGATATGGCGAACAAGGAGCCTGGCTCGGCTCGCAAGCGCAAGATCTCACCGAAAACGTCGCCCGCACCTAGGTCATCTCTGAAGCAACATAAGACCCCAGACCGCAGACACCTTTCGACCAGCGCATCGACTATCCCGGACGGCAGTCCCATGCCACGGAGTAGCAAGCGCGCCCAGGCTCAAGGCTCATTTGATGGCTCATTTGATGCTGATCTTCCGCGCTCTCCCCCAACCCTCTCGTCTTCTTACCTCCAGGATGAGGGTGCCTCATTCGTCACGCCTGCACCTCATCGCGTCCGCCCCCGACTTGCACCGCCTAGCACTGCACAAAGACCGAGCATTAACATGCCTGAAAGCTCACCCGCCCCCTTCTGGAAGTACGCTGACACCTTTAGCACGCCATTGAGGCGGGAGCAATACGATAGTCCACTGAAGCCTATTAGCCTGAGATCGCGTTTCCTACCCAATAGCAGCAGCCCGCCTCGTGCAGCACCCAATGACGAGTCACCCGTCGGTAGTCCCACCAAGCCAGGCCGGCCTGAGACGCCCGAGAAGACTACTGTTGCTGAAGAGGAGGACGAAGAGGAAGAGGGCGGTTTTGATCTGACCAAGTATGGCCTCCCAATCATCATACTCTAGAGCTCGAGAATACTAACTGGTTTTACAGGGGTTTTCCGAGCATTAGCGGCTACCATGCCCTCATCGGTCGTGGTGGCCCGGCACCTCGGGCGAATGGTGGTCGGGCTTGAGCCGAGTCTCGATCTTAGTATCACGTCTCACTTTCCGTACTGCAATACCCTGTATCCCACGGTTTCGGCAGCCGAATCCCTCAGAATCCCAGGATTGGTCTCACGATGATGGGACACTGGATCCTACAGAGCTACCCTTCACTATTCGCTTTCGGGTTTCAACTTGTCACAAACCTACTCTCACATTTTCCACTCCACACACGAATCACGATCCAGTTCTTCGTTGTCCAACTGGTTCGCACATCATACTCCGGTTATTTTCGCCTGGCATACAACTCTGTTTCTCCTAGTATCTGACGACGGAGGACGATGTTGGAACAATTTCGGTTCGATCGTTTGCTGCTTTCCTTCTGCACCTTTATGGTTGTGGCGTTGTTCGGATGGTTGGGCTGGTTGGCTCCAATCTATGGCATTGCGCCTGGCGTTGCTGGTCCCTTGTGTCCGCGTTCGCGTTCGCATCAGACAGGGGGATATATTGCATGGGCTAGGGGCATGGGCACGGCAAGGCGTGGGCAAAACGGTTCGGCGTTACGGCATAGGCGTTGTCATGCATGTAGTTTTCTGTTTCTGTCTCACTGTTGGCTTTCTGGTTCTGGTTCGGCTGTTTCGGTCAACTGTAAGCATAGCAAAGCATGGCAACATGCATGATAGGTACCGACCTTGCTCCTCGTCATTGACAGAGCTGCTGCACATCATTCAGTCATGCCAGAGCCAAACAGGCTTGTCCACCTGGCAGACACTAGGGGACGGCATCTCATGTAGTTCATCCCATCAATGTACACAACACAGCCTAGGTCAGATGAATGACAAACCAGCCAAAGAAAACAACCGTCTTCTCGGAATTTATATTGTGAATGTGGCTGAATTAACGTATCCCCTTGGAATCGTGATGTGACCAAGGCCTGAGCTTTTTCCTCAGAGCAAATCAGATCAGATCAGGCGAGCTTCTTCCTGTTGCTCAGTCTCGGCGCGAACAGCCAGCCGTAATGGATAGAAACATATGAAACATACATTCATAGTAGGTAAGATATATAGCTCGAGGTAGCAAACGGGTAAAGAAATCAACAGCGCGAGAAACGTTTGAAGTCAAAACCCAGTCCTTGGTTACACCACAATCTCAAAAAAGGAATATAGGATGGCGCATCGAGTAATTATGACGGATGAGAGTGAAGAATGTCTATTAACACACACAGCTGAATGCGTGGGGAGAGAGGTGATGAGCAGCCCAGCCTGATATGCTATGCTCCCGAGTGCCCCTTTAATAAGCCACCGCAGCCGGCTACCTATGCCATAGCGTCCGCCGATTTTCCATATACAACTATATACAACACAACAAGAAAATGCCATCCTTGCATGCATGCTTTTATTCGCGGGAGTCGCGGGATCCCGACCTCCACCCGCAGTAGTAGTAGATGTACAAGCAGGACCAAAAAAATGTACAATGATGAGGGAAGGCAGGGATGGCATCAATCAAGCCGGACGGCCTAGCTAGTCTGACACTCACGACGCAGCGGCGCCAATGCGCGTCTTGGGCGCCTTATGACCGGGGCGCTGCTTCTTGGGGGTGCTCTTCTTCTGGCCGGGGCTGCCCTCGATGAACTTGAGGAGCTCGTCGATGCTCCGGGCATCCGGCTTGGCCGACTTGGGCTTGCCGCTGGTGAGGGCGGCAGCAGACTGGGCGACGGCCGAGGCGCCGCCGCCGCCGGCGAGGTTGCGCGGCGGGAACCTTATGCCCGCCCGCACACGTCGCGCCTGGGCATCCTTGTCGCGCTTGGCGATGGCGACGGCGTTCTGGGTCAGCGACTCGAGCCACGACTCGGCCTCCTTGGTGTTGTTGTTCTCGGGGCCCAGCTCGTGCAGGAAGATGTTGTAGCACTCGCGCATCTTGCCCAGGGCGGCCTTGGACTCGCTGTCTAGGGCCAGTGCTTGGGCGAGCTGGAATAGGAGGCTGGCGGACTGGATGGACTGTTGGCCCATGACGCGCTCACAGACGGCGAGGGCCTCCTCAAACCAGGTGCGAGACTCGTGGTATGCCTGCATGTGTTGGAGCATGACAGCTGCGTTGTTCATGGTGGTGATCGAGTCGGGATGGTCGGGTCCATAGATGATCTTCCACAAGTCCAGGGCATGTTTGGCGTATGCAAGTGCCGTCTTTCCGTCGCCTGAACCATGAATGTACAGGCTGAGGTTCAAGTAGTAGAGTAAGGTCTCGGCCGCGTCCACACCCATTGTCCGCTCTGCTACGATCACAGCCTTCCGCGCTAAGTCGACAGCCGCTTCCTTCTCCTCGAGGGAATAGTAGATTGTAGCTAGGCTCGAGTACGCCCGTGCAACCTCGTGGTGGAGGATTCCATATATCTGCTCGTGAAGCGTCAATGACTCCAACAACAGCTCCTGGCCGATCTTCCGGTTGTTCTGCATGATTGACTGGCGGCCACCCTCAAGAGCCTCCTCTGAAATAGCGCTCTTGGGCGCCGAGTCCTTGATAATGGGCACAACGTTGACAATGTCATCCGAAGTGAAGGTGGAAGGAGCTCCGACAGAAGAAGCGATTGAAGCGGGTGAACCATCTCTGGCCTTCTTCTTCTTCTTCTTGCTTTTCTCGCCGTCGCTATTTGCGTGACCGTTAACACCGTTCGTGGTAGCCCCGTTCGTCGTGCTGGAACTCTCATTGCCGAACTGGAAGTTCTTGGCCTGTATCTGGAGACCAAGCTTCAATGAGATTTCACGCAGCAGTTGCATGTGCTTCACCTTCGTATGCCAGTCCGGTTCCAGAGTAAACTTGTATCGACGAGTTGTCTGGAGCTCGAGTTCCTTCCGCAGACTTTCAGGTGTTACTTCCGCAAAAGCAAGGTCCGCCTCTGGGTACAGAGCCTTCAGTGACTCGTCGATTTCAGCACTTGGTTTGCTGTTCAAACCAGAGCCGAGTAGGCAGTTCAGGAGATGAGCAATGCAGGAAGAGGTAAGAGGTATCGGCAGATATCGTAGGTACTTGCCCGCCGCGTGCTTGAATGCTCTTGAGATCATCTCCTGCAAGCAGAGGTCTCGGAAACGCAGAAGCTTGGGACCCTCGCAGAGAGATACGATTTTGCCAAGATACCTCATGTTGATCCCGCGCTTGTGCATCATCTTGGTGAGAGATCGCCCGTCCATGGGGAAAGGCAGTTCCGACGTCTTGATATCGTTTACGAATTCGGGAATTGCCGAGTCGCGCAAATGCTTACAGGCATTCCGGACATCCTCCTCGTCAGCTTCGAATTCCTTCTTTTCTTCCTCCGTCTGGGGGACTTGTCCGCTGAAGGCATCCGGGTTGAGAGCGAAGGAGAACTTCGAAGTATCAAAGTCTTCGTCGAGATCCACCTCATCGTCATTGTCTTTGGAACCCTCGACATCGGGCTTCTCCTTGTCGTCTGAGCTGTCCTTCTTGTCATCTGAGATCTTCTCCTTGTCATCCGAGGGCTTCTCCTTCTCTTCTAAGCTCTTCTTCTTTTCGTCTGAGCTCTCCTCTTTCTTGGAATCTTTCGCCGAGCGTTCCTTCAGGCGAGCCAGCTCAGTGTTTACCCAGGCCGTCCACTTCTGGTTCCTAATGGACTCAACAAGCTCTGGTCTGAGGACTGTCATACGGTGAGGGTATTCCGTGCCGTCGGGTTCGCCCTTGGATTCGTTCTCCTCCAACCATAGAACGTCCAGTGGGGTGATCCGGTACAGGTCAAGCACGTACTTGCGACCATCTGTACCCATCAACCCCTTAGTCTCAACGCTGGCTTCGAGGTCGAATCTCTTGCCGTCCTTGTCCCACACAGCATGTTTCTTAACCCGCAGGGCCTGTGAAAGCTTCTCAAAGGTGGCGGCAAACCTCTCGTCAGCAGCAACCACCTCCTTGCCATCAACGGCACCGTAGTCTATCGAGTTCTCACCGGGCTCTCTCTGCTTGAAGATACCCGGTACGACAGTCTGACCCACGATACGCTTGCCGAGGTAGTCGACGACTACTGTAGCAGGACTGTACAGACCATCAATGTCGAGTTGATTGACAATCCGCACGCCATTCACGTCCTTTCCGGTAGCCACCCGCGCAGCGTCATCTCCGCCTTCCGACGTAAAGGTGCCGACACCGTCCGCTCCGAAAGAAAAGAATACATTATTGTACACAAAAATCTGAGCATCCCGTTCCTCAGTTGGGTTGAGTGGTGTGACTTCCCCTCGGGCAACCAGGATAGCGCCTCGAGCGGCGGCATCTGTATAGTCAGCGAAGAGCTTGGAAACAAATCGTTCCCTGAAGACGCGATCTTGTATGTTCTCCTTCGGCAACTCCCTAGCGGACTGGAACTCCTCATTCCAGTCGCGCAGAGTGTCGGTGTTGTCCACGCCAGCAATCAGGTAGCCCTCCTGTGTCCTGGTAATATCTGAGCTGTGCGCACATAGGGGCGACGACTGCGAAGGGACTAGCCAAGGCGCAGCGGGGATCGCATTTGTCATCTGGAATGTCGCCAACGGGTCCTTGCGGTTGTTAAACTTCAGCAGCTGCTCAAAGGACTCCGAGAACGAAGGCGAGATCTCTGTTAGTAGCGTGAACAGCGAATGCGCCGAGTGGCCTTTAGGGGCTGCTCGGGATGACGGGTCGAATTTGCTGTTTGAGGACTTGTTGACGTAGAATCCACCGACATGCGAGGTGATCTGGTACTGCTCACCCTCATTGGTCGTGACAAGGAGGTACAGCAAGTGGCCTCGCTGTCTGAGGTGGTATGGCGGGGGGTTCCATGGCGACAAAGAGACAGACTTGACAGTCTTCGGGGCGGGCTCTTCGTCCTTGGGCAAGAGAGTCGAGGGCTTCGCAGGGGCTTCGAAGTCGTACGCACTGGCTTGGGCGTTGGTGTCATCTTTGGCATCAGCAGTGACAAAGTCGAATACGGAGACACCCGGAAGAACTCCGTGCAGAGTGTCGGTACGGTCCCCGGCAGCACCGATCAAGTCGCGTATACGAATGACGTGTATCCTCGCCTCCTTTTCAGTATAGGGGTCCTCGACCAGGCGGATCTCTGCGTCCGGGCCGAGCCCTTTAACATCCGAGATCTGTATGAAGTCGTTGATGCGCTCGCCCGCGTGCTCGAGGTGGAAACAGGAGTATTGGAAGGCGGAGGGCAACTCGATGACGGACTGACGCAGCTCGTGTATCTGCTCCTGGGGAGCGACCTGGACCTGGGTTCAGTACGCCGAGCGACATAGCTTTGCGAACAAGGATAGCTACTAACCATAACCTTGATCTCTTTGGGCTCGTGAGGAAGGCGGATGGTCAAGGGGAAGAGAGCTGGTTGCGCAAAGTCAGCGGAATTGTGTCTATCCCTCACAGAAGTCATTGCGTACCTTCGCCGGCGTCCTCCTCGGTGTCCTCGGCATTAGTTTCGCCATGAGTGTTGGCGACCTCGCCATTGGGAGCTTGAGCTTCCGGAGCAGAAGACTCAACTGCGCGACAAAACCTTGTCAGTCTATGGCACCACATGTACTTGCTTGCCTAGATAGAACAAGCATTGAGACAACTCGCATACCGGTCGGCTTGGATTCCTGCTTCTCGGCCATTATGAAGAGACAAGTACACAGCTGGGAGAAAAGGGCCCGTTGTGGAAAGTGGTGATGCAATCTATAATAGTCCGAGAGCGGCAATGCACGAGATGGGACGGCAAGTCAAGGAAATCCACCGGTAAGAACTCAGTATTAATAGAGAGGTTCGAGAAGAGGTATTGTACAGACGGAGCAAAGGAAGGGTCGTCAATGGGCCGTGGTTGAAGTGGTGGTAGTGATTGTGACGAGTAGTAGCGTATGGGTAGAGTAGGAGAATAATATTTTTTTCCCTCGATGGAGAGTCGAAAATTGCACAGCCGGCTGTTCCCGGCAACATGGACGGACGTTGCGACGATCCCTGTGATGAGCGGCAGCTGTACATAGCTCCTGCTAATGATGATGATGCGCTTAGCACGTAACACTGCATAAAGGAGGCCGTCGAATGCAGCTCTGATTGGTTCAGAGGTCAGCTCTAGGGGACCCGATAAACCCGCAACGGATCCACTTGCACGTTGACTGTCTCGTTTCCGTTGCCCGCGAGCGTCCGGTCGCATGAGCAGTTGCCCTGTTAGCGCGCTACCTGCTCCGTCGATTGAAGTCCACCGCAAACAGCACGAGCCCCTTCCATGTTGTCCGACACACCAGTCCCGAATAGGAAATCAAGTAAACAAATCGTGTCGTATCCCATCGTGAGCCTCATCCAACCTCGACTTCAGCTCGCATCGCACGCCTCCTACTACTCTTGATATATTGCTACTAGCATAACTTCTAGTGGCTTCAGCTGTTCATTTTGGTCTTGCAGTTTCAACATTTGCATCCGATTCCTGCATCTCAATGTAGTATCATAACAAACACCCTCCGCATCACCAACAAACATCCTTGCTACACAACACCACACACCAGCAATATTTGAACGAACTCGCCGTATTGCTACATCCTCAAGCATCTCCAAGGCATATGAGCAAGTCGACTCGCAAATCTCACACACCAGCAGTTTTTGCACCAACTCACCTTATTGCTACATCCTCAAGCCGTCTCCAACACCTATGAGCAAGTAGCAAATCCCCTTGCAAATCTCACACTCATCCGCTTCCCAATGTCGCTAGACCCCTACCAAACGCCCTCCAAACCACGGCGACCAGCGCCCAGGCCAAAACCCTCACAGCCCTGGACGACCGCGCGCTGTCACCGCCTGCTGCGCCCGCTGATATCGCGTATCGCTTCGCTCAGGAGAGACGCCGCCGCTATAGCTACTGTCTCGGCCACAGCAACTTCCATATCAACACCATCATCATCATCATCATCATCATCATCATCAATATCGAACGTCGCCAAGAGCAGCGGTCTAAATCGCGAGGGCGCAGATACGCCAGAAGCCGACAGCAAATGGCTCATGCCCAAGAAGAAGCGCGTCCGTCTAACGTACTCCCAGCGACGGGCGCCGCGCCAGCAGCAAGATGACCAGCCAGGCGAACGAGAAGATGGGGATGAGCGGCCGGCGGTTGTACAGAAAGCAGAGGTTCGGAGGAAGACCGTGAGATGCCTCCGCCACGATGGGCAGAGCAGTACGGCGTTCCGCGGCGAAATCATGGCACCCACGCCCTTACTGCGGCGCGCGCGTGGTCACATAGTACCCTCACCTCTGCCTGTTGCGCGTAGCTCAGGGGAAGAGGAGCGATGCGAAGACAAGAGGCGAGAGCCCCGTACGAAGAGGAGCACCAGTACACGGAAGGCTCTGGATGGGCGTCTGGCGAAAATCCGTGTGAACTCACCAGCTGAAAGGTACAACGAACTCGAAGCGATATACAAGAGTCTTGAAGCGCTCCTGAAAGCCACAGCCCTGGACACGGCACAGACGCGAGGCCCACGGTCATTCTTGGATATGTGCTTGAGGAAGGTGCCGCAATACATCACTGAGCTCGACGCCTGGGAGAGGTGGGAGGCGGAGCAGAGCGGCACGATCACCACACTTGACGATGTCGACACCTCTGCTCAGATTTATAATGAGCTGGAGTCAATCGGGACGAACCAGGGGTGGAAACACCTTAGGGTCGTCGTGAGGGCAGATGGAGTCGAGGCAGCGAGGGAAGGCATTGCGGAAAGACTCTTCAGCGACGATTTCTCTCAGTTGCTGATAGATCTCTGTATTCAGTCAGGCGCAGTGGCGGAAGCTGAGGAGCTCATGGCGGCCCTTGTCGACCGTCCATTTCCACTGCCGGCATCGCCAGAGAGCTCTTTTGCACAGTTCACGTCCCTCCAGCCCCTCACAGCTCTTAGTTCCTTCGCCACGAAAAGCGGTCGCGCGTCATACACTCTTCGTCAGTACTCAGTATTGTTATCGAGTAAACACTTACCACAAGACTGGTTGGCAACCCCGGACTTTGAGCGGATATGGGGATCAGCTGCTCGAGCATTGTCAAGCAGAGAGGCTATTTGCGACGTCATCAACTTCATGGTCGAGTCCATCTCGCTGATGTGCAGTCGAAAAAGGACCTTCACTGGTACCGCCGAGACTATTCAGTTGGAGAAGGACATGTTGGAAGCGAATCAGCGTACGCTGACGAGCGCCCTGACAATAGTCTCGGCCATGAGTCTGCTAGGCGAGAACGCAACTCAGACATCGCGCATCCGAGACGCAGATGTCTGCAAAGTTAGCCTCCTTGTCGACAGGCTCAAGTACATCCTCAAAGCATGCATAGCTGAGCTTGAGCCACAGGGACAAAGATATGTTGGCGCCAGGCTTGACCTGCTGTACTTGGCATTATTTCTTTCCTCGGGCAAAACTCAGGGAGAGACAGTCGCACGCTATGTCAAAAGAAGCATCGAGAATGCCACAAGACAGCGTGACGCTCCCCGAGCGGCGAGAGGGAGTCCGACGCCAAACCAATACGACAGCATCGTCTCGCTCATAGCGTCTGTTGCACGAAGCTGCAGTCGCGGAACGTCCGTAGCGTCTCACCAATGTCTGGATGTCCTCTTCGAGCGACTAAATGTTATGGATATTGGCCACCAAGTTTTGGATAGCCTGAAGGCTGCATCTGCCTTCTTACTTGCTCAACAGACCAACAACGTCAGGGATCTTATCTATGCCGAAAGTCTGTACCCGCATGCCAGATCGAAACCCGGAGACACGCACGATAGGCGATCACTATTCACGGGCTACCGCTGGGAAGAGACTATTGGCGAATGGGTGACAGTCAGCCCCATTATGAAGAGACGGCAATCGAGAAAACGACAACTCCAGGCGTCTACGGGGGACGAGGATGATGACAAACACGCCGAGCAGTCTCCGGCTCGCCCCACGAGCTTGGCGAGCTTGATGAGTCTCGGCACGAATAACGTTCCAGATCTGAAAACAATACATGGCCACGACGTTCGTACGAAGAAACCTCATCAAATGGAGGCTGAACACGCTTCGAGGAAGCGAACGCGTCACTCATTGGGCGAAACGCTTACGCCAATATCAGCATCCGCGGTGAACACACTTCTAGGCCAGGCCAGCGTCGTTGCCGTTTTGAAGGAACGGCCGTCCTCGATCCTCCATGACGAGCTCGCCGGGCAAGGGAAAGAGAACCGGGACCGAATGTTCGCCAGGAAGCCAAGGCGCAGCTCAGGGAAGCTCGTCCTGGGCACTAGGTCACGATCCAGCCTCTCGAGCCTACCGGACAAGGGACAGGCGGACATCTATAGCGATGACGAGCTCTGCCTATGAGCATTTCTCAAGGCTCACCGTCGTTGTCGGGCGTTGTAGGAATGATGGGAGGAGAGAAGCAACGACCTGAAACCACGCCTCTGTAGGTAGACCAGATGCAGCCAGCTATCTTTGGGTGTGTGCCTGATCTTTGTCCAATCGACGCTGAGATATCTGATTTGCATGTACATGAACGAATGATCTGAGTGTACGCCATGATAATTCTTTCAAGGGTGGGCGACGGGATCAAGCTGAAGGTGTGTACCCTGAAACTGATCACGTATGTAGTGTTGTGGTGTTGTGGAGGGAGCTTCGCCTTCTCGTGCCGCAGACTTGGGGGAGCGGGGGGGGCAAGTCGGCATGGATTCCCAGGAAACCTCAACACCCTCGACCTTCCATCCGGCGCCGACGTGCGAAAAATGAATCTCAGTGTATCTGGCAGGTCTTTTGACGTTGGCTCGATCATGAGACTACGTCCACGCTGTCCAGCCGTGCTGCCGTGACGGATCTGCATACCAACAATCTACCTAATCCTTGCGTGCATCAGTGGAGTATCAGAGGATCGCCCATGAAACGGTCAGATACATCATCTCGTCTCAACCTGCAAATAGTCGGGTTCGCGTTCCACACTCGCTTCGGCATGCCTCAGTACAACGGGAATATTCATGGAAGTCGATGTGACTCTGGGGCTAGCCCGAGGCCGCCTGGGCCAATTGTGCGACTGGCTTACTCGCATGTGGTCGGCATATTCATTTTCTCTCGCTCGGTACCTTGGTGGCGGTGATGCAACGGCACAGCGAGATCATTCAGCCTCACGAATGCCCTAGCGCATCGACACATATCGCCAATGCCATCGTGAATGCATCGTGGTGCCTCTCCCTCCTTGACCAAGCTGCCAGCTGGCGGTAGGCGATGCCGCGAATCGACGACAATGCATCGGGACGTTCGCGAGCTCCGTGCCCACGTCCGGGCATCGACATCGTAATCGTCTGCTGGCATGCATAATAAAGGCATTTGGACCCTTACAGCGTGACGTATGCGAACGCATCAGTGCCCTCCACAGCCTTGACAGGGCCATATAATATGGCCCATATTATACGCCACTCACACAAAACCTGGAGTATCCCGTCCGTAGCAACTTGCGGTTTGTGCTGATCAGTGGAAGCCTCCGGTAATAATGAGAAGTGTCATGAGGTTGATGAAACTTGAGGCTCCACTGATGTTTCTGGCATGAGTTGGATTTCCGAATTTCGGGCCCGGACATAGATCCTGTTGAACATGAACTGCCTTGTGGAGTTCTGTGCATGGAGTTGGGGGTTGTGTCACGCCACCACGAGCCCACAGATGCGAAGCGGCAGGATGCATATCTATGGCCAATTGGCAGGCTCTTCACGAATCGAGATACAGCCTAAATGAAGCGACCCCGCGAATATCTGTCAGACTAAGAGACTGGAAAGCCCAGCAGCTAGACGAGTCAAGGCGGTCTGATCAATGTGCCGGCGCATTGGCGGTGTTGATGCCGCGAAGCAACGTCTCTTGTCTGCGTGTGCCTCTCTCACAAGCGCGGTGTGCCTGTATAGTTCGATTGTATGTTTCACCGCGGCTCGGGGTGTCGTGTACAGCGGAACCGCCCTTGAAACATGACTAAAGTATGTGAGTAAGGTGTGAGGGTACGCAGACTGTCGTCGCGATGTCTGTTTGGACCCAATGTGGTATGAGAAGCCCAAGCCGCCCATTGCGGAGGCTGGTTGATCGCTGACGGCCCGTCAACGTCGGGCACAACATCGTGTCAACTGCTACAGTGGGTGCCCCTAATCCCGCATGTCCCATATCGCGCATATATTAGGGTTACCGCATATTTTCCTCGCTCCTGAATTTTTTAATAAGAGAAATCCTCAGATAACGCAGTACCGCATAACGCATACTTTTCCCCCGGAATACCAGGGTGTGCCTTGTGGTAGCGGTATCCAGAATGAGGACCAGGGTCACGATAGGTGGCTATTGGTCTGTATTCTGGAAGTTGCTTGATTGAAAGAAGGGATGGGTGGTGTCCCCATCCCAGAAGTAGCTATCATCCTAGTTGGGTACAAATCAGGTACAAACGGGTACCCGTTGGGCTCCAAGGTACCTTGTATCCTGGTTCGTGACCCATCCGTCGTTGTGGCTGGAAAATGGTTGAGGAGCCACAACTGTAGATACCCGACTCACGACAGAGATGGAGAGGCGCATACGTGTAACGATGGTGTCACGCCACCGGGTCCGGGGTAAAGGCTCTAACAAACGAAATCCTCGGTATGATTGTGATGGACCAGCACCGATGTCCGAACATGCAGCAGCAAGTGTGTCTGTCTGTCTACGGTAGACATTCGCAACTCGGTGTGTTTCTCAGGTATCGTCTCAGTCCACTGTGGGTGAAAATAATTGGAATTTGGAACGCGTTTTGTACGCAGAACACAGGGCGTTTCGGCGCCACGCAATCACGACAATTGTCGTGGACCTCGAGGCCGGAGAGAAGACTGCATTCGGATGCTGACGATGCCTGCAGCCCGCCCTAATGACAACTTCAAGCGCAGGTTAGTTTTCCGTGGTTTGACTTGCATGTGGCTGTCTGTGATGAATGGGCTGCCATTCGCCATGGGCTGGGCCGGCCGGGCGGCACGTGTCCCATCTAGAGGCCAGTCCCAGGTGTCTCACGCCGCCAATTGGCCCTTGAATCTTGACTGAGCCCAGACTGGCTCGTAGGCCCGCGAGGTTCTGACCCCTGTTCACCGAGGTGCGCTGGTGTCGTTTCATACAGACAGACTTGTCCACTTCTCGCGTGAGTCGCCCACATCTCGCAAGTCATGGCAGGTCCAGAATACACCAGGTCGGATGATATTGACAGCCCGACAGCGAGGCGTTCGCTTGTTCCTGCAGCAGCGGGAGACAGTTGTTGTCGTGCGGTGATTCGATGTCATATCATGCCATCCCGGCAGCCACACCCAATTCTTCCTCCCGCCGAGCAGCAGCAGGTCCCTTGGTCCCCTGGTCCGCTTGCTTGGATCGGTTCCTCCGCCAATCTGCACTCGTCTGCCGTTGTGACAGTACCTTCCTCGCATTTGTGGTTCTGGTCATCTCCACCGAACCCCCCGGGGGCAACTCATATCTGCTACCTTTTTGGGGGTCTGACGATGAAGGCGAGAATCGACAGCCAGTCTCAGTTGACAAACGGCACGAATGCCCATGTCTAAGCCAGCCGGCCAGTCAGGCAACTTCCGTGAGGAAACACAGTGAAAGCAGAGGTAGAGGTAGGTATGCCTCAATCAGTTAATCCGCGTACAGGTACTCCTCCATGGATGTGTTGATTGTGAGCGTAACGGGAGCGTTGAAGGGTCTTCCCTGCTTTCAAGGTTCCTGGAAACTTGGTGTGGGGCAGGTTGTGGAGGCGAATTGAGGGGCAATGACCCATCAACCCCGATTCGTTCCCCCGTCACGAGCGCTGGTAGCCTGTGGCAGGCCACTGACTAGCCTGTGAGCAGGGCTTTGTTCGTCACCCCCATTCGCTGGGCGCCAACACCTCACTAATAAAAGCGCGTTGGTCCGTAATTGGGCCTCCTATATCTTGTGCACGGCCTTTGCTTGGCTTCAAGCCTCATGCATTCCAATCAATCTCCTCATCTCCTCCCTCTTCCTGGCTTCTGTTTCTGTTTGAGTCTCGACAGCCTTCATTCCCTCACACACTCTCTTACAAGGAGCCCACCGAATCTGTGATCAGGTGCCACTCCGGACTGCGTTCTGCTTCATTCTTTCGGAACCGCTATCCCTGTACACTGAAGCACACCCACCTCGTATCATACATGTACATCCTCCCTCGCCCTCCCACACTCTCACATATCCATATTCAATTCCAACTAAGCCGCTTTCTTGGTCGGCCTTCTCATTCTCCCTCGATCTTCCCAGTCGCCTCAACATTGTTCTCGAACCTTGACGTTGATCGGGCAAGGTTCATACACCTTAGGCCACCCGCGCTTCTTGGTTGTGTTCTCCTACAGCTGGCTGTTTACTCTCTTTCATTAGACATCGCCTGCCGCTCATCGAGTTGACCTCCCCCGGCTGCACCGTACATATTCACTCGGTATCCATGATCAACATCTTCGGACACGGGTTTTAAATAAAAGAACACCAAGGCTACCGGACACCTCTTGTCTCCGCTGCGCTTGAGTATTGACCGATTTTTGGATATCAACGACAAACAACCTGCGATTTCGAGTTATCATTATGGCGGAAGGAAAGGAAGCAGCTGGCGAGGGCCAGGCCACGGGCTGGACCCCGGAAATGGAGAACGAGTCCATGTCGAACTACCTCTTGATCATCTGTGGTGCCGTGTCGGTCGCTCTTATCATATGGCGCGTCACAACCAGCATCCAACGATACGTCCGACACGTATCGAGTTTGACAAACGACACCCAACGATACTTCGCCAACCCTTCGTCCAAGTTTTCGTGGATCAAGAAGAACCTCCTCTATTCTCCTATGTTCCGAAAGCGCCACAACCGCGAGTTTCAGATCAGCAGCGCCATCAACGTTGGTACGCTGCCAACGAGATTCCAGTTTCTGTTCCTGGTCGGATATGTCGCCACCAACGTCGCCTTCTGCGTCGTTAATATCCCTTTCGCCGAGAGCTTTGAGGATGCCGCCAAGCAGCTGCGAAACCGGAGCGGGACGCTGGCCACGGTCAACATGATCCCCTTGTTCGTCATGGCTGGAAGGAACAACCCGCTCATCGGTCTTCTCGGTATCTCGTTCGATACGTTCAACCTGTTGCACCGCTGGTTCGGCCGCATCGTGGCACTGGAGGCTGTCTGTCACACTGTAGCCTTCTGGGCTGGATCTGCGGCGACGTCGGGATGGGCCGGCGCTTTCCAAACCACCTTCAAAGTCGAATACATGATGTGGGGCTTCGTCGTATGTTGTGCTCGCGCTGAACTGGGAACTTATATTTTGCTAACCTCCATTAGGCCACTGCTGCATTCGTTGCATTATGTTTCCAGGCCTCGAGTATCTCAAGACACGCGTTCTACGAGTCGTTCAAGATCATGCACATCGCACTCGCGGCCCTCGCAATTGTCGGACTCTGGTACCACTTGGATCTTAAGAAGCTCGAAGCCCTGAAATGGCTGGTTCCCGTCGTTCCCATCTGGATTATCGAAAGGTTCCTCCGCTTCGCTCGTGTCGCATACCACAATATCGGCAGCGGTGGCACCAAGACCCTGGTCGAGGCTCTACCAGGCAATGCCGTTCGTGTGACGGTCAACATGGCCCGCCCCTGGACTTTCCGACCTGGACAGCACGCATACTTGTATATGCCGACTATCAGTTTCTGGCAGTCGCATCCGTTTTCGGTTGCGTGGAGTGAGGAGGCCCAGAGCATGACTTCGGACAAGCTGGCCATGAACCGGCAAGACGTGCTTGCCATGCGCAAGACCAGCATGTCGTTCGTCATCCGTGCCCGGACGGGTATGACCAACACCTTGTACAACAGGGCTGCCGCGTGTCCGGAGGGTCGCCTCGTCACCCGGTGTCTCGTTGAGGGGCCCTACGGTGGAGAGCACAGACTAGATTCGTATGGTACTGTGATGCTCTTTGCAGGTGGTGTCGGCATCACCCACGCAGTGCCGCACGTTCGGGACCTGGTCGCCGGCTTTGCCAACGGCACAGTCGCCGCGCGCAAGGTTGTTCTCGTGTGGATCATCCAGAGCCCTGAGCACTTGGAGTGGATCCGGCCGTGGATGACGGAGATCCTGTCCATGGACAGACGGCGCGAAGTGCTGCGCGTCATGCTCTTTGTGAGCCGGCCCCGTTCCACAAAGGAGATTCACAGCCCGTCGTCCACAGTCCAGATGTTCCCTGGCCGACCAAATATCGATACCCTCATGGGTATGGAGATGGAGAACCAGGTCGGCATGATGGGCGTCACGGTCTGCGGGCCGGGCGCCCTCAGCGACGAGGTGCGACAAGCGGCGCGCGCCAAGCAGTACGATGGCTCCGTCGAGTTCATCGAGGAGGCCTTTTCGTGGTGATTTCGTTTTCAATGCTTCGGCGTACGAGGTGCTTGGATTGTTAGAAGGGCCGTCCAGCGGGAGCGATGCCGCGTTGTACCTCATGGCTGTTGTTCGATTGTGCATAGTTTTCTTGGTTCGATATGACCGCTTCAGAAGTTCGTGTAGATACTTTTTCCTTTATGAAACTCCCGCTGCCTGTGACAGGCATGGTGCAATGACAATAAACCAACGACATGAGTTGACATGGATTAGCGCCAGCTCAAGTACATGTTGACATGACATGAGATGCGTGGTCCACAAGGTATGTAGATCTGAAAGTTTACAAACTGCTCTGATGGTGAGTCTTCTGCTTTGGAAGGCTGGGCTTTGTTGATCAACGAAGCCCACCAATGGCTTCCATATTGATATCCCTTGAACACAAGACCTGCCCATGATGGTGGCTAGTAGTATCTGGAAACCACGATGCAACATTTTGAAATGAAATGGCAATTATGGTTTGAAGTTGAAAGAGACTTCCAAGATAATCGAACATATGATCGAACACATGATGACCTGCCGGCGTCGATACAATCAAACCTTATCGTTCCAGCAGGAAGGAATTGCAGGTGCTGCAGGTGCTGCTTCGTGTTATGCAGGGTCGCACACCGGGCCACCTGGCTGCCGCTGACGCCATTTGCATAACTTAAACGATCCTCCCGAGGTCCAACATCACTCCTGACTTTCCAGCTACCTATCCTCGCCCACTGCGCACGTATCTCACCCTCAAACCTGATGTTGCAGTTCTATTGAAGCCGACCGGGTCATGAGACAGGCTGTGTTGGTGCTGTTGTCGACCTGCTCTGATAACGTCCGACCGTGTGACGCTTGGGCCAGCTGATGTGAGGCTGGAGACAGGCAGCCAGCCAGCTGAGAGGCAGCACTGGCAGTCTGGGCCCGAGCACCCCTGTCTGCCTGTGCCCCCAACGAGGACCCCGCGGGCTGACGCGGGTGACATAAGGTGGATGCCTCGTTGGCGTGCTGCGATGGACATGATCGATAATAACATCAACCCGTCTGAGAACATCTGAATTATTACTCACTCCCTAACACTTGGACGTCCGCCTATAATCTCCTATCGAACTTAATCTATATCCCGGTTGTCTGGCTAGACTGCTTCTGTTTAGAGGTCTCTTCTCATCACTACCTTTACGTCGGTGGTTCAGCCTCATTCCCCTAGCTCGCTCTCTAGCTTCCACTCATCACTCAACCCGCCACGACCCCGCCCCGTGCTGACCAGCTAGGACCTAGGCAGGAGGTAGACTCCCGAGGTCGCTTTCCCCAGGACCAACATTAATAACATTACTCTGAAGCTTGGAGGTAGAAGGAAAACCCTACGTCTCTCGTCTCTCGTCTCTCATCCCGACAGCCAACCCTCCGCCCAAGACGCCGCAGACATACGGACTTCCCGGTCCTCTCAACCACTCAATTCACGACCACACACCCTCGTTCGATCCTGCTCCTCCCGAACATACCACTGCCGTTCGACTGCCGACTCCTTCGACAGTAACTCCGACCAGACCGACACACACACACACACATACCTACACACCCACCTCGTGGAGATCGGGCCACAATGGGTCTAGCATACAACACGTATCTCAACAGCAGCAGGATCTACGGATGCAAGAACTGCAAGGCGCACCTCGCGAACCATGAGGAAATAATCAGCCGTGTAAGGACGTGTCTGTTCCTTGTCCCCTATCGGGCTTCCGTTGCGATCACCTTCGAAGCCGATCCAGTATCATCCAGCTAGATGCCTCGTGGGGACGGTCCCTTCGTACCAGTTTCAATCTTCAACCAACCTCCTCATACCATGCCATGGACAATAATCCAACTCAAAGTTGAGGATGAAGTTCAGAGCTCTATTTTTCCAAAATCTCCATGTCGTCCATCACCAACCCCGTCTCCTCTCTCACGCTCAGCAAGCATCTACCAAGCGGTTCCCCCAACAGAGACCAGACATACTGACCCCTCTTCTCCTACCCCAATAGAACTTCCGAGGCCAACACGGCAAGGCGTACCTCTTCAACACGGTGGTAAACATCGACTCGGGCGAGCCGTCGGAGCGTAGCATGACGACGGGCCGCCACGTCGTGCGCGACATCACCTGCCGCCAGTGCAAGGACACGGTCGGCTGGAAGTACGACAAGGCCTTCGAGACCACCGAGAAGTACAAGGAGGGAAAGTTCATTCTCGAGGCCGAGCTGCTGTGTAATGTCAGCTAGACGGACCGAGCGGACCCAAACGAGGCCCCAAGTTGGGCGTGACAGCAGCTGGACACAGACGGCACAGCCGGGTATAGCTTTGCTGCTTATTCCATGTTGGCTATGTGTGGAGTTGACGTTGAAGCCTGCTCCTAGTGCTGCAACCGACTAAGGATATGGGGAATGCTGGCCGGTCGTTTGCTACGGTCCGTCGACGGAGATTTGACAGATTATGGGAACTTGACCGCGGGGCTATTCTTTTTTCCCCATTGTTAGTCTTTTCGATAGGTAGGGAAGCTGGTTATGCATCGGGTCCGGCGTTCTCGGATTGGGCAGGATGGGACAGGACAGGACAGGACAGTATGGGACTGGGAATTGTTTGTTGGATGGATCAACGGATGGACTTCTTCATAAGTAACGGCTATCTGGGGACCAGCCTGCACGGCGTCGGGAAGAAACATGATGTTATATGGGAAGGGGGGCTCTGGTTCTTCCCACCGTATGTTTCTACACCAGACTTACACGGCCAAGAAAGTTATGAATAGAGGCAATTACTTCTTACTGGCTTCACTACCTACGAAGGATGTCGACTGGCGACATGTCTACCCGTGATCAGAAGATATAGTCGGACTACTGGTGTTGACCAAGTTACGAGTGTGTGTTGATCTTAGATTGCTGTCAGTAGTACAGCCAACGCAGGTGTCCGATAAAGGTACCGTAATTAAGGTACAGTCACCCTTCATAAGTCTCCGTCCGGCATGCCCCATTTAGTATTTAGACATTAGCGATATATTCATATTCATGGACTACCTAAGCGTCCTGAGATAAGCCGCTTGCTTGCATCTAGAAGGGTGTTTCTAATACTTAACCTATTCCAGAGTCCTTATTCCATTTATGGGGAACATACCTATCCCCTCCTTTGGTGTACGGAGACCTATGAAGACTCAGTATGTATTTACTTGTACAGAAGCAGCAAGGCCGGCTGTTAAGATCTTTCGGAATATATAAACACTACATCTTCGTATACCTAGGTAGTGACCAGAGTATTCCGAACATGGTCCACAGCAGTCAAGGTATTGATGACTACCAGACAGCATGTGACCACCTGACCACCTACGTATATACACGTCTACGTCTCACACGCGATCTCAAACCACCTTACCTATCTACCCATACACACTGAAGCAGACAGAACAAGCCGTCGAATTACCCCGAGCTATCAGCGTAAAGCCATGTATGAATGTATCAGCGTACTTACTATAACACGCCTAACTAATCCCTCAGACTTTGGCAGGCGCCTGACGTATCATAAGATCGCCTTAAGATACGGCCTTCAGTCGTGGAAATAGTGTCTGGAGTCTGTATCCCTACGACGGGATGAGTTTGGATGGATGTGCTAACTCAGGTAATAGAGATTAGTTAGATGCTTGGTGTTGAGAGTACCTTAAGCACCAGTATGTCTGCTGGTCAAGATCGAGATGATACGAGAGCAACAACATCCTTAGACATCGTCATCATGCTCAAGTGCATACTCCCAATAATGCTCCGGACAAGCATTTCGATGAAGACCAAGGCAACACAGCTTGCTCGGGTGTGAGTCGGTGATGCAACGCTTGATATTTCGAGTAATAGAAAGCAGACTAAGCATTCAAAATCCACATGCCCCTGAGCCCCCTATCCGAGCGTAAACCCCTAACGCCGTTCCAATGCATCCAGTAACAACGACTCAAACCCCATCTTCAAGCCTTGGAAAATATGCCAATCGGTCCAACAATCGGTCCATGGCCGCAGTCTCGGTGTTGGCCGGAGGGCCGAAAAACTGATCCCCCCAATAAACCCACCTAACCCATCCGCCGAGCGACGCCGGAGAAATGGCATCAAGGTTCCTTAAGCCCCAGTCCTAGTTATGCTCGATGGGCTCCTCGGGCAGAAGCTCCTCGACATTGCCGCGGGGCCGCAGGAAGGCAAAGGGCGGCTGCACGATGCCGTTGAAGAGGAAGGTGAAGTACACGAGGAGCACGAACCCGGCCACCTGCAGCCACTTGAACGTCTCCCAGCCGAGGCCCAGCGATACGATCCAGATGAACAGGGTGCGGCACGTGTCAATGGTCGAGCGCGACGTCGCGCTGACGCTGCGCGTCACGGACAGGCCGAAGAAGTTGAAGCCGCTGGGAGGAATCGCGGTTAGCATGATGGAAGAGGTGGAAGACATTACAATGCCTGGTGATTAGTGTTGACTTACCCGATGCTGATCATGATCAAGAAACTGGAGATCAGTACAGGCTTGTACTGGGTCATTTGCCGTAGTCCCTCCACCATGTCGAACACGCCATAGCGTCCCGCCTCTGTGCTGCCCACGGCAAAGTGCAGCACCAGCATACCGATCAGCGTGACAGCAAGCCCGAATAGTCCCTCCCAGCCGACGACCTCCAGGGGCTCGATGCTCGAGCGCTCCAGCAGGAACTCCTCGATCACGAACTGCGTGGCCGTGAAGATCTGGGCGCCCGCGATCAACAGTACGCCGACTACAACACGCACAGCATCATCCGGATCCTCGGCGACCGCGGCCATCATCGTGGAACCGACCTTTGCCTTCGCGTCGGGCGAGATGGCACCCGCAAGCCCGACAACTGCGACGCCAACAACCAAGCCGACTAGCGACACCCACTGGAACAGGTGCAGCTTACGATGCAAGAACATGACACTGAAGAGGCCGACAAAGAGCACCAGCGCGCCGCGCGTCATCTGGTAGATGCTAGCCGCCACCATGAGCAGGCCGGCGTTCATCAACGTCGTGCCGCAAATATCACAAATGGCCGGCAGCGCCAGCAGCAGGATACCGAAGCCCCTGAGCACACCTCCTGGGCCCCTCGTAGTCGTACCGGCAGACTTGGCCGTCCGCCCTGTGAGCGGCTGTTCCGAGTTGATGCTCGCGGCGTCGTTGTCAGCGTCTGCGTTATCGTTGGTCTCGACCGGCTGGTAGCCGTTCTCGGCGGGTGCGCGGCGATTCGCGAAGCGACGGTAGGCGGCGATGAGGCCGATGACGAGCCAGCAGCCGGCCTCGCCGACAAACATTTGCGCCGTCTGTAGTACGGGCTGTTCGAATGTCTTGTGTTTGCTCGGGTCCGGGTCGTCGCAATTGCGCACGCAGTGGTTGTCCTGGGGCGCGCGGGACGGGTTAGCTTGCTGTCATGTCTTCTCTCGCATGCGGCAGGACAAGGCGAAGGAAGGCAGCCTGGGTTCACGAACTTGGTATTTGGTCAGCAGTGTGTTGCAGACTCCAGTGAGCAGCATCATCGCGACCAGGAACGGGATCATGGCTTTGGACGCCATCTTGGCTGGGGGTCAACCAGACCAGCGAGACTTGGGATGGTATAAGGCGATAAGCGTGCTGGCTGCTTGGTCGAGGATGCTTCGTTTGGGAACGTATAAGAGAACAATTAGAGTACAACAACAAAAGAAATGAAGCCAATGGATGTTTGAACAACGGAAAGAAGCTATGGTGACCCTAAGGTGCTCTGCGGATGCGAAGCTCTCGCCAATCTCTCTGTCTCTCTTTCCCAGGAGGAGGGTTTGGTTTGGACGGGGAGTCGGAGGTGTGTCAGGTTCGCTGATTAGAGTTCCAGATATGGAGTGGAGCCACGCGTCACCAGCCGCGACCGTGCATGCCTGCAAAGTCACAACAGGGCTGGCAGTGTCAAGTCACAACCTTATCGAAGAACCACAATTGATCTGGCCCCGGCAGGTGCAGCCACATGCCGGCCGATGTGGACCTGGACCCTGCGCTAAGCATCCAAGGCGTGGAGAGGTGACCCTTCCGGTTAAGGCCGTGGCGTTGATGCATGCAGAGGAGATCTCGTGGACATCTCCAAATGTTAATGTCACCTGCTCATGTGTGATCACTAGCAGGTATGTTGAGGGCATATCGTATTTCGCCGTGATATTGACACCGATAAACATTACGTATGTACGTGTCTCATGAGCCTGACCCCAACCAGCGTCATGCTTATCCGTCTATAACAAGAAACGAATTACTCCTGTGCTCAATTGTCCGTACCAACATGATGCTTCTCGGATCGCCCAAACAAGCCACCTTGCTTCTTCGCCTTCTTGTCAGCCTCCTTCTTTCTCTCCTCCTCGGGATCTTTGTCCTTAATGTTGTTGTAATGCGGTATTCCGCGCTCCTCATCACGCGTCAAACGTTGGTAGTCCCTCTTGGAAAGCGGAACGCCCTCGATAGCCTTGACGTGTTTGCCCTCTACTCCCATCAGAATACCGCCAATGGCAGCGGCAATACATGCAAGGCAGACGAACAGACCAGTAGACCAGCTGGGTCTATCATATCTGTTGAGGGCCCACATGAAGGTCGATAGACAGACCTGGAGTAAAGTGTTGGCGACATTGAAATAAACGACAAAGTCCATCTTCCACATCTTGGTCGGCGGCGCACGAATGCCCGTAGGCGGGGCATCCGAAATCGTGTCCAAGGGATACGCCACACTGTCGACGTTGTAGGCTCTGGGGTCCATGTCTTCGATGTTCTTGGGTCCGAGATGCACAGGTAACTGCTCGGAGCCTGCCAGACGAAACCAGCCACGATGAACTCCTGCGAGTGTCCGCAGAGCTTCCTGATCCTTGCGAATACGATATTTGAGCAAATAGTACAAATCGCGGAACCGCCACGGCGCCAGACCGAAACCAGTCACACAAAACAAGGCGTTCAGTATCTGTGAATCTGTCTCTATCCATATTCGGCGTGGCGAGTCGATGTGGTTGCAGTCGCTGTGACCGTCGACTATACACATTGCTGGTGCAGCATTGCAGAGCAGCAGGAAGAGCATGCCACCCCAGGCAATAACATTGAGCGAGTAGAGTGTGAGGAAGAACCCAAAGCCCGTGTTGTAAAATTCCCACCAGGAGACCAAGCCTTGTTTGATGTTCTCCTTGACCGAATATTTGGGCGGGAAGTGGTAACCGTTTCGATACTCGTGCATCTGGACGTCAGAGCCCACACCCTCCTGAGCCTGGCTGGGCGGGAACTTTGCGCGCTGGCTCACACCACCATTCTGCTCGAAAGTCGAGGCTGTCGTGGCCCGCTCGATACTGTCGGGTTGATCACCTTTCGATATAGAGTTTGTCGTGACCAAGGTGGGCGAATCAGACGGCATGTTGGAGCAACTGCTTTTGTTGGCTTTGGCAGCCAACGAGTCGTAATGTCGACCCGTCGAGACTGGCCGCGGCTCTCTTCGAAGTTCAAGGTCGTCGCTTCGTTATTTCAAGTCGGTAGGTGTCGAGGAGGATGATGATGGTTGGAAGCCCAGATACACGACTAGCGGAAGGACGCGAAGTAGAATGAAGGTTCAGGTGGGAATGTTGATTGAATGTTCGCTCAGGTGGTTATGCTCAGGTGGTTATAGTCAAAATTACAGTCAATACGGTCAATCTGTTGCTTTGAAGAGGTCGTGCTGGAAGAAGTGAAGTCGATGATGGCAATGGAAGAATTAAAGGAACCGGTGCATGAAGAGGAAACGCAGATAATGGGACATGGGAACATTGAAGCAGGTATCTGGGGTGTCACCAGCAACTTTCCCGTCGATGTGGTACCAGGGGGACCAGACCCGGGGACGTCCCTCACACTGTACGCACACTTAAGGTACCAGCGCTTGCTTGGCAGTGGCTCCTCTGTCGGCCTGTCTAGACTGTCCTTGCTGCCTTGTCAGGAGTCGGACTCAGGACTCAGCCTCCAAGCATCACTGAAGGCATCAGCTTGACTCTCCTCTGCGGGCGACATGGAGGCCCGACTCCATGTTTCCAATGACATCCTAGTATCTTAAAAACAGCAGCTAATACTTGGAAGTTGGCGAGCACAGTCGAAGGTGTGAACCTTCTCGCCTGTGACAACCCGCCGAGCCAGTAAGGTTGCGATTGGCCGATATTACCAAAACACCTGCAGATAGCCGATATCTTCGGAGGTATGCTTAACCGTAGCTCAGCTCATGCCCTCACCCGAGCCCGTGCCCATGCCCGTGCCCGCGGTCTTCTCTTGCTTCTCTGGCGCTTCTCGCAACATCCTCCGCCTCTTGACCTTGGCTGACGACGACATTGGTGGTGCTTCGCCTCACGAACGCATCTGACTGCATATGCTTATCTTAGAGCCCACGCCTTCACCATTACGCGTCTTGAGGCAAAGTCATCGCCATTTTCCCGAGGATCATCCGTCTTCGTACGGAAAGCACCGACAAAGTTTAAGCCTGATGCTGGACCGGCAGTATTCATGCCCGTGATGATGCGTGTAAGGTACCTTGAGAAGTACGTGGAGGTGTGGTTGGACAGCCAAGAATCCGGGGATACAGCACACAGTCTGCAAGCGAGCCGGCGACACGGGGTGGCTGGGCTGATGTCACATTGGGGAACAACAGGACAGCGGCATGCCCTTGCAAGCTGATGATCTCTGAGACATGATTCGCCAACAAAACCTAATCTGGCAGTCCACTGTCTGGTGATGGGCAATCGAGATGTTTGCATGTCTCAATGCCCGTCTTTTGTAAGCTGGACTCTGGAGGCTCTGAAGCTGAAAACGGCCATCTCTGGGGTCCGGTCCTTGCATCGGTACTACATGTGATACTGTGGGACGAGAGGATCCAAGCACTCATTTTAGAACAGATTACGGTAGCACTGTGGAGGAGGGAAGCTGCAGTGGGCCAATGTTCAGCTGGTGTTGAATACACGGATGTTGATCGATTCTATTGATCATCTGTCTTCTTGGTGGGTCAGATGCCCTGTGCGTCTCTGCCCCACTGGAGATCTTCCGGTGTCTATTTCCGGCTCCCATTCAACACCTGCAGCTTTCATAAGGTGGGGACTGTCACTGGAGAGTCCAGACCTAGGTATGAGGGGTCCTGATGTTTTATTGCCATTTTACACCGCCTAATTGATCGACCATACCAATTTGCTTAACAAATGAATCGGTTACTCACACCTGTTGACCAAGACACCTTCATTGAGCCTGAATGCAACAACCCGCTCACCATGTCGGATTCCCACCACATCCGGCACCTTGTCGACACTGTTCTCGATAACCTCCAGTACCAGCATGACTGGACTCAACTGCAGGTTCTCACTCATTCGCCTGTGGACGGCTCACCTCTTCCGCGACCCCTGATCTCCGGACTACCTCTTCGCCGACTGTACCTACATCCGGATGACCAACTCGAGATGCTAAAGGCTCATCCCAAACCGGAGGACCGTCTCCCGGAGACCCCAGAGATCGAATGGGTACTGCCAACTCACCTGGCCGAGAAGTGGTCACTCAAGTCATTTGCAAGTGTCTTCGATTCCATGCCGGCACAGGCACCATCGCGCCCAGAGCGGCCCAAGAGGATTCTTCTGGCTACGATACATGACGATTCTACCATCGTGTACTACTTCATGCATGACGGCCTTGTCAAGCCCCGTCAAAATTAAATAATACTCACGGCTTGAATATCACCTTCTGCGCTTGCATCTTGTCGAACATTTCGTATCCCGACACCGCCATGGACAACGGCATGATCTGGTCAAACATGAAGCTACTGGCAGTTAACCATCACTGCATTTCGATGCATTGCCAAGTCAAGCGGCTACAGAGGATCCGAGGGAGCAACCTACCTGAAGAGATGCTGCTTCTTGGCCAAGACCTTGAGCGCGTCGGGGAATATCGAGCGGACTGGGCATCTGCCCATCTGGAGCCTCACATTCTTGCTGGGCTACGGTCAGCTGTCATCTCCCAGAGCCACATTGCAGCGTTCACATACTTATATCCATCGGTGGCCTTGTACGGGAACTGATGCATGTCAGTAGCCATATATGCAAAACCGACGTGCACATTACCTCGCCATTGTGAACGCCAATGCTACTGATGAAACCAAACGGTCTCAGCACATCATATGCCGTCCTCAGAGCAGGGCTCAGACCGACAACCTCGATCACGACATCAGCACCTCGCCCCTCTGTTACTCCTTGGATCCTCTTAATCATGCCCTCTCGGTCAGTCATGAAGTTCAGCGGTTCGGCGCCTAGGCTTTTGGCAATATCGAGGCGACTGTCAACACTGTCGATGGCGAACAGGTGCTTTGGCTTGTACTCGAGCGCCGAGACCAACGCACACAAGCCTACCGGTCCACAACCTATGATAACAGCAGTTGCCTCGGAAGGGTCCTGACTGCCAAGGGAGTTGAACGCATTCCTAGCGCCGTAGAAGCCGGTAGGGAATATGTCAGCCATAAGAACGAGAGCTTCATCATCTATCTCCGGTGGTGCTTTCAGAACGGTCCCGTCCGCCAATGGCACCCGGACGTAATCTGCCTGGGCCCCGTCAAGGCGCTCCGATCCGAAGAGCAGACTGTTGGCACATCGTGCGGTGTACCCGTTCTTGCAGTAGAAGCAATCCAGACTATGCAGGTCGCCTCAGTTAATACGTTAAGCTGCAGACTCGGTCACTCAGATCCCAACTCACCAGGACACAGTGAAGGGTGAGACGATTTTGTCGCCAACCTTCACCGTCTTGACGCTCTGTCCAACTGCCACCACCTTACCCGTGAATTCGTGGCCCATGATAAAGCCAGTGCCGCTGTGTGCGTGGCCGCGGAACGTATGAAGCTCACTGAGCGGGTCAGTTCGTCCAGCGCTGGGAGAGGAGGAAACTGGAAGCTCACGAGCCACATAATCCGGATGCATGGACCTTGACTATGATGTCCCCATCTTGCTGTACTGCCCCCTTCTGTCAGAACGTAGCACGATCAAACACTCAGAATGGCTACTCACTTTTTGGTACCGGTCTCTGCTGGAGCGAGACCTTATGCGGACCGTCGAAGACGACGGCGTTCATGGTAGTGGGTAGCTCCATTGTGATCAAACAGTTCTCCCGGCTTTGATACTGCTGCCCAAGCGCAACGTGGATGTGATGCCGTCGTGTATACTGCAAAGTATTGCCTTCCTGGATATGGTGCGCGTTGCGACCTCGGCAGTGAGGCAGGTCTGAAACGTCAAGATGATTCGATGATTCAGTGCGGGGACGTTTTGACTCTTGTGCGTCCTACGTGGGGCTCGTGGGCGGACTTCCCTCGGGTCGATTTTTCACAGCTACGAGCTTGCCTTCAATTTTTTTTGCCGAGGCCTATTTTCGCCGAGGCCTTGATTCACGATGGTGTGGTCTAAAACACCTGTGGTTTCTGGTACCGGTAGTTGTATTGTTGGGTATAGCGCTATGACCAGGTTATACTACGTAGTGCTGGCACCGTGTCGTATTGTAACAACCTATTTATCTTGCGCGTGCTGCCGCGTAAGTGACTTCTCCTCACGCCGTCCCGTCCTCCATACGGTTTTATATTACAGTGAGTCCATGTTCTCGTTTCGTCGGGACTCGTCTCAGCCCTCCTCCCTGGCAGCTGGGCCCCGGCAGGCGTGGCATCGTGTGGTGTGGCTCACCTGCTTGGTCGTCGCTTAATGTAGTAATGACGAGGTGAGGGAAGGGAAGGCCATATCGATGCTCGTGATGTATGTATCTGGACAGGTTCTAAAAGTCGAAATAATGATAAGAGGGAGCGTCCGACGCCTGGGATTCCGCGTCCCGGGGTTACCGTACTATCAGGCTATCCGGCTATTCGGCTCTCGTACTTGCTTGGTCCTTTGGCAAATGATCGCCTCGAAGGTCAAACCAAGAAATATCAAGGGTCCGCTCCTATTGCGAAGCGAAAGATGGGGATGTGATATACCTGAACGGGAGGCTGAAAGGGGCGATATGGCGGTAGCCACAGCTTGTTGTCTTTCTCAACTACCTACCTACGTGGCTAACGGGTGCTGTGGGTCCATGGTTTGTGACCGGGAGAGCCAGAGCTGCGGAATAGGTACGGATATCCTTCTCTTCCGGCCTATAGTTCAGTTTGCTGACGAGGCAGAAATCTTGTTTCGGGCGACTGGAAACGCATGACATAATCTGGCATGGAGTCATACGGGGGTGTTTTAGACTTGAAACCGTCTGTCCATCGTTACCTATATCATATGGCGGTGCCTAAAGCTCAGGCACCGAGGGCCATGTGCGTCTGCTCGGCATCGGAGGAGCTGAGGCTGGTGGTCGGCTTCCGACTGCCGTCCGGATGAGCTTGTCGGGGGATCTATTTCACTCTACCCTGAATTGTTCTGCTTGAAAGCCCGGTGAAGTAAAGGGATATGATGGGATCCCTGGCGCCGGGTGGGTATGAAAGGAAAGATGGACGATGCGGTAGGGTAAATGACACCCGGGCCCGGCGAAGGATTCAGATGATTCGGAGTAAGACTACTTACTCATTCGTGTATACCGCCCAACCCCCCTGGCTACCAAAGCTACTCCGACGAGGTGGCTCGAGAGCGGCTCTTGACTCCTGTCTTCGTCCAGTCACGCATGACTATGGTTGGGTACCTAGGTAGCCAGCGGATATGGGGCGATAGCGAGTCTAAGCCTCTCAACGCATGGCTGCGATGGGCTTAAGACTGGATCACACGGCGACTGGCGAGCAGAAAGCTTGGATATAGAATTCAATTGGTTATTAAGACTGTCTCCCATGGAAATATGCCAGGCTTGATGGCGTGGAAGGATACTTCACCGTAGCCAACTGGAGAACGACAGAGCCAGCCTTTGGGGTTTTCCACACCGGCCACCTTTGCAGTTTTAATGGTTTCCATGTAATATACCTATGTAGAAATGGTGTGTATAATGATACGCATCATAATCGAAACACACGAATCGGCTGGTTCCGTCTCAGCATGCCTGCTTGCGACCGACGGGATATTTTTGCATATGTATGTATCGCCTGGATAGGCCAAGGCTCTATCTACAATGGTCTCCCTACGCACCGGAGGCCGTATCTTCACATTCACTGCACCGCTTACTGAGATCCGTATCCCTGAACTTCACCACATAATGTGTCGTCGGATCACTCTCGAGTCTCCAAGGAGGACACGTGATTCTCAGTCAGTGATGCCTTTGGAGGATAGAAACCACATGCTGTGACGGCGTGAAGAGCGCCGTCGGGACTGAAAGGTAAAGAAAAAGACCATAAAATAGAACATACTCCTCTGTGAAGCCACAGAACAACAGGCGGTGACCTGGTGGGAACATACGCATATTCGAGATGGTGATGTCGAGTCTCCGGGTGTCAGCACCGCCATCCCCGTCCAGGCCTTTGGCTCACGAAGATATCGACCACATTCACCGTCTTTCGGTACGCTAGAGTGGAAAGATTTGGCGACTTGATGATAGTCTCGGCCAAGTCGATGAAAGATATTGTCGATATGTGATACAAAGCTGCAGCTGGGGATCCACGTGGAAAAGACGGTGTAAGGGGGGCTTATCACGTGGTGCTACGTACAATCATCGTGAAGACTGTGCATGATATCTATTGAGAGGGACAGGATATCCTACGAGGAGGGACCTGAAGTCGATGCGTTATTGTTTATTCTTTTCGATGCCACGGCTGGTGCTCAACGAGGTGAGAGCCTGTCAGTGGGCGCTATATTAGAGGAGGCTGACCTGACGGACACTCAATGTACTTCGATCTTCTCAAATAGATCATCACGATAAACCAACACAGGTTGGAATACTGGACTGGCGGATCTATCGGCTGGTGTTGCTGGATCAAGGTATCAAGTGCCAACAATGTGCGGCTCGCAAGGGGAGGCTCAGCTCTGCCACGCAAGCAGGCCGGCCAACCGAGGCGGCTGAATGAGAAGGTTTCAGATAAGACCTCACCCACGAACATGACAAATGGGAGCCCGCAGACACGTTCTACTTGTCATACGTAGACTTTTTCCTTGCGGGCGCCCCCGTCACCGTGGCTGATCTGATGACGAACACGAAGCCTGCCGTATTTTGATGAAGGATCCGGAACGGCCAATCGCAATGATCGGGTCTAGCGGGGCCAGCGCACGATGCGTTGCGTTGCGCGCTGAGCCGCAATGTTTACGAATAAGACAGCGAGCGATATATCCGGGGCTGGGACCGCCGTTTAGACGTCCAAGACTGCGATTCCCGCTTGGCAAGTCAAGGAAGCTGGCCAGCGAACCATGCTTGGACGGGGGAAATAATTTGTGAGTGGTCTGGTTGCGTGTGAGGGTTGGCAGCGGCCATCACCGGCCATTCCATACTGCTGGCTCGATGTCTCTGGATGGATGGTATGATGGACAGTGCCATTAATAGAGCAGAAAATGAGAGAGAGTCAATTTGGGAAACTTGATGCGCGAGAAAGCTGGGGGCCAAAGCAGATAATAACAACGCTTCCTGTGGCATAGGGTGGACGAGCCCATGGCTGATGGAGGGGTCACATCGGGTCACATCGATGGAAGGGGATGGCAGGAAGTTGAGCAAGATCAATTGGACGCTGGGTTGGATGCTGGGTTGGAGACGACAGATACAGACGCATCGCCGGCGACACAGGACGGCGAGGTGCGGCACAACGTCGACGTTCAGTTCTGCGATTGGAGGCGGCTGAAGGGCATCGCAATTGGGCTTGGCAATGAGGCGGAGTAGGTACAATAGGAGCTGTCGATCGCTGGGGTCAAGGTGTCTCCACTCTTCAGGCTGTAGTCTATCAGCTGACGACCACCTGCCTGGGCTGCAGACAGCAGACTGCAGTGGTGCCAGCCCCACACCTGCGCCGTTGTGCGCTCTGATAGGTGTCCACTAGCATTGTCATCAAGCCCCGTACCTGACCGCCGCATCTTCCGCCGTTATCCCATCACTCAGGTCACCCACGCACCCACGCACCCACGCTGTTTATGCAGACACAGACGACGGCATGCCGCATGCATCTCGCATTGCCATTTGACGCCCTTCTTACCCTCCCAACCCCATCCCCATCCATTCGGCCTGGATACCTACACCCGCAATTTCCTCACTCCAATCATACAAGGCAGCATGGTCCTCTCCCCCTTCGATGCTGCTGCCTCCCCCCCAAGCCTGAGTATGAGGGCTATCTCCTTTTGGACTCTCTTCCTATTCACATAACAAATCATCGATCTTGCACTTCCCCGCCTCTGCGTCGGTCTAGACGTGAAATATGCCCTGATGGTCACGACCACGCTGTCGCCATGACGAACCCCATACTTGGTGTACACGCGTATGTAGCTAGTCAGCTAGGCTGCCTATTTCATGCAGGTGTGCCATGCCACCAGCTACTCAAGTCGAGTCCTGAGGAGGCGGACGACGTCGTGCTCACTCACCATATTGGGCAAGTGTTTTCAAATATCGAGAGGCCTCCAGTGGTCTGCAAGTCCCCCGGGCTCCACAAAACACCACCTCCTCTTTTCCGTTGCCTACCTTGGGTCCATCCTAGGCAAGGTCCATAGACCTCGAGGTCCGAGGATGTCCAAGATCCAAAGTGTTGCATGGTCGATCCGCCGACTTGACTTGACCACAGTCTTCCGAGAGGTTCACCGGTCCTGAGGATCCCGTTCTGGGAGTTGGGGGAATATGCCAGTCCGATGCAAGACGTTTACCGATCCTTTGTCAACCAGCAAAGGCAAGAAAAGAACCTTGCTTGGCACGCATCATGCAGAGACATGCAGACGGAGGCTTCGCGGGCACCGGCTACCTCCTGTACCTCTGAGCTGGTGCGGCTGTATTGACGGTATCGAGTATCAACGATATGTCGTGGTCGAGAGCACCCTCTACTCGCATGGGGTTCCACGTCACGCATGGCCAAACGTCCGCCATACTTGCGTATTGCAATGCGGTCTTTCTGAGTGGCTACCCAAACATGAAGTGCTCCAAGACCACATTTGACTCGACTGTAGTCATCCCACCCTTCCGTTCTGCCAGATGGCGAGCTGAGGGAGAAAGATGTGCGTACATGGGAGTACGTCGCCATCCATAGTCGAAAACCGGGAAACAACCTACGGCGTCATTTTACCGTTTGCCAGACACCCTCCTGACGGGAGCTCAGCAACGGGTGGTAAATGCCAACGCCAATCACTTCCGGGTTGCATGTCACTTTGCGAAGTGAAGACACCCTGACCCAATTTCCGAGCTACGTAATAACCCGACGTATGCATTCATGTTCAGTGGCAGCCCAATCGTGCCAATCTATGGTGGTATGGAGTTGCGCCGCACTCCTGCACGAATCGAGGTTTGCCCACCGCCTTCAAGGTAACTGACTTCTGCACATACTGCGTGGGTGGCTCAGAGTCCGACATGAGAAACAGCTGACCTTCGAAGTAATTGCATCTCGCTCGCTTGACTTGGCCTGCCTCTCTGTCTTCCGAAAGCCAGCTTCAAGAGTGACGTACCATCACAAATCTCCAGTGTCGAGAGGCGACATTGGATGGCTACTAGCGTTGCCGCATTGCGAATCTGCTCCTGAATCCTGAGTCCTGAGTCCTCGGTGCCTTTCTCCCCGCAAAAGGCTGGTCCCATGTTCCATCTGACAGGCTCCCACTCCATCTCAACATCCTGGCCATACGGGACACATCCTGGTCGATCAATATCGTCCTGCTTATCATTCCGTCGGCTGTCCTGCCGTCATCTGCCTCGAGCATACTCACAGGATGCGTGTACACAACCAGGCAAACGACACACATGGCGCCTGTTTACCAAATCACCAGGAGTATGCGCGCAAGAGGATTATTACCCGAGCAGCTGGAAATTGCATGACTTGGCAGGGCTGGTTTGCACCTGAGAGATTGTTCTGCGTCGTTTGGATGGGTATATCAACCGGCGGCGTTTCTGACGGATAGCTGCTCCTCCCGCGTGGTTGCCAGGTGGTTGCTCTCGCATACTGAGAGGCTTTGCGCCGCGAGGGAGGGGTTGATCGACCTGCTTAAACTTGCCTGACCCGAGGTGCCAGACAGCCAGCCAAGAGAAGGCCGAGTGAGAGAGCATTACATTCGAATTGGAGCAACCGTTCTGCAGAGCTGCAGGCGGGGGTTGCATCTGGCATTGAATTGGGAACTCATTGGACGGAGACGCACCGTTGCGGCGTAGTAGGTTCTTAAGGTAGGTACAAAGTACATCTCCAGCTCCATCTCCAGCAGTCCTGGCGTGCACCCGCGGCACCAGTGGCACACCACACCGGTGTGCTTGGCGCTGCTCCAGAGCGAGGTAGTCAGGTACCAGCTACCTGCCGTCGAACTTACGAACTTATCCGCACCTGCCCCAGAGTCCAGACGTGCGCCGTGCTGGGTCACCACTCACAGCCGCATTTCGTCGCCGCACGCCTCTCATCCTTCTGCACCCGCAGCACCCGTTGACAACTTGACCACAGCGCATCCCGCATCATGACTGCAACCACCAGATAGTTGATGCCTGGCAGTCAATTGTTCAGGCGCATCGGCATATTCCCGACAGAGACTTATTACAGAGGAGCGTCTGACTTATCCTGGGGTCAATCTCATCCTTCTCGGGTCCGACTCTTTACCTACCTTATTAATACGTAGGGTCGTTCTTGGTGCAAGGCGGGAAGCAGAGCCGACGACACTACCACACGCCCCTAATGTCATTATTATTACTTCCGTCTGCCCGCTGCCATTATCTAGTCGATGTTGACCCTGGCCTGGCCAGACTCGCCGTCGTTGACGAACCCAGACGGTGCACTCGTTTTCTGGAGTCTGGAGACTGGAGAACTGGGGGAGACTGGAGAGACTAGTCAACAGTCATCATCGTCTTTTGGGCTGAGTCCTGACCCCCAACCCCCTGCTGCGCCTGGCCAAGCAGAGAGTGAAAGCTTGACAGTTTGTAGACTAGCCCTCGGTTTGGTCTGGTGTGGTCGCGGGTATTGCCATTCATTGCCGTTGCGGCGTTGCCTCGATACCGTACGGTACCTGCCCTCTGCTTCCTGCCTCCTCAAGTGCTGCCCTCTGCCTATCACGCGCCGCAATCTGGCAACGTAATAGTCAAACTGATCCATCCCAATTTCCATGTTTTCCCTTGTTCCTTAGCGAGCACAGCGAAACCAGCGAAGCAAGCGAACCCATCCCGTCCCACCAGTAACCACCACCACCACCACCGCCATCAAAAGAGGAGGCTCCGCGGCTACTCCCCGCCTTAATTCTCTCTACAGACTACGCCAAACCTTACCCGATCTGCCTACCTAATAATTATTACACACAAGTTCACAACCTCGATCCGGGTCACGAGCGTCTGCCTTCTGCTTCTGTGCTTCTAGGCCTGGGCACCTGGCGTCTTTGATAGCCCTTCACCCGCATTTCATGTAGTAGCAGAGTATTAGCAGGAGCAGCAGCAGCAGCAGCTTCCATCAACAACCGTCACCTACGCACCACTCACTCACCACTCACCACTGGCCACCCGCCTGCACCCACGACCCACGACCCACGACCCACGCATCGCGGTGTGGTTACATGCCTCTCGCTCCTGGTCCTGGTCCCCTTCTCCTGGTCCCTCCAGGTTCCCCTCCAACCCTCCAATCCGTAATCCGCAATCCTCATTACACGGGTTCCTGCTCCACGGCTCCTGTTCACCTCAAAGTTAGCCATTGCCGGGGTTTCTTGCTGTTTATACTGGGGTCCAACATTTACCCGCATCATATCTCCCCGTCTCCAGCTACTACTTTACGCCAACCCTGATTCCAGGCGCGGCTCTTTCCAGGCTTCGTCTTCCCTCCCCTGCTGCGAATCTTCCCCGGATCTTGCCTGGGACACCTGGACTACCGTGCGCATTTTGGCCGAGACGTTATCCAAGCTTCTCCCCGCCTTCTCGCTGCGCACACCGACCTAGAGATACTCAAGACGAACCAACTCTACGCGCCCCCCGACGCGGTCGCGCTAGGTATCGCAGTGCGCGCATTTGTTCCGGTTCAATCGTGAAATCATTTAGTCGCCCGCGTGCGCATCTGGACCGATATCCGCGTTTGCGCCGCCGACTTACACCAGCTTGGAGGGGTGAGCGCGAGCTTGGCTGTGATACAATCACCTGGGCCCTCCTGGCCCGAACCAAAGGGGAAGCAAACGATCGCTGTTGTTTGATGATGAGTTGAGAACACCGATGCGTGAGTAACGGCCACTACATGCCAGCCAGAGACAGCATGACTACGACCGCCGGCGCAAGCCTCGCTCATGACCCTTCAGCTGGCGACATGTACGACCCGGATGAGGTATTCCCACAGAACAGTCCCTTGATGAAACCCTACCGCCCCAAGCTCGAACCTTCGCCCTCCCCGCCGGCTGTGACTCTTCCTCAAGTCAGTCTTTCTCTCAGTCCTGGTCGAAAGTCTTCTAACGGTCGACGCAAGATCCAGCCCAGCCGAGGCGATGCCGTTCTGATCTATCACCTCGATGGTGGAAAGCACCCAGAGATCGCCACCGAAGCTGGGTTCCGACCTCTAACCCACGCCCACTCCGAAGACGGCGAAGACCAGTGCGGCAGTGACACGGAAGATACCTTCGATGACTCGGGGGATGAGGAGGAGGATATCAGAAGCAATGAAATGTCGCCCGTTCCTGCGCCAGCGCCACGCCCTGCCAAAACTGTCGCCAAGTTATCCGGGCCGGGTCTGATAGACTTGCGATTCTTGGCGGCGAGCGCGACGAATGCGCTCGCCGCCGCCGCCAACAGTGTTGTCTCGGAGCCGACAGACGCAGAAGAACCCCGGAGGCTGAGCGTTGACGCGCGGGTTGCGAGAAGAGCAGGGCCGCTGGAGAGTTTGGTGGTGAATGGGACAAGAGAAGAAGATGTCACGATGAAGGATACAATGAGACCTGTGCTAGCTGCGCCCATATCACCTTATCCGTCACAGGGTTCACAAGAGCTGTATTCTCCTCGACAACATCCTCTGGGGCAGGTCCTGATGCATCCAAACGATGTCAGGTCGCCAACTAGCCTAACGCCGGGCGGTCATGGGGACTTACCACCAATTCAAGTCGCCTCTCCCCAGTCTGATACGGCCAGCCATGACACTCTCCCTCCCATAAGATCGCACTTGTTCGAACAACTCAGCGGTCCAGCGAAGGATATAGCCATGCGCAATGGAACTCAGTTCCCCCATTCACCACCAGCTGGCCCGCCACGCATGGGGGGGTTGCCTATAGGTCATTCATCACCACCGATATCGCCAAACGAGGTTTATCGACATAGCATGCCCTCTCCAGCTCAAACCATTCCCGGCATCATGAGTCCATACTACTATTCCAGCGCTAGCAGCACAAGCCATCACCGCTCTGGGCCAGATTATAGTAGCAGCAATACCGAGACGCCAAATACCGAAGTGTTAACCCCAGCTACTTCGATCACGGACAGGATGAGTATCGACAACATGACGAATCCACAGGTTGGCCAGTTTATCTGCACGTTCCACGGGTGTAATGCGCAACCCTTCCAAACACAGTACCTACTAAACTCACACGCAAACGTACATTCCTCTGCGCGACCGCATTACTGTTCTGTGAGAGGATGCCCGCGGAGCGAGGGCGGCAAAGGCTTCAAGCGCAAGAACGAGATGATTCGACATGGCCTCGTCCACGATTCACCAGGTTACGTGTGCCCGTTCTGTCCAGATCGAGAGCACAAATATCCGAGGCCGGATAATCTGCAACGGTACGTACGACATTGGTTCTTGGGACTACTAAATGTCCGCCGGACATAGTTCGTTGCGTATTGACTGAAAGGCTAGACACGTTCGAGTACACCACGTCGACAAGGACAAAGATGACCCTGCATTGCGAGACGTACTTTCTCAACGTCCCGATGGGCCTAATAGAGGGCGGAGACGTCGCGGTGGGCCATAACATATCGCAACGTAGAAAACCTCCACTAAACAACACCCAGATAACCTACTATTACCGACGTAACCGTGGCCAACCTGGGATTCGGTGTACATAAGCAGCAGACGATATCTCTCCCCGACGGCGGTGGCGGCGGCAGGTAATTTCATTGCCAGGTGGTTGTGGGTGGCAACGGGTCACGGGTCATACATACCTCAAGGGGAAGGAGTTCGGTGTTCTTGGGCGCAAGCGATTATACCACGCCTTCAGGGGGCACGTCATTGGGGGCGGATGTTCCCTTTGTCGCATTTTTCTTGCATCCATTCGCTACCTTTTCGGGTCGAGGGCACGCTGAAGAGGGGCCTGGATTACTGAAGTTGATTTTGCAGTGTTGTTGGGGCTCACTCGTCTACCGGGACGATCGACTGGCGTTTCTCCTTCACGAAACACGAGACCATGAACGAGGAGAAGAAGAGAACGAGTCCAAAGAAAAGCTCGCTGGTCTGGGTCGCACTCTTCAACACACAACCTTCACTTCCCTTCTTCCTACTCTTCTCTTCTTGTAAATATCTTACTTACCAGGTGAGTCTGTGCCACGTAACCCGCGAAGCTCGGAGGTGGCGGGAGCAGGGAGGGGCTGACGATATGTGGACGGGTGAATGAACAGGAAGAGAGGAACTTCTTATCTTCTGCGTTGCCTTGTGATACCGAGGCAGAAGGGAATCGTGCCCCAGGAAAGAGACTGAGATGGAGGGAGGAAGGGAAGAAGAGAAGAAGAGCGAGCGGGAGTGGGATGATAGCACCTCCCGCGCCAGAAGAGATATGAAAGAAAGAGGTGTCTATCCGCCGAGAAGCTGAAGACTACCCATGGAGAAATGAGATATACCCCATTTAATCTTTTGTTGAACTACCTTACCTACCTACACTAGTTGATCCCATCGTGGCACTGTGATACTCGTGTTCATTTCCTTATACTCACGCTTGTGGTTGCTTGAGATGTGGTCGGTCTCGTTGCATGCTCTATGTCTGTTTGTCTGTATTGACAGTGACGGTTATACTGATTCATCTGCCACGCATGAATAGGTGTCGTGGTATCCATTCCAAGATTACGGATCTTGAAGACCGCTATATATACTTAGGTAATCAACCAGACTCCTCGGTTCATGCTCGCTCACCTTCCCTCATCTCATGTTCACCCCTCATCTCATGTTCACCCCTCATTCCATGTTCACTCCTATTTTCGTCCTATGCTCATCTCCCACAATCCTTCCATCGACATCCCTTCTCCCGTCCTATTCATCCTCCTGTCCTACTCATCCATCTACAACCTCCCACCCCCCAACAACCGCCCGCCCATCACTAAACACCTCGACTTGCAGCCCGTCCCCGTTTCCCTCCCCTACCCCCTCCGCCGAAGCCGCAGACCCACCCGCAGTCGCCGGCCCGACGCCCATCTGCTCGACCACGAGCCAGAGGCCGCCGCCGCACCGCCGGGGATCGATATCGAACTCGGGCGTGCGCAACCCGAGGCCGACCTCGCTGAACTCGCCATTACCACCAGGGCCGGTCGCGGCGAGGACCTCGCGGTGCGGGCCGCGGCCGCTCTCGAGCGTCATGCGTATTGTCGGGTGGGAGCGTGGGATCCCGCTACCGCTACCGATGTTGCTGTTTCTGTTGTGTGAGGAGAAATTGGGGTGGTGACTGATGCTCCGCGTGAGCACGACACTAGCGCGCGTGAGTCGATCCACGGACACAGAGGCGCGCTTCTTGTTAGACTCGCCTGAACGAAACGCGAGCGGGGGTAACTGGGCGCGCAGACGGCCGCCGGCGTCGGGCGGGACGGGCGCGACGGTGCAGGGCACGTCGGAGCCGACGCGGAGGGTGAAGTCGGCCAGGTGGCCCGGCTCGAAGGTCGAGCAGACGACGGTGTAGACGCCGGCGTCGACGGGGGCCGAGGCGAGGGTTTCGAGGGCGCAGCAGCCGCGCCGGTAGTCGCCCGACGTGGCGACTAGGTCGCGCACCGTGACGGCGGTGACGCGGCGGCCGCGCGCCCAGACTAGGTCCGTGTGCACGGGCAGGTCGTCCCGGGACGTCGAGAGCAGGATCGAGAGGAAGCTTGGTTGGGGGAGTGTGATGCTGAACTGCGGGTTGGTGAGGTAGGTCGGGGAGGCGGAGTTGCCGCCGCAGGTGCGGCGCGTCCAGCTGCTCTTGAGCTCCGTGTAGTGCTTTAGGCTGTGTTGCGCGGGCACGACGGTCAGGGTGCTGCGGGAGAAGAAGGATAGCGTGAAGGAGTAGCTCGGCAAGGGGAGGTCCTGCGAGGCTACGACGATGGTGTATCGCACGCCTTTCTTGGCCTCGAAGGGCGCGAGCGTCTCGGGCGAGTCGACGAAGGGACCGCGGTAGATCGACTTGTCGCTTAGCTGGACGCGCTCCCCGTTGTTGGTGAAGATGTACAGACTCATGAAGCCCATCATGTTGGACACGGCGGCGAGGGTGGTGGTGCGCTTTCGTGCGATCTCGAGCTCCGCGTCTTGGAAGTGGCGGCTTAGCAAGATCCAAGTCTGGCCGTCTGCTTGGGCTGTCATGGAGTACTGTGGGTTGTGTGCGAATGAGCCAGCCATGTTTGCTTCGGGTAGTTGCCATGTGAAGTGGTGATCCTGGCGCTGCGTGAATAGACTTGGGTTCCAGTTGAGATACAGCGATTCGAAGTTTTGTGTCACATCGTCGAAGCTGATCCAGAATGAGCCTGGCTTCACTTTGACCGGGTGGTCATTGGCTTCACCAGGTGCCTTTGCGGATGAGGACCCAATACCCTTCCATACGAGTCCATCGCACCATGGATTCTTCACGAGAAGTCGTCTGTCCTCGGGTGTCTCGGACATGTCGAGCACGGCATAGTCGTGCTCCCCGGCTAAGCCCATAGTTTCTTCCTCGTCTGGCGACAGGTGGCCAGTGCCAAGCGTGACGACAACGTCGCCATAGTCATAAGCCTTCTTTACCCTCTTCCAAGTCGCGTTCCAATCCAAGTCGTCGCTTTGCAAGAATAGCTGCTGCGGTATCCAGCCCGTCAATACGCAAAGATCAGTGCCGGAGTTGCTACCGGGGAAATCGTAGCCGCCTCGTACTTTGAGGTACGCCTTCTCCATCAGCGCAGGCCAGATGAGCTTCGGATTCTGGCGGTCGACAACGTAGAGGGTACGGTCGTTCGAAGACGACGGGAGGCAATCATCGATGACTACTCTGCGGAAACAGCCATTGAAGAACATCCGGAATACGTATTTCCCGCTCGCAGAGATTCTTGGTTGGCCGTTCTCAGACTCTACCGGGAACATCAGCGCCGGGAGGATGGATGTCGGCCCCGGACGCAGCTGCTTGATACTTGCGCAGAGACTGGCGACTACAGAGCAGTCCGTCGTTATGTCTTGAACTAGATCGTAGTCGTGGCCTGCTTTCATCCAGCAACTCTCATTCGGGTTCTCGTTAGATCCCACTCCGTCTCCGAACAACTCCAGCGGACGTTTCCATCCTGCGAATACTGCCTCCTGTCTTGCAGATAAGGAGAAGGAGGAGGGATCGCTTTCGCACGTCAGCAAGTTCTACCTACACACTGACTTGGCTTCTGTACACATACCGAAACGGGCCGCCAGTAAAGTCCGCAGGATCAGGATCCGATTCCCACGGGGGAAACGTGTTTCCATGCAGACGTGCGTTGCGATATAGGAGGCTCTTCTCACTTGTAGGAATCTGGCGCACATGACGCGGCAGCTGGAGTCTCCTTTCGACATGGCTGACGCTGTCTGTGGCCTGGGCGGCTCTCTTCAACCCCTCGGCTCGCAGTATTAGGTCTTGACATTTCTTGTTCAGACGTTTCCTGTCTGCGACCTGGGGCGCTTCCTTGGCGGCTTTCATGTACAGCTCTGCGGCTGCTACTGCGTGGTCAAGAGCCTCTTTCCCGGAGGTCTTGGAGACTAGCGCCTCGCGTTCCTGGCTACTGTCAGAATGTTGTATGACTTGGTGCCTAGTAAAGCGGCTTCAATGCTTACCCTGGCTTTTGCTTCCATGGTGGAACATGTGCTGTTCACTGCTGCACCTCTGTTGGACCGCGCCAAAAACGAACTGTCGATTGGCCTTCATGGAGAGAAGGCAGGAGACTGCTCAGGTGATTTAATTGGGGAGGCCAATGTTAGCAAACCTCGAGTCCCAAAGCAGCCGGCTTGAACCCCAAATGGTCAGGTCGTTGGGGCATTGGGAACGATGAATGGAACGGCGAATCTGAGGCTCACGCCCGATGCGACTACCACCAACGAAAGAGGGGCTCCTGCTGATTCAACAGCAGTGGCTGTATGATCGGTCATGGACATATGGGACTTGCATACAAAATGAACTGATACATTTATCATAGAGGCATGCACTTCAAGCCAAAGCTGACTGAAACTCGACAAGTCAGTCAAATGATTGCTGCACTATGGTGGTCCAAGTTCAATCCAGTTGGTTGATACACGCCGTTGCACAGACCACCTACGCCGTTTGATAAGGGTGCCATTCCGCGCTAAAAACGGCCAAGGGGAAGCTTGGAAGATGCCGAAAGATGGGGGAGCCCAGAAAACGGCCGAGGTCCAAAAGCATCTCGGGCCATCGCAATGATTTCACAAGCGGAAGCAAGGCTCTTTGGTGCCATGCCCTGCTGTCTGTCGCCTTATCCATGACGGTATATCGTAGTTTGCTACTGGTTCTTGGTTATATACAGATAACACACTTCACCTTTTCTTCCAATTCCCTTCTCCCAGGATGCGGTAGTAGCAGCTGCTGTGGTTAACATAACGGCTTTATCCGCCGAGTCAGTCGGCAACCAGTGTGCCCACCTTCCGTCATCGCGGGCTCTTGGTGGTTCTGCATATATACAAAGCGCATCACCCAGCGCAGAGGACTTTGCTCTCAGTCTTCGTCCTCCCGATAAACCCTCGTCTTCGTTATGGCCGCACTATCGAAGCCTGCCCCGCTCCCACCTTGGGGTTATGCTGTAGCTGGTTCGACCGGCGCTGTCCTGGCCAATGTCCTGGTATATCCCTTGGACATGTGAGTGCTTCTCTCTTGCCCAGCCGCAACCTGCAGAATTGCCGCTGACAGCTATGCCTTCGACAGAGTAAAGACCCGCCTGCAAGTCCAGGTGACGCGGAAGCCCGGAGACACCTACGTCGAATCGGACCCGCACTATACATCGACATGGGATGCCATCACCAAGATCGTGGCCGAGGACGGTATCATGGGGCTGTACGCGGGAATGAACGGGGCTATGCTTGGAGTCGCTTCGACGAACTTCGCCTACTTCTACTGGTACTCCACCGTACGCGAGCTATACTTTAAATCACAAAAGTTCCCTGCTCCCCCATCTACGGCCGTGGAACTCGTTCTGGGTGCTGTCGCAGGTGCCGTCGCTCAGCTCTTTACTATCCCGGTCGCAGTAGTCACGACAAGGCAACAGACACAAAGCAAAGCAGACCGAAAAGGTCTGCTGGATACGGCTCGAGAGGTCATCAACAGTGAAGATGGTGCTTCTGGTCTATGGAGAGGGTTGAAGGCGAGCCTGGTCTTGGTTGTGAACCCTGCTATTACATACGGCGCATATGAGCGATTGAAGAACGTCATATTTCCCGGAAAGGCGCGTTTGACTGCAGGAGAAGCTTTTCGTAAGTTCATCATGTCTTGGAGAGAGGCAATAGACTAATGTTGATGTCAGTGCTGGGCGCTTTGTCGAAGTCGTTGGCTACCATCGTGACGCAGCCCCTGATCGTTGCCAAGGTCGGGTTACAATCGAAACCACCCCCGCAACGTCAAGGCAAACCTTTCAAGGGCTTCATCGAGGTGATGCAGTTCATCATCAAGCATGAAGGTCCGTTAGGTCTGTTCAAGGGTATCGGTCCCCAGATCTTGAAGGGGCTCTTGGTACAAGGAATTCTCATGATGACGAAAGAGCGGTAAGTACCTCCCACTTCGATAACCTGCTCTCTCAACTAACTTTTCTTTACTTAGTATGGAACTCGTGTTTATCCTTCTGTTCAGATATTTCCGCAAGGTTCGGTCTGAACAACTAGCTAAAGCAGCGGAGCTGGCATCAGCAGCAGCCTCTAAGGCTAAACTTGCCATACCTATCACCACTAGGTGAGGCCCTCCAGGCTTTTAGTTGATGTGAAGATCTGGGGAGACAGCCTTCAAGGGAGATTCCCTCCAGGGAGACGCATCGTGAGCGGTTATGGGTTGGGATTATCGGCAGTGCTTGGGAATTTATCTGTACATTTTAGTCGTCAGGCTGGGACATGGCGCCGTCGATAGTTGAGCATAATGAAATCTTCGTAAAAGTTCCATAATGGCTGCCATAGGTTGCCTTGAACAATGATGGTGATGATTTGTCTGGTCTCAAATCAATTGACTTTGCCCAGGCGGCTCGTGGCAGCTGCTATCAACTGCTCCACCTCTGTGGCCAGCCCCACCAGAACCTTGTGGCTAAGCACCTCGCTTAGCCCTCACGCCCACAATTGGCAATACTCAAGCAATCCACGGAAAACGTACTTCGGCATTTTTCACGAACAACACCCATCTTCGAGACATCCCGCATTTCCCAAGCACAACAGCACAAGATCTGTCGCAATGGCGAGTACGTATCCCGCTTAATGCGCTTCGTCTCTGCAGCGTTTTCGCTTACATTCGTGTTCAGAATCCAAGAACTCGTCTCAGCACAACCAGTCGAAGAAGGCTCACCGTAACGGGTATGTCATTGTCAAACCGAGAGGTGCTCCGCGAGCATGGCATCCCGGTCGCTACACACGAACCCGACAGTCGAAGGCGTAGATGGGAATAGATTGGGACTGACGGAACTACGATTCACAGTATCAAGAAGCCTAAGACCAACCGATACCCGTCGCTGAAGGGAACCGACCCCAAGTTCCGACGCAACCACAGATATGCTCTCCACGGCACACAGCGAGCCCTGGTATGTCACCTACACCAACAGAACGAGGCCTCGGAGGTTTCGTGCGCCCAAGACCGCGAGGGAGACGCGCTAACCCGCCATACAGAAAGAGAAGAAGGAAGGCAAGCGGGAGACGGTCTGATGGACTTGTTGAGGATGGGGTTACAACGACATTGCGGACGAGCATCTGGGCACTTTCGGAAAGTGTGGACACAGTCATGGAGTCACGGTCATGCATTTTGCCGCCTGGGTCCAGGCTAGCTTCTATGGAGAAGATGAACGAGTAGTCGAGACGAACTACGACCGCCAACCAACCCGACCGACTTCTCGCATCGTGCTCTTGTGTGAGATGAGGATTCCCCAGCAGGCCCAAGGCCAAGTGCTGGGTCGTTCGGTCCAACCTCCCGGATTTCCCTCATCGCCCATCCCCCATCCCCCAATCCCCCAACTATTCTATGAAAACAGAACGGCATATGTGTGTACAGCTCTGGGCCCTTTCCATGCCTTTTTTGCTGAAGGATTATCTTCTCGTGCCGAGAGTATCTTGCCCAACTATTTACCAAACACCCGAGCCTCGAATTACCTCCAAGGCAAGGGTGCATGGAGCTTGGGATACATACCAAGTGATTGTTTCTCCTGAATTTTTTGCATTCCGCTAGGATTTCAGGCCATGGACCGACTGCCTATATCTGGCCATGTGTTCGGTTCCTCAATATGCACATCGCCCTTCTTCTCATATGGGACCGCTCCTTGCTGAGGCTCTTCTAATGGTTTGTATTATGTATCTGATGCCAGAACACAACCCTCGAGTAGGGATGCTCCTAACCATGATTGGTACTTCGACACACTTCCAGTAAAGCGGCTGACAAAACAAGTATGTGGTGTAATACACTTACACAATGGACAATTGGCTGGAACGAAATATAAAATCGCTGTTGTCCGCCAGCGGCGTGGAGGCGATGGCCAGCCTCACCCAAGCAGCGCAATTCTAGCGAGCCAGTACTTTTTGCTTGCCACATGTCAGCGGCTGCTGCCAGGACTAGGAACACCTTAAGTGGACTGAGTGTAGCGCTCCGTCCTTACCTATATACGAGAAGCATTGTTGATGCGCATGATGTATTGGATCAAGCGTCTGCCGTGAAACACACGATGGACAAGCTCACTAGCCCCAGGGTTGCTTCTACGGCGTCGGCACGTACATCTCAGGCGTTGTCAATTAAGACCCTGGCAGCAGCCTGGCACCTGGAACACTGAATTATGCACGGGCTATTGCTAGTGAGACACGCAAGGCTGATAGCGGGAAGAAACGAATTTGTTTCGAGATACCACAAAGAGATGATCGATTGGCTTGATGTGATGAAGCGTTTCCCATCGGTCCTTGTTCCAGGGTCTGTTTCGGAAACGGCCGAGTGTGATAACGGCAGACCTCGGAAAACTGCCTAGGTTAGACAGCTGTGCTAAGGCTGTAGCTTGGGGGCGGATATACAGCAGTACATGTAGTGATACCTACCTACCTAGCTACATACAGCTCCGATGGAATAACCAAAACTGGACGACATCCAAGGTTCTTGGTCCGAGCTGAACCGTTGTTTCCAACGGCAATGGATAGGAGACGGGAGCGGGACCCACTGCAGAAGATCCAGGGGCTGGCGGGGCTAGACCCCTCCCCACACGCCCACCTGCCAGCCAGCAAGCAGTGCGGCCCCCAAAAGGGACTGGTCACAGTTGCTTTAGGCTTCCATTGCGCTGAGCAACTGTAGCACTGATTGGTTGGGCCAGCCCTTTGTGCGCCAAACGGCAAAGGTCTATGTGGAGAGGTCAGCCCGTTCCAGTGGACAGCAAGCCTTTGTGCCTGGCCCGAGTCCCCATGAGCTTCGTGGGCTTGGTCCTTGAAGTTTCCCTTCACCTGCCAACCTCTGCGGCGTCTCTTCCTGCCTCTCTTCGCACCCTCATTTCTCAAGACCTAGACGGCAATCGAGCTGCCACTGGTTCTGGCTTGGAGTTGAAGCAGACTGCCGTGCTTTATTCTTGGTGAGTCTCCCTGCATGTTCCTTTCCTGTGTGTATTTTCATCCTGGCGGTTCGTTCACCTGAAGGGTGAATTTATGTTATTGGGAGCGTCAATTTCCACGTACGCGCACGCCAGCTACTTCCCCGTCTTTGATGCATTCCAACCCTATCACTTGGTGTACAAGTACATGTATATATTGCCTCCTTTGTCTAACGACACATCCAAGTCGCCAACGCTTTGAGCCCCCGGTTTCTTTGTCCTCGGTCTGGTACTCGTTCGGCTGTGGCATCACTCCTTGCGGATGCTGGTTCGAGGTGCACCCAAGCAAGACATCAAAATTCACACTGACTGTTCTCGTGTGCAGCTATCTATCTAATAATTCGTCGTTATTGATTATCGCTTTCTTCGAAGCCTGCACCCTCTCCGAAGACTCCTTTGAGGTCAGCAGGTTACTGCAGGAGTTCTCGAGACGAAACACTTGCGCCGCTCTTCCCACCCAACCGAGAGTTGACCTCAAGCCTCTCAACTGCCTTCTAACTACGTGCGCCTCCTGCGGTACTATAGACGGATTCATCAAGTGCTTCTCGAATCTACGCCTTACAGGTGAAGAGACAGACTAGAGTTCCCCTGAATCTAGTTGCGCTTCCGACCATCGCCAACGTTTATTCGACCGCATGCCTTGCAAATCCCATCGTTAGCACAAAATCATTTGGCATCCCTACCAGTCACAACACAAAAACATACTCTACCGATCAGGCTATCGTTTGGTACAAGACAATCTAGTTACATACCATTGTTCGTGTGATTTTGGAGAAATCCGAAAACGCTGCGGCACGGTCAACTTCTCACGGGCCTCTCACCCACCAATCGTCCGCTCCGCCGCCTTACCATCGAGGGTTCTTGTGCCGTTTCATATACCTACTGCAAGCCCAACCGGTATAACAGCTTGGCTACCCAGTTGCTCACTTGCCTCCCGATCCTGAACTATCTAACCCAGGAGATATCAAGGCCACCCGACCAACAACACCATATTTCGCTTCAACTATAGTTCGGAACAGTTCCTGTCAACATGAACCGGAACAGCACTCCGGAAGCCAGTGCGGCTTCGTCTCTCCGTCCGCCGCGAACGGTCGGCACGGCCCAACACCTGCGAGCTTCGGCTGACATGGCTACCCTGGCGGGCCCCGCCTCGTCGAACCGCATCCGACCCTCTTCCGATTTCTACGGCCAGCAAGGCCAAGGTCAAGGTGGCGGGGATTCTGATCCGCAGGAGAAGGTGACCCAGCAGTGGATTGCCGATATTGACCAGTACGAAACCACATTGGAGGAGATGGCCGCTGCCACCTTGGACCAGGACTTCAAGGACGAGCTTAGTGCTATTGAACAATGGTTCCGTGTCTTGTCGGAAGCGGAGAGGACTGCTGCTCTGTACGCATTGCTACAGCAGACCACCCAGGTCCAGATCCGCTTCTTCATCCAGGTGCTGCAGCAGATGGGCAAGAACCATCCCATGTCCGGTGTTCTGTCACCATCCAACTTCGATAAAGGTATGCTGAACATGTGTGTGTGGAATTCTGCGTTTTGTTTGTCTAATTATGCCAATAGATCCGATGTCGAACCGGTTGAGTGATGCTATGGGCAAGTTGAATGTGACGTCAGCTAGAAACTCGATTTCGCAACCGCAAGCTTCTGCTAAGAGACTCTCCGCGCTGGACCCCGAGACCATCAAGGCCATGTTCCCTGATGCTGCCGCTGCCATCGAGACTGAGAAAGCCAAGTTCACCCAGCAGACCGGGAACCAACCTCCGTCGAACCGCAACAGCGCCGCTGTCGACGTGCGTAGCTCCCTGGCTGCCCCTACGATTTCGGGTCCATCTGAGGGACGCGATTCGAACGGACAAAACCCAAATTCCCTGTGGAGTAACGATCAGGGAGGGTCAAGGCCCAAGTCTTCCTCAGGGCAAGCACCCATGGGACAATTTGTCCAGCCACCACCTTCTGCGGGATTGAGATCTCCTCGTCCACAGATGGGGGGCAATGGTAACATTCAGAGCACCACTCTCAATGCGCCTGACAACTCTGCCTCCGACATGCCTATGCTCTCGCCCTATGGTGGAAGCGGCAATTGGGCCTCCATGGTAAACACTCCGATGGTGGGGTCCTTTAACACAGGCAACGCTGCCTCCAACCAGGCAGATATGGTAGCCAATGCCACGGCGATGAAGTTGGCAGCGCTGTCGACGGTTAACAACCGCTTCGCCCTGGATGACCCTCGCAAATACCGCAGGGCTCGGTCCAACGACGCCCCTGGCCAGAACCAGGGTGGAATCTCTGCCGGACCCCAGGCAGCGAACTTCCCTGGTACGAATTTTGTCATGGTGAATGAGCACGGCCAGGTTATGAACAGGGATCAGGTGCTTGCCATCCAGAATCAGCAGAGTATGAGTGGCATGGGTCACATGGGTGGCATGGGTAACATGGGCGGCATGGGCGGCATGGGTGGCTTCGGCGCTCACCGATCTCGTCCGAACTCTCCTGGAATCGCACTGCAGCCGGCAGGATTAGCCCAGCAAATGGCTTTTGCTTCCCCCCAGACTAATGGTTATCTGAGCGCGTCTCAGAATCCGCTACTAAGCAGTGGCATGGGTACAATCAATATGGGCCAGTTCGGCGTAGGCGCCCACGAGGGTTACCTATCGGATCACTCCGACATGGTTCGTGGACGATCGCCTCGAGGACGTAGGGGTACCTCGAAGCCGCCCGAGGACCCGACGGATCCCACCCTTCTCCAAGATATTCCGGCGTGGCTGAGGAGTCTACGACTACACAAGTACACGGACAACCTGAAGGATCTGAAGTGGACTGATTTGGTTGAAATGGACGACGAGGCTCTCGAGAAGCGTGGCGTAAATGCACTGGGTGCACGAAGAAAGATGCTCAAGGTCTTTGAGCAAGTCAGAGGTAATTATAGCCGGGTTAAGTCTCATAAGGATTGTTGCTAACGGAGTCATCAGATGCCAAGGCAGATGGCAAGCTGGCCTAGGAGCTACGCTCATGGCTAGCTGGCCTAGAAGCGCCCGACTCACCGTGTCTGCCTTCTAGTATACCACTTCGGCACAGAGTGAGGCCGTCTGGATCAGAACCACGACTCCAATCAGGTTCATTTGCCCCTTTCCGCTTATAACTTTGGCAGTATATGGACTGCAGCGAGTGTTATCACGCCTACATGGGCACCCAATTTATGCAGACAGAACTGCTTATACATTCAGGGGTAATGGGAACCAATAGCGCCGGTCATACATGTATACCGAACATCATCAATAGTGAAAACTTCTTACCTCATATAAATCATGATGTTTCTGTCCTGTGATAAACATAGCCTGTTCTAACTTCTACCCAGATGTACTCGCTGCTGCGGATGTGGTTGTGATCTGGTAGGTGATGGGATTTGACCACTGCTTAAATGAATAACTACCATGATCGATTGATGCATAAATGGATGTGGGGCATTGCACAGGTTCGATCAAGCACCGACTCATCGAGCCTCACCAAATTCAAACTTCATTCGCAGGATTCGACATTTAATGAATAAACCTTGATGAATGCTGGGAATCTCCCCCGACAAGTACGAGGCATGTGATGCAACCTGATGCAAGCACCACAAGGACTCTTTTCATTTGTCGCTAAAAACTCCAAGCTGGACTCGACGGACTCAATGTGCATCAAGCTCGATCTCGGCATCCAGCTTGACGGGGCAGCTCGGCTGCACGACCTCGACGAACCGTAACGGCCGCCCACATCGAGTGTGTTCAACTCCTCGCTGGACTCCTCCACATTGTTCTGCTGCCTCTCGAGTCAACCCGCCATCTCCACCTAGTCTCTCGCCTGCCCAAGATGAGCCACCCTTTCTCCTCGTCTTTCGAGGCCCTTCACGCGCATTTTAAGAGACAACCGCCTGCACCTCCGGCCCAGGAGAAAGAGGCCCAGGCTATGGCGGCGCATGGCCAGTCGCAGTATCCGGACCCGTCTAAGGGACAGGGTCCGTATCCTGGTGCCGGCAACGTCTCGGTACCTCCGCCTCAACACATGAGTGCGGCTCCCAGTCAGTCACAGTTTGTGGGCCTGTCTAATGGACAGGGTCCGTATCCTGGTATCAGCAACGGCCCAGCACCAGAATATCCCTTTGCATTCGGACTTCGTCCAGATAACTCCACCACAACGTTCGCAGACGGCCTTCCAAGTCACGCGTCTGCACTACCCCAGCCTACTGCCATAGCCCATGCGCCGATAGGAGGCCCAGGTCCAGGTCCAAGTCCATATTCAAGTCCATATCCAGCTCAAGACCAAGGGCTCTGGCATAGTCATGGCCAGAGTCAAGCTCAGGGTCAACCTATGGCCTTTGCTTCGAACAACACTCTAGGACATCTACCAAATCAGCCGTGGTCCAATCCGGTTGTCCAACCCGAACAGCCTCAACCCAGCTATCAGCCTCCGCCGAATGCCCATGAGATGTACCATTACGGTCAGGGGTTATATCCTGGGACAAGCGGCACCCATGCTCCTGGTTCATTTCTATCAGCAACGCCTTTGCCCGAGTTGAGGAGTCAGGAGGCCACGATCCAAGACCAGAACACGAACGCCAAACCGAAGAGAAAGAATGGAGGGCAAGGGGACGAACCAAGACCACGCAAGATCAGAGCAAAGAACCCAAAGGCAAACCTCACCGCGGAGTCTACAGTGAACGGCCAACTAATGCCACCCGGATTGCTCGGGCAGAGTGCAGGTTTTTCACTACGCCCAACTGACACGGACGGCATAGGCCTTGCCACCAACAATTTTTCAAATGATATGCCCAACCCTGACCCTTCAGCATTTCATTCTTACAGCGACTATACGTCGCTTACTACACCGGCGCCGGGAAATGGCGCAAATAGCTTGCCACCTAACGCATCGGAATCAGCAACCACCATTGGAGACGAGGCTCCCCCCATGACCAGTACTACTGATGCTCTCCTTGAGCGGATGAATGATCTGCAGCATGCGCCGGACGTGGAACACCATAAACCCACAAAACGCTTCCCAGCGGCTCGGCCCGAGAACAGCCAGCTGCAACGTGGACAACGCCGAGGCCGTCGAGGCCGTCAAGGTGGCGGACAACGGGGTCCTCGCAAGGCAGCCGAACCCACTGGCGATGTGAAACTCCGCCTTGAATGGGCGATGGCTGCATATCTTGAGCAGAAAATCGATGAAGCCATCGAATATGTGGAAGATGCCATACGAATCAATGCTGAAACATTACGTGCGTGGACCCTGCTCAGCACGCTGCTTGCAGAAAAGGGTGAGCACAAGGAAAGTTTCACAGCGAGGGTTTTCTCCTGCCATTTGCAGCCGAAGAACATGGAGGCATGGCTGGCTTGCGCGCAAATGGGCGAAGATCTTGGGAACGAGCTCCCAGAAGATCGTGACGAGTTCATTGAACAAGCCGTGTTCTGCTACTCTCAAGCCTTGAGGGTCGATATCGAAGATAGGCCTGCACGCCACGCTAGAGCGTCCCTTTCGTATGAAAGAGGTCACACCAAGACAGCTGCCAAAGACTATGTCTATCTTCTGGAGCGATGCTGCTTTGATGTCTTCGCTCTACGTGGGCTGGCTGAGATGACTACCCTACTTACAGGAGCACGGAAGAAGGACCTCGTATACACACCTCACGTAGCGATAGATTGGTATCGTCGCGCCTTCGCCCATTTTCGGGAAAATGGTATGGATGCCCGATATCCCCTCGAGTCGCAAGACGTCAACTCCTTCATCGGACTACTGTTATACGTTGAGCATACTAAGGATGCCCTCTACGAACTCAAATCACTTTCAAGATGGCTTCTCGGTCGCTCTGATGAAGATTTTTGGAATGACTGGCAGGATGATGATCGCGAATGGGATGTGGACAGTGTTCGCCGCCGGGAGCTCGAGGACTATCAAGAAGGCAGATATCCGTATTCATCATACGGTGCAGGCCTTCCATTGGAGCTACGGACGAAACTCGCCGTGTGCCGCCTCAAGTTGGACGACGTCGACGAAGCAATGGTGAGATTACGCGTCATATACCCTGGATTGCCTAAACTAACATGTACCAGCGTCATATTGAGTTCCTAGAGCCAGAAGGTCCCAATCAGTCCGAGCTTTCCGAGAATCCGACCATCTTGCTCGATGTTGCGTCAGCGCTCTATGAGTCTGATCGCCGTCCAATGGCATTACGCTTCTTCCAGCCTCTTCTCGAGTATGCCGAGCAGCTTGACTCTTCCTCCCTCCTTGCCGCTGGACGTTGCTACCTGGATGCTGAAGACAAGACCCGAGCAGAGGAATGCTTCACAGCCGCCATCGATGTAGACGACCCGAACGACGAGGCATGTATCGACGCTCGATACGAGTTAGCAAAGATGTACGAGGCTGCGAGAGAAGATAGAGAAGCCTACATTCTCGTCAATGAGGCTATTAAGTTACAGGAGACTCGCGATGGGGCTCAAGAAGACGAGGATGATGATGAAGCAGGCGACGACCAGGAATATGATGTAGACCATGGAGAGATGCAAGATGGGGAAGGCGGAAAGCATAATGCCACAAAGACTAAGCGAGCTCGTCCTAAGAAACCAAAGGAACTGAAAACTTCCAGACAGCTGCAGCCCAAGAAGGATCCGAAGCCGAGAAAGAATCCCGGACTACACCCTGTGAGACGGCGTCCTAGGCTGTTTGCTCGTTCCGACGAGTTGGCGCATGAAGAAAAGGAAAGAGCAGAAGCATTAGCAGGGGCGTGGCGAACAGTACATGAAACGCGTCGGCGACATAGTGAGGAGGAGAGCGCCCCGTCCGACGCCTTTATGTCGTCCGCAAAAGAGCTTGTGGATGATTTCAGGTCGTACAAAAACTTCTACTCCTGGGAGAAGTATCTCGCGCACCTTGGCATCGACCAACCCGAAAAAGCAGGCGTGGTCGTCTCCCGAAACCCCAATCTACTCGACATGAAGGAGCGGTTGTCTCACAGTGAGTTCGCCGGAAGATGATCAGTTCCACCGATGCTAATTCTATTTTAGACTTGAACCCGTATGGCTCTGCCCCCGAGAAGAAGTGGGGAGACCGGACCGCTATCAGCTATCGAGGAGTTCCGTTCGGCGACTGGCTTGACCTCTTTCTCGAATATGCCGTCAGCCTCGCACACGCTGGACAGTATCAGGATGCATACAAAGTCTGCGAATCTGCGCGCGATGCTGAAGTGTTTGCCAAGTCCAGAGAAGACATGTTCATAATTCACGTGACGTGGGCTTGTGAGTCACTCCTGCTGATAGTTATTGTATCTGGACTAATGTGCGGCAGCATGTGCGTTGCGTGGAAGGGACGAGGAGATTTGCATTGCGGCGGCGCGTTACCTGATGAGAGAGAACCAATTCGACACCGATCCTTTCCGGATGTTCGCCGCACTGTCCAGACTGTGTCCGTCTCCAGCTTCGTGGTATGCGTCTGGGCCGATCCAGAAGTACATCCTACGACAGATAAAACTCATGGACCAAGCCGTTGGAACTGGAGTCGCAGCAGATAGCGAGAACGAAGGCGGAAACGAAGGCGGACCTTCGGGTAACCTCAAACCCTACCCATCCAAGGAGTTAGATGTCACATTGTTGATGCTGTACGGGCATATCCTGTTCGTTTCTAACAGCTTCACGTATGCGCTGAGTAAGTCGTAAATGAGGTTCGAAGTCGGTGAAAGTGTTGATACTAATTTTACTTTGCAGACTATTTTCTCCGAGCGCACAGCGTTGATCCGACCAATGTTCTGACGATGCTCAGCATCGGTCAATGCTACATCCACTATGCCATGAAGAGACAGTCGGAGAACAGGCAGTACCTCCTGATCCAGGGGTTCCTGTTCCTGCACAAATACTACGACACCAGGATCGCGTCGCCAGAGGCGTCTATCAGGCAGGAGGCGCACTACAACATGGCGCGCAGCTACCATTCAGTGGGAATCCCCCACCTCGCGGTCGAGTTCTACGAGCGCGCGCTGCGGGACAGGCCGGACGATTCGCACACGGGGATCATGGGGAGGGCGGACCTGGTGCAGGAGGCTGCTTTCAATCTGCAGCAGATCTGCTGGGCGGGCGGGGACTCTGAGGGCGTGAAGAACCTGGCGGAGAAGTACTTGGTTTCGTAGGTGGTGTGGTGGGTGGGTGGGGAGGGGAGTGGGTGGAGGAAGGGAAGAAAGGAAGGAAGGAATGGACGGATGATACCCAATTGTTTGTTTAAAGAGAGTGCTTGAATCTCGTGGGATCTCGATACGGATTTGTCCATGGTTGAAACCCATAGATAGAGATTCAAGCAACGATGTATTCAAAAAATTCATTGATCTGTCATGCCTGTCTGGCTGTGTATCAGCGAAGGCCTTCATGCCAACATGAATGCCTCGTCGTCGTCCTATATATACTGTGACCGGACCGGTCTTCTTACGCACCTACCCCTTTTTCTCCACAGCTCCACCCCGGAGTGCAGCTCTGCCACGGGCTCTCCTGTCAGAAACACACCCCGGGTCCCGTCCACGCTCTCACCCTCGAATAAGCACTCAGACCGCGCCATGCTCCCTGTTGCTCTGCTTCTTCGTGGTGCTACTCAGAATGTTCTCTGCTTGACAGCCGTATGATAGGAGACGCAGTGAGAATGGGGCCTGACTTAGGTAGACATGGCAGGTTGCCAATAGTAGTTTAGTGAACTTGTTGCCCGCGGCGCGGACGGTACATAGACATCGCGGTGTATATATGCAAGATATGTATGTGTCGTATGCAAGGCTAGGTAGGCAAGATCAACATGCTGGGGATTCTATGATCGTATCTCCCGGTGCGGATGCCCAAGGCGACCCCTGTCATGAGGCCCATCGAGGCCGGGAGGGCGGTTGCGCGCAACGGCCTGGGAACCTATCCTAGGTCTACCGTTGCCGCATCTTGCTGATAACACAGGGCGTTATCGAGCGTGGAGTTGAAGGTGGGCTCTTCTCTTTGCTGATCTATCCTGTTCATGATCCGATCAACAGACGGGGTTACCGTCCGTAATAAGTTGTCGGGGGTCCTCCTACGAGTCTATCGGAGGCTTTTCGGAGCCTCCGATGGCCGCTTGGGGTGTTCGAGGTTGTCGTCTCCACTCCAGACCCAGTTGGGAAAATCCAAGATGGGTTTTCGGAACACCGCCGAGTGGCCGAATATTCGCTGGGCATCGTGCTCAACGATGCCCGGGGAGAACAGAAGTACACCCTTGATATTCTTTGAGATATTCCGGTATAATCGAGGGGGCTTTGGCACCTGCAACGGCGAACCAATACTCATCCCCAGCAGTCCACCACCACCACGATGGAGAGCCGCCAGCGCGCAGCCGAGAAGGCGCTGCACGACCAGACGGACCTCCTACCGCTGGGCAAGCTCCTAGTAGTCTTCGCATCGCTATCACTAACCCTCCTAATCCAATTCATCGACCAAAACGGCATCGGCGTAGCCCTCCCAACCATCGCCGCGGACCTGAACGCCGCAAGCACGATCTCGTGGGCGGGGACCTCGTCCCTAATCGCCAACACGACCTTCCAGATGCTATACGGGCGCCTATCGGACATCTTCGGGCGCAAGCGCGTGTACCTGGGCGCGATAGCACTACTATCCCTCGCGGCGCTGCTGTGCGGGCTCGCGCGGAACAGCGCCATGTTCTTTGTTTTCAGAGGCGTGGCCGGGATCGGCGGCGGCGGCATCACGAATTTGTCTATGATCATCGTGTCCGACGTCGTGACGCTGGAGCAGCGGGGGAAGTACCAGGGCATCCTCGGCGCGTGCGTCGGGCTCGGCAACGTGGCCGGCCCGTTCCTGGCCGCGGCGTTTATTGAGCGCTACACGTGGCGCGCTTTCTTTTACTTGATTGCGCCGCTGGCGGCGGCCGTGGGGTGCTTGTCGTTCGTGCTGCTGCCGTCGAAGCCGGCGACGGTGGGGTGGAGGGAGAGCGTGCGCAAGATCGATTATGGTGGCGTGCTTTTGTCGTCTGTTGCTGTCATCTTCCTGCTGATCCCTATCAGTGGCGGCGGGGCGTACTTCCCCTGGACGTCGCCTATGGTCATCAGTATGCTCGTGATAGGGGCCGTGTCCCTGGTGCTGTTCGTGCTGATGGAGTGGAAGATCGCGAAGTTGCCGATGATGCCCGGTATGTAAGAGAGGCCACCAACCGAACTGAACTGTGTTTCGATTGTTGGGATAAGATCTAGTCTACCCCTTTTTTCGAACCTATGGCTGAGATTTATTCGTGTGCAGTGCAGATATTCAATACCCCCGTGGTCACCGTGCTCCTGATCCAGAGCTTCCTGTTCGGCGCCGTGTATCAGTCATACCTCTACTATCTGCCCCTGTACCTGCAGAACGCGCGGCAGTTCTCCGTCATACAGAGCGCGGGGGTCATCGCGTCGATGGTTTCCGTCCAGGCGATATTCTCCATCCTGTCGGGCCAGTACATCTCCCGTCTCAAACGATGGAGCGAGGTAATCTGGGCTGGGTTCGGTTCCTGGACACTGTAAGATTTTCCCCCTATGAAAACACTTCCTTCCCGTTTCCATGCCTGCTGGATTCAAAGATGGATGCTGATCCTGGATGGGGAAAAAAGCGGCTCCGGCCTCATGCTCCTGTACAAACGCGACTCCCACCCGGGCCTGATCGTCGGGCCCCTGATCCTCGTCGGCATCGGCGTGGGCTTCATCTTCCAGCCCACGCTCGTGGCGCTGCAGTCGCACAGCCCGAAGTCCCGGCGCGCCGTCATCATCTCGAACCGGAACTTCTTCCGCTGCGCCGGCGGCGCCTGCGGGCTGGCAATCTCGGCCGCAGTCCTGCAGGCTTCGCTCCGCGCCCACCTGCCACCGGACTACCGCTACCTCGCTGACGACACGTACGCGCTTCCCAAGGGCTTGCAGGGCCCGGATGCTGAGGGCGTGCTGGACGCCTATATGGCGGCCAGCCGCGCCGTGTTCGTCCTGCAGGTCCCGCTGATCGGGGTTTGCTTCCTTGGGTGTTTGTTCGTTAAGGACCGTGGGCTTGAGCCCATAGAGGAGAAAGAGAAGAAGGCTAATGAAGCGTTGGCGGAGGGCAGTAGTCGGGGAGAGGCGAATGAGAAGTCGGGTGTAGTGGTCGACGGCGATGATAATACATTAAGAAATATTAACGGTGACGGTATTGCAGACAGCGTACCTGTATTGGGCAGTAAGCATAGATAGCACGATATGAATATTAGACGACGTCAATGAAGAGCGCAATAAGGATGAAACTAGTTTTGCACTCAACCCTTATAAGTCCCCGTACGCGCGCGTAATGGTCAGATTCGAGACTACTAGTAGCAATTCAAAATACTAGAATACGCCTAAAAGAAAAAGCGATTGTAGTTTGATGTTTACTGTGAATGCCTATTCCAGTGTGCTTATTTCTACCGTTGTTTGCGGCACGGGGGGAGTACAGAGACTTATTAGGGTCCAGTGTAGCGAGATCATCAGGACCGTCTCGGAACTCATGAGTTGTAGAGAGCGGCCCTATGCCCCTGTCCACTCCTGTAGATCGCGAGATAGACGTCCATGCCCCCTACAAGATATATCCGCATGAAATCAAATGCGCATGGATCGTCAAATTGATACTAGAAGATGTTAAGATACGCGAAGGGTAACAACCCACTCCCAGGCCTAAAACATCAAGAAAAAAGACATCGCTACGTAGCTATCATTCCCAAGGGCTCGCACACAAACGAACAGACCAAGCCCAGCGCATCCACCCCATTCCTTCCCTTCCCATCTGGTCATCTCGGCGACAAATTCTGCAACATCTCAAAATCCGGCATCCAAACCGGCGAGCCCTCCGGCTGGTCGATCCAGCTAGCAAGCTCAGCAACGACCCTCCACGCACCGCCCTCGTCGCCATCAGCCCCGCGCTCCAACCCTTCTGCCGAGACCCCGTTGTTATTACTGCCATTACTGCCGTTATTAGCCACCACGGAGCGCATCTGGCCCGCGGCCGTCTCGGCGAGGCTGTTGACGCCGCTCTGCAACTTCTCCATGGTGGCGTTGACGAGTAGTTCGAAGGCATCGCGATATTTGCGGACCCACGGGGCGCGCTCGCCCATCACGAAGAGCACCAGCGAACACGCGCGGATGTCGTTGGACAGCGCCACGGACCACACGGCGTGCTGCTGCGTCCAGAGCCCGTACAAAATTGTTATGCCGGCGACGAAGACGGTCTGCACGGCGATGAACGAGTGGCCGTAGTCGAGGGACTGGTGCAGCTTCTTGTGCTCCTGGCAGATATCGCCCGCGGCTCGCATGCAAATCAGGTAGTATGGGTCCGAGGGCGGTAGCAGTGCTAGGAAGGGCTGAACCAGGAGCCGGACTGCGCGGTGGTAATGCAACATGGGGTAGTTGAGTTCGGTGCCGCTGAAGCGGTCGTTCAACGAAATCCTCCACCCTTCCAGATCCTGGTACAATCGATCCCGCTTCGCGGTGAGGGCCGTTAGTGGCTTGTCGGCTCGGTAGATGGAATGCTGAATGCGAGACTCGATTCGGCGCAGCTCAAACAATGAAATGGCAAGTGAAAGAGACGGCCGCCTCGGAGCGATGCTGCAATGCGGTGAGGAAGAATCCTCTCGAGCCCCTCCTCGTGCGTCTTCCTGCGGAAGTTCGATGTCGATCTGTCTGTCCGGTATGCTCAGTGGCCGACCAAGAGAGATGGCAATGGTTCTTTCGAGGGAATAGATGCTCCAGAAAAGCCGGCGTCTCATCTGGATCGCGAAGGGGTCTAGATTGCTCTCGTTTCGCTTCGAGTGTAGTCCAAGATCAATGCAAGTCCTCATCGCGAGCCCGATCATGTACCATATGCCGTGGCTGGAAGCACTGCGCAGATGATAAAGCACCAATATTCCCATCGCCTCGATGTTTTGAGTAGTCCTTGACTCCCTAGCAGCAAAAATGTGCTGCAATGCTGTCATGTAATAGCTCTGGATTCGTCGGTCAGCACGGCGACAGCAGCAGGTAGACCTTTACATAGATTGCTCACCTCTGGCGGCGACGATGTGTGCTTGTCTGTTAATTGTAACAACACGGCACCGATCGCATATATCATATACAACTTGAAGATTCCGAAACGCTCCCCTTTAGTCAACTGTTGCACATGCGTTGCTTTCAGTGCCATACGCTTCCCGTGTAGTCTCCAAACATCATCTGGGTCGAGGAAAGGATAGCGAGCATGAAGCTGGTTGAAGTAAGCATTTAAGATGGCACAGCCAAGCTCGTCATCAGGCGGCTCGGCACTGTTTGCGACGACCTCTTCCATGGTGATGCCGCGGGGTCCTGGAGATGTTCCTGGTCTGGTGAATGAATCTCTCCTGTGCCCATCGGTGCCCTCTCCAGAGCGAGGCATTGCTTTATTCCATACTGTAGCTTGGACCATTTCACCAAGATTCAATGCCAAGTTGAGGCCAGACGAGGCGCCAACATATGCGGGTGCTTCAAAGTTCCCCGTGGATAGCAGCTCAACAACCTCGCCGAGCGCATTGCTTGGATTGCTCTTCGATCGCTTGTGGGGGCGCCCATTTGACACCGGTGGCATGTGTTGCTGCTGTTGGGGCTCTAGCTCAGACAATTGAGTCTCGAGCAAGGCGATTCGCTCTTCGAGAGCGCGGGTATACCTAAGAAAGTCTTAACTGTTGGGTTCTCGGCACGGCATGGAGGCAGTGGTTTCATCTAGCATACGCTGCCGGTGGCTCATCTTCGGTCACCGCTGTTTTGTCACACTCTGTACCGGCTTTCCTACAGTTGGAGCAGATTGGCCATTGGTCATCACACTAATAACGAGCATACTGTCAGTCATACCGTCAAGCGGGAAATAGTATCAAGATGGATAAACTAGCTTTCTGCTTTCTCAACTTGCACCGGGTACAGGCGGTACGGCCTCTCTTTCTCGGATTCGGGTTGCCCCTGTTGTGGTCCGACCCCATGATGGAAGCGGGCGGAGATAAGATCGGGGCCAACCGGGTGGTGGTGGTGGTTGTCGACGACATGTCGGAACAGCTTGCTTGTCAATACGGCGAGTCGAGCACGAGAGAGGCGGACGTCCGACTTGCACAAGTAGGCTTCGGAGCCCCTAAATAGACCCAACGGCACCATGGTCAACGGCTCGCTCGCTCGAGTTCGGCACTTGCACTCTCGATGGACGATAGCAGAGCCGGTCAACTTGTCAAGGGTTTTAGTCACCTTGCAACTGGCAAGGGCCCCGTATATCGGTCATACCCGCCCTATGCAAGGTATCCGTCGGTGATATCGGAAGCCAAGACTGGCTATCGGGAGATCAGGCCGACCTTTGGCGGCGTCGACTGCAGACTTGACGACTCATAAGACGGCATCGAATCTTCACACACAGGGACCAAATAGTCGTGCTGCTCACGAGGTCGCAACGAAGCTGTGATGCCAGCTCGCAGAGAACCATCATTGGGCCGGCATACCTGACCTCCCATCTATGGTGTCATGGACTCATGCTGGTCGACGCATTGGCTCTGACATCTCGTGCGGGGGTTCCCCTCTTTAATCCCGTCGCTCTGATGCAAGAGGGTTAGGGGTCCACGGGTATCTTTGGGGTCTGCCTGATAACGCGGATTTGTAATTGTGAGTCAGGATATTCATGGCTGGCGATCGTGTTGTCCCGGTAGATAGATGGATGTCTTGATGTTGGAGGGAATACGTGGTCGGAAGTTAAAGAGAAAGGCACGCCAAAACATGGAGCTAGGGGGGCCGTCGCAAAGCTTTCACCAGGCAGTTGCACTGCTGTTACTTAATTGTCTTCATCCCCCGAATAGGAAGTTGCCATAGATGTGTCGAGATACCTACCCGGGGGACCCCGTTTTTGGACAGGGTGTAAGCCGAATGGCTTTCCATAACAGTACGGCTAGGGCCAGATATCCCCTTGAATGGCAGTCAGCACCAAGTTGTAGTGTACGGCCAAGATCACCCCCTAGTCACTTTACCCACTGTAAAAGACCAATCGGCGTGCTTGGAACAATCCTAAGCCGAAAATGTAAGACTCTGAGTGGTCAGATCAGGGGCTACAGGGCATCGAATGCCGTTGCAGGTGATCGCTCATGTTGTTGAATACACGGATGTTGATTACCAAAATGACAAGGTGGAAGAAAAGGAACAGGTGTGCGTACAGCTGAGGCTGCAGCACATATAGTAGTCCTGGTCTCCTTATCTAATCTACACGTGACTTGATGACTAAGCATCCATCCATCCAGGTGGATACGGCTGTTCACCGTCACATAAGTATTATAATCTTTTAAAGTTTCATATTTAAATCATCGCAATATAACCTTTTATGATAATGTTAAATAATTAAATAATTAAAAAATATAAACTTATAAGCTAAAATTAAATACCACTTATATACTTCTTATAACCTTAGCCTTAACTTTATATCACGTAAAAATAAGTAAATAAAAGTCTACTTAAAATAACCTCAGCTTAATAAAGTAATAATTGTAGGAACAGGCTTGAACGATCAATCATAATACTCGAGTATGGGGTCAAGGTCATGATGTTGCTGATGGTTGGATTGGGAGGTCTAGCTGGACTTGCAGGTCTGGCTAAGTGTCCTCACAATCCGGTATCTAATCTCTTATCTAATCATACATGTGGATCCGGTATGAATGGTTTGAAGGTTGGAATCGCATGGATCCAACAATAATATTAATAAAGTAGTAATATAAATAAACTTTTAACTTTAATAAGACTATCCGTGTTTTTTATAATTCTAATAATAATAGCATATTTAATCTAATATAAGCACTAGATTAACATTAATAAGACCGCCAGCTATAATGTTATCTACTTGTCATGTTCAATTAAGAAGGGGCTTATAAGAGCGGCCCGCATTTACCATGTTCACACCTTAGCAGGGTGCTGCAAGGCTGCTGCTAGACTGTTTAAAAACGGGGGTCCCTCGCGTAGGTAGGGGAAATAGCTGCGTCTGTCCCCGTTTATGCCGGCTGGCCAGTGCCGTCCCTCCACACGCCCTCCTTTTCCGCCATGAACTGCATGAACTGCCGCAGCGCCTCGGAGCGACCAGGCTTGCCGATGATGCGCGTGTGCATCGGGATGCTCATCATCTTGCCGCCCTCGCGGTATAGGCAGTCGAGCGTGTTCTTGAGATACTGCACGTACGTCTCAGCCACCGAGCTGCCGAACCCGGGTGACATGTGTAATTTTCGTATGCATAGGGATTAAGCAACATACCCTTCTTCTCCGCCTCGGGGAGCCCCTTCTCCCACGGCAGGTCGACCCAGTATGGGACGTCGTCGTTGTAGCACTCCGATGACCACTGGAAATCTGCTCCGACGCTCTTCCACACCTCCAGAAACAATTTGCACATGGTTTACTCTATCTCGTGTGTGCCCAGGACCAGATCTATAGTTACATGTAGATTTTTACACGTGATAGTAGCCTCAGACGTAGGCCACGAGAAACACGCATGTAGCCGTAAGGTACCAGCTAATCCCGTCGCAACCGGCTCTCCTTCACTATCTACATCTTCGATACTCGAAGTGATCCACGCGCTCGGCGTCGATGTACCCTTCCCGACCACAGGCTCCCTGTGGGAACTAAGTCTGCGCAGGCGCAGATCACGTTGGACAACAAGCCTCAAGATTGGTGTGGACGTGGCAGCAAGCCCCAGCGTCGACCACATCAAACTGAACGGTGTGAATTATTTGTTAGGTATGTGTATAGGTTTTGCGTCAACAGAAAAAGAATCCAAAGTAAACCCTTCCACTCACATGCCCCAAAGTGCACTCATATGGCCTATCTGCAATATAACAATGACCCAGATGGCAGCTCTTGAGTGTTTCGAAACGTCAGCGATATTCTTAGTGGACTGAGGCGCCGCCGACTCGACAGGGAGGACTCCCTACCCCGGGAGTGGCAGTCACTGGGCTGAGCACAGGTAAGGGTTTGGGTTGTGCGCCTCGTGCCAAGCGGTGTCCCGGTAGCTGCGCAAGACTCTCCATCGGAGGAGGAGGACGAAGAGTCGGTCAGATCACCGTCCTTCTCGACGTGGGTGTGCAAACTGGCCGTCACGGAGGTGGTCTGGAGACTCAGCGCGAGGCAAGCGAGGAAGCTGGAAGGCTGCATTGCGGGACGAATATAGGTAAGATCAAGACGTATTGGATCGATGATAATAGGGAGCTCCAACTGTGGCTCTCGTCGTCGTTTGGTCGTGTCTGTTGAGTGTGGCCCAGGGTTGCTTCGATAGCCCGGCGACGGCGGACCTTTGACTTATAGAGGAGGCCAACTGCTTTTGCTCCATGACGGCAACGCTCAACGGTGACGACTGTGTCGTTCGCTTCCACCGCAGATCCTACGGACATGCCGTCGGTCTGACCAAGACTTTCGTCTGACTGACTGACTAGAGAGACATAGAACCAGGTTATGCTAAAGACATTGTTGTCACGTTCAACAGCCCCGTAATAGTCCCCGTGCGCCGGGGTTGAACATGTGGGCGAAGAGTGAACCTCCCCTTTCCGTAAACATCGATCGTGAACAGCTAGTTGTCCAGGCAAAACGTAATGACAGCAGGGCCTACCTGGTTTAGCCCTCTCGTGAATCCACCGCACGATTAGGCACCTCTAAGCAGGGTTGTTCTTAAAGCTGTTGCCTATCAGGATTCGAACCTGTTGTTTCTTCGGTATACCGTAAGGCAAAGATCAACCAATGTGCCGCGTAAATCCTCCCGCTTGGACAGCCGACCGACGTGCTTCGATGGGACAATTGGAGGACTCCACAGTTCCTGGAAAGGTAGACGGCTAGTCATATGCACGGATGCCGGTATATTGGTATTCCCTGCTTGACATCATGAGCTGCGGTATCACAATGTCTCTCGAGCGGACAGAGAGGCATTGCACCACCCACTAAGCAGTCTGACTTCTGCCGCAAGGGTATAAAGGGCCTTCCGACACAAATAAAACACAAATGTAGAAGAGGCGGCCTGAAATAGCACAATCCTTTATGTTAGTCAACGATACAAGTGTTTTGATATACATATCCGGGTCCTTAGAGTAACGTCGTCACACTCTTATCAGGTTTACTCAAGCTTTCCTCAAAACCGACATACCGCCAGAAGCTCGGCGATTTCTCAACCCACTCAAGGGCCAGCATGGTGTAGGCCTTTTTTTCACAGCAGGTTACGTTGCCCTGCGGCGCGAGGGCGCCAGGTAACTTAGGGGTCGTGAGGGAAATATAGGAGAACGAAAACGCTGGATTTCTCCGCATGTCTGCGGACTTCTGGATCGCGATGTGCTTGATGTCGACACAACGGTCCTTGATGTTGGCGAAATATGCAAAAGGGAGTTCTGGCTGACGACGCGACGGCGAGTTGCTATGGTCCATCATGGGAAATGGATGTATTGGTCGGCGATCTTATGGTTTTGATTCATGCTTACTATAAACGACACAGACAACCTTAGGCTGCGTTCCAAATCTAACGGCGTGTGTGTGTGCTACATGTGCAGTGACGTGAAGTGACGTTGTACTAACGATACTTTCCGCGGTCTTGGCCTCCGGGCCCAGAAGACGAGCTCTTGGGCGACCACATCAAGGCGATGCACTGTCAGCGAACGAAGCCTTGCAGACGGTAAATCGAACTGGTGTCGGTTAGGTAAGGGATACTGAGTGAAGGGCGATACGGTTTCGTCCCGCAGACACCAGGTGACTCTTCACATCAAAGAAGTGACGCAGGGATAAAAGAAGGGGGGGGTTGCTGATTGCAATTTGGCAGTTTGGCAGTTGGCAGCCTCGTGATGTGCGAGCCGGGATGGAGCTCCCAGGAGCTGCATTGGTGCCACCTCTGGACAGGCATACAGCTTCTAGATTGACTTTGCTCTATCATACATGCCGTGACGTTCACGATAACCTTATGTCGTCTTCCCCGCGAAACATATAAGATGGGTGGGAAGTCCAGGTGATCGATCACAAACTTTGGTAAGTGATTATCTCAATAGCGTATCATTCGAGCAGAGCGGCATATATCCATTTGAACATCATCAGCCTATAATCACATCCTGGCATAATCAGAACCACAGAAATGGCACCAAAATACAAGACCAGCCAAACCGTCCGCTACAAGCCCGTAGGAGGTACGCTCCATCCTCATCCTCATCCTTCTCACCAAATCCCCATCACCACAAATCAAAAACCAAAAACCAAAAACCAAACCGCAGCTCATTAACCATGAACCTTATCAACAGGCCCCGCCTCCAACCCAAGCGAGAGCACCGGCAAGATAACCGACGTGCTGACTGAGCCCGGTATGCAAAAAAGCTGATCGATTGATCCAACGCCAACGTGCCAGGCCAGATGCTGACGAGATAGTGCTGTCTCTATGGTGCCTCAGCTGCCGCCTCCGTACTGACGGCCTCGAAAAGACCTCGAACGACAACACGGGGAAGATGACTACGGTGTACGAGAAGAACATCTTCAGTCCAGCGTAGCGGGTTTGATGTGTGGGGTGGGAGACGGTCATGTCACGGGGGTGGGGGACGGACAGATCGAGATGGTGAGGCGTGTAGGATGGCGAAAGAGTGTGACATTGGTGCTTTCAAAGTATCAGAAGGCGTAAAGATGCCATCAGGTCTCCATGACGGAGTGACTACGTGTTGGTCGTGTCGTAATCAATCATCTTGCAACTATGAATGTGGCAGAATCATGATTTAGGTGGAGTGCAAGTGGTGAAGGTAATCAATTACTGTATTAACGATGTAAGCAGCCAGTGTGTTGGCCTCGATTACAGGTTATCCGAAACTCCATCTCTGTCGGAAGCAATGAACTTCCAGCATGTTCCTCAATAACATCACCGTGTGCTACCAGGGCACTCAATGCAACCGGAGTGTGCTCCGACGCTTCCCATGATCCCAGTCAACCAGTGTATGAAACTATCCAGACACCAACCCGCGTGTTCAAACCCGTGACTCTTCCATGAGCCATCCTCCGATCCCATAGTGATTGCCAGTGTAGGATCCCTCAGATGTACAAGACTCCGAGGAGGAGGAGGCCGACAACGGCAGCTCGAGTAGCCGAGGTTGGTCGACGAGGAGCCGCATTCTTGTGGGATGCTGGGCAGCGGTGGTTGAATCGCTTCTTGAACGAGTCGCTCATGTTGCAGAAGTATTTTCCTGCTGTGATGTACCTATTGGTTGGTCAGTCAAGATCATCCACGCGGATCGAGGAGAGGTCATACTGTTCACACTCGCTCCAATCCTCCGTGTAGTAGATGAGGTCGGGAACCCAGACGGCGCCGGACTTCTGCGGGATTATGATTGAGCAGAAGAATGTATTAGTACTGGTTGCGGTGGGCCCTGGGGCGGTGGTAGTAAGGGTTTCAGTAGTCGTGCTGCTGACGGTGGTCGTTGATGAATCAGTGGCGAGGTGGCGCCAATGAATTTCAGTATTCATGCCGACGGTGGTCGATGATGGATCAGTGGCGGACGTGGTGGCCTCTACGAGGTGGCACCAATGAATAGTAGTGTAGCCGTGGGTGGTCGATGAATCACAGACGGTGCTGGGTTCATAGCTGATGATTGTCGAGTTCATGTTGCTGATCGATGGTGAATCAGTCACGGTGCTGGGTTCATGGTTGATGGCTTTGAAGTCCATGGTGTGCAAGAGTGAGAGACGAGTTGACGTGATAGTACCGTCGAGCGGCTGGGCGTCCCAAAAGAGCCTGGATAGAGATGAAGTGGTGATACTGGGTAGTTCTGCTGACTGCACGACGACTCGATGGCGATGAGTGATGGACGGAATATGGATGTAGTTGGGAGAAAGCAGACGGGATGGGCAGACCTGTCAAGGTTTTGTATCGAGACAGGCAGACAGACGGCTGGGACTGGCGCTGCTTCCCCGGATCGCAGTGAAGGGCATGCGGCGGGCAGGCACGCTGCGTGATATAGACAGTTGCACCCTCGATACTGCGACAAGCACGATTTGGATTGATGTCATTGCAGGCTATCTCCCGGTGTACCTCCCCCATCTTGGTGTAGACGAAGGTCGACCGCGGCAGGTCGAGACCTCATTCCCGGAAGGGACATCATCGTGAAAGCCTGAGCTGACGTGTTGTCACTGCCTCGAGACGTACCATGGCAGATTTATGGAGAGAACATCGGCATGAAGACCCCGGATAACGTGTTATCACTACCCTGTCAGTAGCGAAGTGAATGGGATCCGGCTTTCTCATTCTTACTTCTCTCTGATCGTAGAGAAGGCAGTGACAGCAGCAGTAGAAGCGCAACCCCAATGTGCTCTCAATCCTATGCCTTCCGTAGACCCATACCCAACGAACTAGATATGCAAGTGACAATGCTCAAGCAAGCCCGAAGGAAACAACCCACATGGGCAGCTCTGAAGTCATCATCAACGTCGTCGTACCTTCTCTGAGCCGGCACAGCAGTGAGTAGCAAGTACACTTGCGTCACACACTCAGACCAACCGCGAAGTCATCACCCCCCGAGTGATCCTGCACCATCGTCAGCTTTTCCGTGCTTCATTCCAGTGGAAGTCACCTGCAGCCCATCAACCAGCTCCTTCGGACCTTACAATAGGTACCCCTTCTCAGATATCACGCCTGAAAAGTACCTACCCGCCACGGTCCTTCTGGTGCATAGTGTATAGCCAGCACTTACCAGCACCCAAATCAATACGTATTCGTGCTCCTTGACGTACGTAGAGTGTTTATGCCGAGCAGGCGGGTTCAGTCCGGTCCGCGTGTGGCAAGGCGCAACATTTCAACCCCATGTAATCCCAGCGTCTCGTATACACAAGGCAGAATCACAGGTCGAGGTAGTAACATGTGAGGTTGTGACCAGATGTAGCTTCCAGGCCTTCGTTGGTTGACTGGCCGGTAACCTACGTGAGACGGCTATATCATGCGAGCCGCGCCTTCTCGGTCGTCATCTTGCTTTCTTTCGTAGACGTAGCCCAGGCCACCCGCTTGGGTCAATGGTTGGAAACCCAAATGAGTGTTCTTCTCTATTACCTGGGAACGGAGGCGCGTGCACACTGTATACTTTGTCAACTACCAACCGCCAGTCGTTGGACAGCATAAGCTAAGTGAACGGAAACGGCATGAATTACTGCCAGACGGGATCTGTTCATTGACATTATTCAATTGCCCTCCGTGAACGCCAATTCAACGTATACATGACAGAGTGCCTGCATATTGTTTGCCACGAATATCCCGCCATGCTCAGTCGGCGGTGCCCGGCTGGTCGAATACAACACATGTGAGGGGGTCTGACACGAGAGATCCGACTCCTAAGTATAGGTTTCGAGCACATGATCCCCTCCATATGGTTTCCTTCTCGTTTCTAGCGGCCCCCTTGCCTATCGGCTTCGGCGTCTATGTCTCGTTCGACCATCTCTATGGAGCTGAGGCTCGGAAACCTCTTACTGAAATCTTTGATGTAATCCTCCTTCTCTTGGAAGCTCATGTCGATCGTTGGCCGACCCGGCATTCCCACTCCAACGAGCTGCTCGGAGGAACCCTGCTGGACCGTCAGCTGTTTTTGCTTCGGCGGTGACCTTGGCCTCCCACCAGTTGGGATACTGTTCAGGTGCAGTGGCTTGGGGCCCGGGTTTGGCCTCGGAGAGGCCATCGACCGGCTGGGTGAGCCGGGCACTTGATTGGCAGGTCGCACTCGCGTCAGTGCCTCAGACGAGCTGGTGGCAGGTTTCAGTGGTGGTACACGCCCGGGCCCGACGGGTTTGCGAGGGAGCTCTGGCAGTTGTTTTTCTACGGGCTTCTTGGCGGCTGCATCATCCGAGAACTTGCCGTATCCTGACGCCGTGCGCTGAACCTGTTGGGCCGACTTTTGGGACTCGTCGAGCAGGTTCTGCACCCGATTCTGTATGCTCACGGCTCGGGATACACCGCCAATACTCTTGGGTAACGCAGCTGAGCCCCCAGCCTCCCGCTCTGCCATGCGTTGCCGGTATTCTGCCGCAGCTGCCTCTACCCTCCGTTCTTCTTCCGCAAGACTTTGGGCCTCAAGCTCTCGTCGCATCTCTGGGGTCAACTCAGGTTCTCCAAGAAAGTTGCCATCGTCACTTCGGCCGTCAGTTGCCTCGGACCCAGCAATTGGAGTCAGATCACGGCGGCCCATATCCTTGAGGGGAGATGGCGTTCTCGCAGGTACGTTCGAAGTGTTTCCCTCAAACCGCTTGAAGGCATCGCCAAACCTTCCAGCTAGGATGTTCTTGGTGCCAGATAACGATCCAAGACTAGAGCGTTTCGTATGATTCTTGGGACCCTTCTCCTTCTTCTTCGCCTCAGAGTCCTCCATTGACCGGAGGAAATCCACATTGGATTCAATCGCAGGCTCATCCTGCGGGTCAATCATTGGAGATGGCACTTTGGCAGATAGATTGGGCGATGGGTGACCGGAACGTATTGGTCTAGGAGCTGCTTCCCGCTCGCGCAGATAATCCACACTGGATTCCAAATAAGTACTGGCTGGTCGGGGTCGGCCTGAGGTAGAAACAGACTTGGCCAAAGGCTCTAGATATTCGAGACTTGGGCGACCCCCTTCGAGAGATGGCCGTGCAGTAGAAGGTTGCCTGCCGTGGACAGAGGGAGATTGCATGGATGGTAACCGTGGACCGGGCGAAGGCCGAGGCGCCTGAGTTGGCTCTGGTCGTTGTTGTCTCGGTAAGCTCGTCGAACGGTGTTGTTTAGCTGGAGGGAACCGATGTATAGGGGGGTATTCACGAGGCTGCCCTTCCGGAGGAGGTGTACTTGTCATGGTGCCAGTCGAGACCATGGATGGTCTGCTGGGAGGTTCCGGTCGAGCTTGAGGCGGAGGGGACGCGATGGCCTGCAGCTCAGGATTACTAAAGATGATAGCCGAAGCGCGGCTCATCTCTGACGTGGGAGGCGCAGAGGCAGGCGCTTGAACTGGCGCGGGTGATGGGGAGGGTCTTTGAGGTTCAGTCGTCGTCACTACAGGATTGACGCGACTGAAATCTGTTGACTGTCTTTGGATTGCTGGAACTGGTGATGGCTTGGCCTGCGGTCTGGCAAACGCATCCTGGGCAACCTTGTCTGGGACTTGCTGCTGACTGGGCTGTGTCTGCACTTCACTAGAAGCGGGAGGCGAAGTTGGGCTATCGAAGTCGAATTTAGCACCATGATCATGTAGTAAAGCGAACTGGTCGAGAGTTGGGAACCTCGAAGAAAGCTCATCTGCAGCCGCCTTTGCTGCGGCGTTGGAGTCCAGAGCAGCGAAAGGGTCGCCACTTGTAACCCTCATCGGAGACGGACTCGGCCTCGCTGCCTGTGAGGGAGCTGCCTGACTTGTAGTAGTTGGCCTGCCTCGTCGCATAGGCATGATTTCTGGAAGCGCCGCCTGATTTTGCTGTTGCGGGGGAGGAGAGTATACAGCGCCGACAGCCGGTTTGCTTTTGGTTTTCTGCTCGGCAACAGCATGGTTCTCCCCCGTCCGTGACCCAGGCTGTGAGCGATTGGAGTATATCTATTCTCTGGTCAGTCAACTTTCCCGACCTTGTGCTGAGCCGACATACATCATGTATCGGTACCTCACGCCCTTGCATCCGGCAACTTTCTCGAAGTGCTTGGTAGATATTTGGTCTAGATGCCAAGTTTTCTCGTAGCATGGAGGCTTCGAGGTGTTAGTATGGAACGCATTTGCAAGTGATGGCCCAGTGCTTACCGATCAGCTGTTTCAACCTGTCAGAGAACACAGGGTAACTGGGAAATTTATAGCTGGCGTTCAAAATTGCGAGTTGCCCTTGATCCTCGAAGGGGGTCGTGTAGTAGCACAGCTTGTAGAGGAGCACACCCAGAGCCCAAATGTCCGACTTTTCGTCTATTGGCTGTTTTCGGTATACGTCGACCATCTCCGGACTCCTGTATTGCATTGTTGTGTGTCTTTGAACGTCCTCGTCCATCAGCCGGCATTCGACGACAGTCTGGGGCGCGGGTTTTGGCGGCGCTGCCGAGCCAAAATCGCAAAGTTTGAACTTCCTCTTCGAGCCATGCATCGTGATCAGGACGTTTTCCACTTTGAGATCGCGGTGTAGCAGCGGCGGCTTGAGATAGTGCATGCAGGCTACGCCTTCGGCAATGTCAGAGAAGATGTTGAGGATCTCGGGCTCGGTCAGGCGGTGCTGCAATCGTGTGTTCATGAAGTCAATCAAGCCTCCCCCGTTGCAGAACTCCATCAGCAGGAAGACCTCGTAACCCCCACCCTTCATTTCCGATGCATGCGAGTCGATATAGGTGACGATGGGCTTGTGCCCCTTCAGCCGCTTCATCGTCTCGACCTCGGTCCGCATTCCACGCAGAGTCTCCTTGTCCGGCACAGCAACTCTCTTCAGGACTGCTTCGTCGGTTCCATCGATGGGCCGCGGCATCTTGACGAGGTAAACATGTGCAAACCCGCCCTCCGACAAGTACTTCTGGATGACCACCCTGTGGTTGCCGACCTGGATTTTGGTTCCCGGGGTGAAGGTACCAGCCGGGGCGGAGGGCGCTTGCATCTGCATTGGTGGCGGCGCGCCGTACACGGCTTGCTGGGCTGGCCTAGCCACCGGTACATTACTGTTGTAGGAAGCCATGATCGTGGTCGAAGGCGGCGCCGTCGCGGGAGCAGAGAGGAATGGGAGCTGGTCGGTTGCAGTTGGGACGGCACGGGACGGTAGAACGGGGGTTTCACGGTCGTGGCATGGAGGCAATCGGCACGCTGCAGCTATATTGGGCACATAGCTGGACGCACAATCGAAGGGGCAACTGAACTGGTTTGTTGGTTCGTGAATGCGCCAAAACGCGATGTCGTGCCGCCTGGTCTTGCTGGATTTCTCTCCCAGGCTGGCGTAGTCTGACGCTGTAACGAGTCAATGCCAAAGCCCATGCCAATGCCACCCTTGAATTCGGTTGTTGCCGTCCATACTCGGCTGATCATCGGGGCTATGACGATCAAGCCCCTTTTCTGTTAGCGGGGACTACCTAATCGTCACGAACCCCTGGCCCACAATTGAGCCCCACTGCTCTCCGTACACCACGGACCTTAGTACCTAAGATCCTAGCAGCCTAGATAGGGGGTGACCGTACCCACTACCACCAGCACGAAGGTCTGAATATCAAAGTGTTTATACAGAGGAGATGGCCCTTCAATGCTTACACTGCAGCGGTACCGAATACCATTAGTCGATGCCTTGTTTTACGGGCTGTCTCGACATCTCCTGTTTCGTGATCTCCTTCGTCCAAGTACAAGTGCTATCACAGTCAGCGCGAGGGATGCCTTGGATACCTCTTATTGATACTCAGATGATATAAACAGTCTACCTAAGATCCTGAAGCCAGACAAACATGACTACTCAGATTCTTGAGCAACCAGCCACGTCAACCGGGGGACGTCTATAGTACTTGGTTTGGTAGATCTGTCCAATAAACCGACAGTGCCTTCTTCATTTGGTCTCTTCTGGTCTTGTCAGGGTGGAATACTGACCACTTCCTATGACATTGATTTCCCGGCTGTGCATGTTCATTGCCTATGCGAATGGTCATACGGGTGTCCGATGTGATATGCATACTAAGTCGGAAGAGGGCTCTTGTCCACAGGCGAACTTTTTGCTACGAGTTGCGAAACATAACCAAGCTCACTGCTTGACAGCTATTTCATGCCTACTTGATGTTCATTTTGGCCCGTATGCACTGGAGGGTAACCGGTCAACACAAGCATCCAGGTTCACGTCATGACCATGCGTTTCTGGCACTATGTCTCTTATTCACCACATATTTCTAGTATGACAATGGATGAATTCTCTAAGTCGACGCCTTCCCAGCCATGCAGATCCATCGCGATGCCGGTTTATCGCCCTTCTGGTCCAACGCCGCCCAGTGATTGATTACTGCCAGCGGCATATGCATAACCGCTACTCGGTGTCAGGAGCCGCCACAATCCAGACCGGCCTCAACTTAGGCATCTCGTCAAGTGTTTCCTTGACCCAAGGAATGCTCATGTCCACAACGCTTCCTTCGGCGAAATGCTCTGATCTCAAACCTGCGGGTTTCTGCTGCCACTAAAGCGACTCGAATCGAGTTGATAGCCATATGCGCTGCGCCTTGGGGACAAGTCCACGCCACCAGAGTTCTTTTCTCTCCTTGGCTGTCCAGTGGTAATGTTGCATGGCATTGCCGATGAAGCATTCGTCGGAGCAGCTTTGAGCCATTTGTTCAGCAGCATGGAAAACCTCGTCACGGTCGAATAGAAATACCGCCTTGCCCTGAAACCCGTAAAAGTGCTTCGGTCGACGGATGTTTAGGTAGTTATGGCCGAAACGGAGGCGGGGAAGCACGTTGACGGTGTTCAGGTTCTGCCATAAGTCGGGTCGTGAGGCTATCCCCCTCAAGATGGAATACAGAGATGATTCAATACTCATTTCTCTTTCGATGGCCGTGACTGTCAAGGTTCGCAAAGCCTTCCAGATGGATGGGAACATGACCCTCGGGTGCCATCGTAAGAAAGCGCTGTCGCGTTCTGCATCAAACCAGATTGCCTGAGTCCGTACTCTGTTTGAGTGATGCCAACCGCCGTGCAGATGAGCAATTGCACGAGACTCACTGCAGACGTGTGCTACAATGTGAGAGCAGCCCGATGAGGAGTAATCATCTAGATACAGCAGTCGGTTTTGCGGAATGGTGAGCTCCCAGATCATGATCCGTATCTCAGGTGGCAGCTTCGGGAAGTGGTGGAATTGAGCGGCGCCCCATGCTTTGCGCGGTGAATCCATGATGGCCCGGTTTCCTTGTGGTGTGTAGGTACCTAGGTACCTTGATAGGTGTTCGTGGAAGAGGGAGTTATTGATCTGAACAAACCCCGATGCCGTGAACGTTACTTGCGAATGAGACTTTGGCTCGAGCCTGGTGGGGCTGAATCGTGCGTACGGCTGGCTGCTGATGACAGTGAGGTTAGCGAAGGCACCACAGAGACACTTGTGGCTACCGAATCTGGCGTACCAATACGATGGGCCGAAGCAGGCGAGCGACTGAAGTGACAGGCTCGGGATGACCTCAAGGCAGTGCAGCAGCCGGGACGATACTGGGATATCTGGCGAGACGTCGCGACTGACACAATAGGCCGGAGAAAGACCGGGTTTGTGGTTGTGAGAAAGCTCGCAACCCTGGGCTGTGTAGGAAATGGTCGAGGAAAGTGGGCAGTGAGTGTGTAGAGGGAAGAAGGTAGGTATGGTCGAGATGCGGTTGATGACGTAAACCCGAGGTCTCGCGGTCTGGCGGGTAATGGTAAAATAGAGCAGAAAGACGGCGCAATCAGTCGAGTAGAAGGTAGCCTTAAGTACGCAATCAAGGTCAGCTGTACTAGGACTGCGAGCCTCGAAGGAACAGACTCGCCGAGTCTAGTGTGAAGAGCTGTAAGGTGGTGCAAAATGGCGAGAACGAGAGACGTAGGTGTGTGTATATATGTGGTAGGTAGCTGCCAACTTGTGGTTCGCAGTTTCCTTGCAGCACCCCGGGTAAGCGGTGAGGAAGGCGCGGTGGAATCGAAGGAGAGATATCGGATGGGGGAAAGAGGATACCAAATGGTTTCGTAATAGGTGGGTTGAGAATGGCGGTGGACTCCAACGAGGAAACGATGTACCTAAGGGGACGGCAATACCAGCCCATTTGCCCGTTGGACAATGAGAAGCCGCCTGTTGAAGAACGACGAACAAACAGGCAAGGGGTCAGGTTGAGAATGGCGGTCGACCTCAACGAGGAACAGAGTAGGTGAGGGTCATATATTTGCCTATTGAAGAACCTTACGACAAATGGAAGCAAACAGGCAAGGGGTCAGCTGGTCTGCTGGTGCAGTTGCCAATACAATGTGCTGTTGATTGAACCCGTGAGGTACGAAACAATAAACAATGAAGAGCTCAATGGCTGGCGTGGGCCAAACACACAAAGACGTCAAGCACGACCGAGATTCTTGTCAAAAACATCTATTTCCGCTCAACATATGCCCAGAACTCCGATAATGCCCATACCTAGATACTGGTTGCTATCTCACACATGATTCATCTATAGTTTAGCACCGCTGACGACCTTCTCTGAGATGTAGCTGTAGCGTACACTCAGCTCGGTCCAGAGCCGCCCTCGTCATCCCCTCTATCGCCACCTGGTCCGTGGTTGTTGCCATCTAACAGTAGCTTGGGCTTGATGTAGTCTTCGTCCAGCTGCCGGAACAAGGCCTGGGGGTCGTGCGAGGTAAAAAGCTGCCTGATCGCTGATCTGGTAGATATAGGAGCAGCGGGTCGATGACCAGACGTCGGGTAGGAAAACACGCCCTCCTCTTCTGAAGTACCACCGGGCGTGAGTATGGGACTCGACCTGCTCCGGGGTGATCTGCGCGCTGCAGGTGGCAGATCTGAAGTGTCAATGTCGCTCCCGAAGTCTGAGTCGGACAAGCTGCCAGACTGGGCGAGCAAGTCAGCCGCCTCAACCTCCTCGCTCACTGCCTGGTGAGAGCCCTTACGGCTCAGACTTCCCCCACGCGGAGTTAGCTTTGGTGAGCTGTGCCCCGACACATAGCTGCCGCGCTCCGGCCCCGCATTTCGCCTGCCGTTTGCATGATCCACACGATCTAAACGGAGCGAGCCATTCCTTTGTCGTGGTCGTGGATTGTAACCAATACCGGTTCCAGATCTCTTATAGTAAGACCCGCCAGGGGCTGCCTCAATATCAAACTCGTCATCGCTGTCCACTTCCTCAACAACCCCCGTTCTGATACCCAGAATCTCCAGCATTCGGGCTGTCGTACCACCAAAGATGATCACAGTGAGTACCACAACAACCAGCACAGTAGCCTTGAGCGCGTAAGAGTTTTCTCCAACCAAGAGAGCAGCCAGTGCTACCCCGACAGCTCCGCGCAGACCGGCCCAGAACAGCATCGCCTGGTAGCTATAGGGGAGCTCGTCGGGGACCTCCTTGCCTTGGCGACGTGCTCGATAGTGGTGGAACCAGTTGATGGCTTTCGACAAGGGAAACACGGCGACCCATCGTGCTGCACATACGGCAAGTACGGTGACAATGATGAGGAGCGGCTGGAACTGGAGATCGTTATCGGTAAATAGTGAAAGGCCCAGATATATGAAGATGAAGTTCTCAGAGAGCTGGGACAAGATCTGGAAGAAATACTTGGTACTAAGCTGACTCCGCCGTGACATGTTGAAGTAGGCGTAGTGTTTGAGGGTGATACCGCAGAAAAGCAAGGACACAATGCCTATCCAAAGGTCAGCCGAGTCTTACCACAAGCCAATATCGAATCTGAGCGCAGTGACGTACCTGACATGCGCACGGCTTGCGAGAAGAAGTAACTCGCATATGTAATCAGCACTATCAAGCAAGTCTCGATCTGAGGGTATCTCCTAACGTATGTGAACTTCAAAACAAGGGCTGTACCGACGCCAACGGCCAAGCCGATGGTCAAGCTGCCGAAGAAGACGAGCAGGAAATCGCCGACACCTAGGAAGAAACTGCCTACTCCGTACGACACAGCTTCGTCGGTAGCGTACTTCTTGTCCTGGGCGGTCTCGAAGATGACGATTGCGATTGCGTCATTGAGGATAGCTTCGCCGAAGATGATGGTATACAACTTCGGATCGACTTTGTAGGTATTGAAGATGGCCAGAATGGTGACGGGGTCGGTGGCAGACAAGGTTGCACCGACTGAGATTGCATCCTTGAAGGACATGGTCAAGCCTTCAATGGGTATTCGGGTGTAAAGCCACAACAGAAGGCCTATGACCACGGCAGACAGAAAGGTTCCAGCAAAGGCAAAAACCAAGATGGTCCCAATATTCCGGAAGAAGTTGGCCTGGTGTAGCTCGTAACCCGAGTTCAGGATGATGGGCGGGAGAAGCAGGTTGAAGAAGATCTGGTAGTCGAAGCTGATGAGATCTCGAACAGAGGGTCCCGAGGCCACTCTCAAGATCAAGCCAACCGTCATTCCTAATGGTGATGGTCAGCGGTCATGTCTCTCATCGATCCTTCGATCCTCGGAGTTACCAACCGGCAAAGATGGAGATGACGGTCTCGTGCACGGCCTGGATCTTCTTCTGTTGCAGTATGTAGCTCGTGAAGAAAGCAATTATGAGGAGTATGATGGAGATGAAGACGGCCAGTGACGTGTTCACTTCCTGGTCGCCTTTATCCGTATCTATTGCACATTGTCAGATGTCGCTGAGCGTCGGGGACGTCGGGGGCGGGACGTTGCATGGGGTTCGTGAACTCGTACCATCGGGGTCTGTCTCGCCCTCGGCGCGTCCTGCGAGAGACACTGGATTAGCGAGTGGTCGGATGTAGAAGTGACAGGAGTCGCGTCGGTCAGGACTCACTGGCAATCTCCATGACGGAGCTGGCAATGGTCGACAGCATGCTGGCGACTCAGGCTGCGGCCAGACGTAGGCCGCTAGGCGGGATATTGGTGCTTTCGGGATGTGTACGTCTTTTGCTCTGACGGGAGCAAATCGACGATGGCGTGCGAAGTCATCAATCGAAGAGGACCGAGGTCATGCGGGGTGATGCGAAGTCGTCGAGGAATTGCAGTGGGCTGTTGTCGCGGAAGATCAGAGTCGTCGCAGTCGCAGGCGCAAATCAAATGTCGAAGTCGAAGTCGACAGCTTTCACCTTTCCAGGCAGCCCAGGCCACTAATAGTAAGTTGCAGGTTGAGGCCACGCGCAAGCGATCCACTTATCAGACTGGATTTACTGGAGAGTCTGGAGATCCCCGACAGTAGCGCATTGTACCACGGATCCATGGTGGGACTCGGGAGAGCCCCACCATTGGAACCATTGGACCTGCATAGGAGGTACCTACCAACATTGGACCTTGATCTACATATGGGGGTTGACTGTATCAAGGGTTGGATGACAGATTATTTATATGAAATCTTCGTCTTTCGAAAATCTTGGTGTTTCATTCAACATGCTTCGTACAATGAATTCCGTCTATGGTTGTCTGGCAGACAACACGACGGTGTTCATTTTGTCTGTCGTTTCTGAGCTCCGTCGTTTCAACGAAGCAGCCCGTCTTCTCTGGAGGGCAGATGAACAGAGGCATAGAGGCATAGAGGCATAGAGGCATAGAGGCAGAGGTACCATCGTGATGACAGTCTCCCATGACTTGTTAACACGGGTTCCCCTATCAACCCGGTTCAGAGAGTCTGGTGAGGGCCGTCAGCCCATGCTGAGATGAAGAGATGGCAATAGCTTGAGCCCTTGAGCTCTTGAGCCACTGGGTTGCTTTGTAGAAGAACACTCAAGCACGCTTCAGACCTACCTATCTGAATCGCACGTACCAGTCAAAAGCATCATTATCGTAGAGTAGACAGGATTCGAGCTTCCAGACGTGGAAGATTGATGGGCAGGTTCTACAATATGGAGGGTTCTGTGGCGGGGCAGAAGTTCCTGCCGGCTTGTGGCAGCTGAAGTGGGCCCCGTGATGGATGTTGCAGCTGACGGTGACGGCAGCCCTCCGGCCCTCCGATGACGGAAGGCGCTTTGGTGGGATTCAGGAAGCACCGACGTATGTAATAATTATAGCTGCAGGTACCGAACCCAATCATCACGAGCCTCTTCAAACATGACCCGAGGGAGCTTTGGAGCTACCTGTCACATCACAATTCGTCAGACTTCCGTCGTGTAGAGTACCTATACACTTACTTGGTCATATAGATTTCAGACCAGCCCAACCCTCCCGTGTCAGCAATCGCAGTCGTTGGTGTTTTTAGACGCCGTCTCGTCGGCCCGTGTTCTTAACTTGTCCACCCGCCTCCAGCTGTCACCCATCAAACGTCACGAGAGACAGCCGCAGCTGACCACATCGGCACTATCTGTGGCCGCATTCCTGTCTGCGACACGCCCGCATATCTAAGCGCATTGATTCCCGCAATCAACCGCGAAAGGACATTCCATGACGAACCACTGAACGCGTCGCAGCACGGAAGAAAACCGAAGCAATCCATTCCGGACATAGCATTCAACCCTCAGGGCATGACCTCGTCATCGTCGAGCTCCTTGTCCTCGGACACCCGACATTCAACCCATTCAAACAGTCGTTGGCACGCGCCGCCGTCAAATACAAGTGGGAAAGATGGACCTGCATGGCCAGGCGGTAGCGGTACACCAAGGGGCATCGAAGCGGACTCCAGGCATGGTAGCATCGACGAGAACTCGCCCCTCTTGTCCCCCGCGGGCGCAGAGCAGGATACCTTGATTGGAGGGCGCACAGAGCGTGATGAACACGACGACGAACAGGACGAGTTCCAGAAGACCAAGGGCTTCTGGTACCTCATCCTCTTGACAATAAGCATTGGAGGACTGCAAGTCGCCTGGGCCGTCGAGCTCTCCAATGGCACACCGTACTTGCTGTCTCTCGGCCTGACCAAGTCTCTCATGGCCCTCGTGTGGATCGCTGGTCCCATTACCGGGACGCTGGTCCAGCCCTACGTTGGCATGTTGAGTGACAACTGCAGAGTTCCTTGGGGGAAGCGCAAGCCGTTTATCCTCGGAGGAGCTGCTGCTACAGCGTCGGCCCTGATGTTCCTGGCCTGGATTAGAGAAATCGTTTCGGGATTTCTGGGCTTGTTCGGGGCCGACCCTGAGTCGAAAGGAGTCAAGACGACCATCATCGTCGTAGCCGTCATCTGGATCTATGTCCTCGACGTGGCAGTCAACACAGGTATGTACCTTGGTTCTGCTATGTGTTCCATCCCTGCGAGACGCTCATGCCGTTACAGTTCAAGCATCCATTCGGGCTTTCATTGTCGACTGTGCGCCATCCCATCAGCAAGGTGAGTCATTCCAATGGATACCCTAAATCATTTTGTATTTTAATATCCGGTGTAGAAGCTGCAAATTCTATGGCTAGCAGATTCGTCGGCGTTGGTAACATAGTTGGGTACATCGCTGGCGGTACCAACCTTCCGAAGTATTTCTGGTGGTTCGGAAGATCCCAATTCAAGGACCTATGCGCTATCGCTAGTATTGCGCTGTGCTCTACGGTGTTGCTAAGCGTTTCGGTCATACACGAGAGGAATCCTCAGCTCGAAGGCCGCCCTGCCGAGAAGAAAGCGGGTGTGGGGACATTCTTCGTCAAGATCTTCGCCTCGATCAAAAAATTGCCGCCGCAAGTCGCTAAAGTCTGCACCGTGCAGTTCTTTGCCTGGGTTGGATTCTTCCCCATGCTATTCTACACGTCTTCGTACATCGGCGAAATCTACGTCGAACCTTTCCTGGAGAAGAATCCCAACATGACCAAAGAGGAGCTGGATGATCTTTACGAGAATGCTACCCGCGTGGGCACCCACGCACTTCTGATATTCGCCATCACTAGTCTTGTAACGAATGTGCTACTCCCCTTTTTCATAGACCCAACTTATGACAACAATCCCGTCAGCAACGCACCTGGAGAAACTCCTGGGGTACTCAACGACGACGATTCGGGTGTCAAAACGTGGTTAAATCGGCTGGTAATTCCCGGTTTGACGCTCCGGAGAGCATGGCTGCTGTCCCATTTCCTCTTCGCGGGCTGTATGTTTTGCACAGTTCTTGTGCGGACAGTTGAGGCCGCAACCGTGCTCATTGGCCTTATCGGCGTCTCCTGGGCTTTGGCGCTGTGGGCGCCTTGGGCGATCATCAGTGCCGAAATCAGTCGTCGCGATGCCCTGCATCGAACTCGACAACAACAATTGAGGCCCGTGAGCCGAGAGGGAGAGTCGGACGCTTCGCCATCCGCTGAATCGTTCCTTGATCAAGAACGCCGTCTTCAGGACCCCGAGGACGAGCCAGACCAGGCAGGCGTCATCCTCGGCATCCACAACATGGCCATCGCATCACCACAGATGATCGCTACTCTCGGTTCAAGTGTGATCTTCGGCTTTTTCCAGAAGGAGAGAGGTGTCCCAGGCGACCACAGTATCGCTATTGTGCTAGCTTGTGGTGGGTTTTTCGTTCTTATTGCGGCATACTTCGTGTACAAGATTCAAGATGGTATGTCGACACCGGCCGACGCCGCGTTTGCTGCGGAGGAGGGCGAGGCAACCGCCATCGGACCTGCCTCTCCAGTAAACAAACGAAGCATGGATACACCCCGTCAGAGCATGGAACGAGCCACACTGGCTAGGAGCAGCAGTTATGGTGCTGGATTAGAGTATTAGGTCCCATCTGACACACAGATAGTCTGGGTACTGGATGGTCTTTGTACAGCTTCATGGACCAGTCGGTGTATCAGGATTACTTAAATGGGGGAAACTCGTGGGTTTTTCTATGGCGTTGGATCCCGGCGGCACTGTACCAACGCCGCGCTCGAGGTATCATACGTTTTCCCGTAGCGATAGAACAGGGTTTACAAGGAAGCGAAATATAATCTTCGAGTTCATACTTCAGACACTTTGGAACTGTCTCGCTCTGCGATGAAGCTGGGATATCGGGTAAAGGTCCCATTCCTAGACTGGTTTCTCAGAGCACGTGCTTCAAGTGGCCCCCGAAAACTTGTGTAAGCTGCGGGAACTCTCTTACCCCAGGACAAGGAACTCGGAAGACGCGATGATGAGTAACAATCAGATAGGCCGTGACCCTGGAAATCTCAAATAGTATCGTCTGCGGCGTCTTGGGATAGTAGCGGAAGCGGCTCTTGTAATCTGCCCTCATAGGCTAAATTCGACGACAACCTCATCCCACCGGCAGTCAACGGAGGCTCCCAACCCGCTCAATTTATTGCCCTTGGCATCCAGACTCATCACCAACACCCTCGTGGCGGTCTGTGTTGCCTCCCTTATATTGGGCCTGGACCGTACTTGGATCACGCGCGCAATCAAAGGCGGACGGGTCGAACAATGTCGTTCAATGGGCTCATGTGCCATTCTGGTCTCGACCAAATAGACGTAGAGATCATTATATCAACCCCAGAGATCCCCGGAGATCTTGTCTGGGCCCTGCCACGGCAAGGTCTTCTTTCCCGACTTTGTTGTTATCAGGTTCTCAAGAGCTCCCGGCCCCCTTTCTAAGCAAGGCTCCTTCTTTAGCAAGCTTCTGAAGTCAGGTTAAAATCCGGGACTAAATCTCGCGCGCGATGAAGGCCTCCACAATCCTCCTCGGCGCCGTGGCGCACATCGCCAGCGCAGCTGTTATTTGGGATGGGCGGTTCAACGACTTTGGCACCTCGGCGGACCTGGACAAGTGGTCGTGGGCGAACCAGGTCAGATTCTATCTAGTTTCCAGCTTGCTTCCCTCTCACCCTGGACTCCGGGGTGTTTTCAGTCTTCAAACATGACATTGCTCTGGAGCTACAAAGCCCCCCTATTTTACTCCAACTCCAACTCCAACAACCATCCATCTTCCAGACACCCATCCCCTCAGGGGCAGATGGGAAGCAATCACTTACCGTTTAATAATTACTGACTCGCAGAATATTTTCCTGGTTAACAGGTCGGTCCCTACCAGTACTACATCCACGGCTCGGGCACGGTCGACAAGTACATCAACCTGTCGGCGGACTACAAGAACCCTGCCGACACGGTGTCGAAGCAGGGCGCCCGGTTCACGCTCGACAGTACCGCCTACTGGAACGGGCAGGACATGCGACGCATCGAGCTGATCCCGCAGACGACGGCGGCTATTAATACCGGCACGGTGTTTTATCACTTCAGCGTATGTTGTGTCTGACTGCCAATGCTTGTTTCCACGAGCCACCCCTTTCTTCACAAGAGAAGTATCATCCACACACCTACCCCACTTCTCACTTCCCGCTTCTTAACTACCTCTCTACAAAGAGCAACTTGACTACCGACTAACTCCCAATCGCTACCAACAGATGATGCGAAAAGACACCAACGCGCCCTCCGTCAACCGCGAGCACCAGATCTGCTTCTTCGAGTCGCACTTCGCCGAGATGAAGTACGGCTGGATCTCGGGCGAGTCGGGTACATCGGACGCGAACCTGCAGTTTATGGTCTCGCAGAACTCCAAGTGGAAGGCCGAGTGGAAGCCGAATGTCTGGCACAACGTCGCTTTTGAGATTGTGAGTCCTTGTTTGTTGCTTGCTTGGTCGTATGCAAAGGAGGAAAGGGAGGGGAAAGGGAAGACGTGGACGGTGATGACGAAGACCGATGGAAACCGGCGAAGGATTTACGATGGACAGACAGACAGGAAGACTAAATGACCGACTGACTGCAAACAGAACTTCAGCAGCAACACCGTCGGGTTCTGGCACTCAGAGGGCGGCGTCCCACTGACACAAGTCGTGGCGCCCGTCTCGACCTCGACCTCGTCCAACGGCGCCGACTGGCATCTCGGCGTCCTCGAGCTGCCTCGCTCGGGCTACAGCGACGCGAACGAGGACTTCTACTTCTCGGGCGTCTTCATCGAGAGCGGCACTATCACTACCACCGTCGGCGGTCCCGGTAAGTGATACCCACCCATCTTGAGGACTGTGATGGTGTCTGTCTGTTGTGAACTCGTGCTGACTGGTTGGTGTCTTAGCTGCGTAGGGTACTCGGAGTAGAGGTGATAGGTCTTGGATTGAACTCTTAGCAAATATATTCGGGAGTCCGGTCAGGAGACAACTATGATGACGAATGAAGCTTGACGAACGTCGTGCTGTGTATATACCAGAAGATACAGTGAAGCAATACCCCAGTCCCCCAGTGCCGCCGGAAAAGGATGTGTAAAGGAGTATAGCCCCGAACATCAACACTGGTCAAAATTTATTCCGTCCCAGCCACTACGTAGGCCATCACTCGATGCCATGCTCCTTGCTCTCCACCCCCATATCCGCCCGTTCTGTCCCCGCTGTCTTGCGCCAACGCCTAGTATTACCAGTGAACAATTCCACCAAGCCAAATCAAGAAGTGCAGCAACGCACCTCCTCACCCCTCGTACCCTACCCCCTTATGCCACATCTCTACCGTAACTTCCAACCCTCCAAACCTTCTTCCTACCCCCCTATCCCCACATCCAATCCCCTTCCGCCTACCACCACCACCGCCACACTCTCCCTCCTAGCTAACAAGTCCCAATAACAGTAGGCACCTCCCCCGGGATCGGCCCCCGCGAAATATCCCACGAAGTATACCCGGCCCAATGAATACACACACTGTGCCCATCCTGGCAGAACCGATAGTCGCAATACCCCGTGTAGTCCGAATACGACGTCGAACCCGCACCCGCACCTGAGTCCGGCGCCCGCGTCGTCGTCGCCAGCGTCGTCGGCATCGGAGTCGACGTCGGGGCGGGACCAAGCTCGTGCGTGGATGTGGGACCCTGCGGCACGACGCTCAGGCCCGGCGAGTGGTCGCTAATGGTGACGACGGGCACGATCGAGTTCCCCGGCGGCGACTGCTCCGATATGATGCTAGTGCCGGACGTGGATGTGACGGTGACGGTGACGACGACGACGGTGGTGGGCGAGGGGGTGATGGTGGTGGTTTCTGCGGTCCAGACGGTTTGAGTTTCCGCGGTGGAGGTGACGACGACGGTGGTGGTCGCCCCCGCTGCGAGGTAGAGGCCGGAGTGGTCGTTGTCGTTGTTATCTCCAGCGGCGGCGGCGGCGGCTGTCGGGACGGCAAGGGCGAGGGTGTGGTGGGAGGAGAGGAGGGCTAGGGCCAGGCTGGCGAGTAGATTCTCCTTCATCGTGGATAGTATAATGTTGTATGTATGAATGTTTGGTGAGGAATAGGGGTCGAGATGGGTATGGCCTGAGGCAAACGGCTCAAAAAAGGAGAGTTCAAGTATTATAACGAGACAGTCTCTACGTAGGAGGTCGACGCACGACAGGCACTCTACTTCATCCTACGAAGGCAGAGTCAGCGTAGTGAGCAGGTAGACTTCCTCGATCCCTCTACCACGGGCAACATGCATCACGTATCGTCAACGGAGCACGGTCCGGTCAGGAAGCATCGCCCGCGAGGAAAGGACTCGTAAGCACGTAAGACAATGCGCTGGCCTCAGCGCAGCAGACAAAATGGCCATGTTTGCTCCCTCGGTTCTGCTCCAGGCCTTACGAAAAAATATCTCCGGCCGATGTTTGCTCCATGTTGCTCTCACCAGAGTCGTACGGCTCGCCATGCCCATTCAACGGGCGGATAGCGTTGCATGCGGCGATACAGCACGGTGCCGAGGCCGCGGCGGGAGACGACATGACATCGCCAGAAGCGGCTTCGTTCAGTCGTACACACACGAAGCGGTACTGTCCTTTCCGTCGCTTGGAGGTGGCTTGTGCCTACGGGGAAGCCGGCGGTTGGTCTGATCTCGATGAGTTGGAGGTCTGCGATGTGTTCAACGCGGTGTCGACGGCGCTACCTGGTCGCACGTCCATCTATGTATTGCACCGAGAATGTGCGATCTAGATGCGATCTGGATAGGGCTTAGCCAGTGAGAGATGAGACGAATCGATTAGGGACAGGACTAATGCCGTGTCAAGCCATGACGACGCCTCTTCTTCGGTTTCTAAGGGACACTGCAACCTGGCATCCTCGATGCGCGTAGACCAGGTTGCTAGCTCTTCGAGAACTATTCATACAAGCCCAATGACAGACCTCCGATCCCTCCTCCGAGTCGTCGAGGAAGGTCACTCGTGCTCCACGACCATGATCACAAACAAGATCGTTGCTCGACGTCGCTGCTCAGGAGCTAGCAGCAAATACTCTGTTGCCGGCCTTGACCAACAGGGTCATCCACGAGATCATGCTCACGTTCCAAACGAGGCTTCTAAGCGGCGCGAACTTGCGGTTCTCTTGCAGCCAGATGTAGACGGCGTTGTAAACGACGCGGCTGCCCAGATAGGTGGCACAAAGGGTGTTGATAGTAGACGCTGGCACACCGGAGACATTGGCGGCGACGACGCTCAACATGAAGATGGATAAGGTTTCCTGTCCATTTGCGGTTGCGGCTTCGGCACGCATGATGCGGTTTTTGGTCTAGATTGCAGCGTTAGCCATGAACATCACCTATACTAGGGCAGCATATGTGCAACGCGTATCATAGAGTGCAGACAGAGGGGGCATAAACCAGCTAAACAGGCACGAGCAAGAGGCGACACGGAAAGTCAGGCAGACAGCGCCATCGCATGTTGTGACACGCAAACAAAAGCCGCTTAGGGGGAAACCCGCAGTGGGGACGAGGACGAAAGAGAAGAAGAAACAAGGGTCGATCTCTAGATGCAAGCGCAGCTGTGGCGTACTCACCATCTTGTCGAGCTTCTCATCTTTCTGGACGGCCTCCTGGTACGACCGCGGGGACGCGAGGTCGTAGGTTCCGCTGGCTTGACTTTTGGAGTAGACACCCGGTAAAAGGGCCAGGAAGTAGGCTATGGGAAGCTGGTCACACATAAGTCAGTTGTTCGTGTGTCCCTATCAATTGATTGATTGATTGATTGATTGATTGATTGATTGATTGATTGCACAGTCTGGCGGCGAGCATCTCTCGATTGAATGAATAGATGGATGGACGGATCATCATCGGTGGAGGGCTGTGCGGGTCTAGCTTACCGAGTAGAACGAGTAATTCTTGGACATGTCGACGAATGCAGTCATCTTGCCTGTGTGCTCTTCTGTTTCAGTATAAAGCGGTCTTGATTGCGGGTTGATGATGCTCCTATCGATTTGCGAGATGGGTGATGTTGCTAAAGTAGTAAGAAGTAATCAAGTTTGAAGTGGGTGCTCGAGCAGAGTCATGTTGTCATCTGTCCCGACACCGCGCCAAGGAAGGCTGAAAGTACCCCGGCGGCGCTGGGCTCTTACCTCAACACTTGTTGATTTTCATTTGGGACTTTTGATGCAAATTACTGCTTACTTCCGTTTTGTGCTGCAGCCTATTAATCGGCAGCAGGAATGACCGGATGGTGGGCAGCATTCAGTACATACGAAGCAAGCATGGCCCATAACTACCCCTGACACTGCACTCGTACTGTACGAGCATACCTTAACCATCGGCCGGCCCATTCCACTCGTTGGTCTTCGTAGCAGCATAATTTACAGGTAGCCTTAGGTAAGGCAAGGACCAGTTGATTCTCCCTGTCATGTGACTATGGGTCCCTAAGGTTAGGTATTAGTTCATCGGCACGCTGTTAATTAAGGACGCCGACTGCCGCGCCGACATCGCCGCGGTTTTCAGAAAGGCCGGCAAGGACTTCGTGGAGCCGGGCCGTGTCGAGCTTACGCCCGACGGCGAGGGCTGGGCGGCGCTGACGGCGAACCCGTACACGTTGGGCAACTTTAGCTTCTCGCGCGTACCAGCGCGGGACACGGGCGGTGCGATTGTGAAGCGCATCGTTTGCATCTTGGAGGGCCGCGACCCGACGACTTCGGAATCGACAGACGACAGTGCTACATTAAGCTCTCATAAGTCTCCGTACGCGCCATGTTAAGAAAACGCCAGATTACCCGTAAATTTTTCGAAATATTAGAATAAGCATATAAGAATAAGTAGCTTTAGTTTAATACGCCATTCTTAATGCTTATTTCATGATGGTTATTCCGATTCGATAAGTGTACTATATTTTGCTAGACGGGTGATAAGAGGAGACTTACGAGAGCTTAGAGTACCCAGGGCTGCCAGGCTTCCCAGTCGGGCAAGGGGCAACCTGACGATGATCTATATCTGCACATGGTTACCGAGTTCGACCAACCCGGAGCTTGAGGAGGACGTGCTGACGTTAAATCTTCAACATCATAGCAGCTTTGTTAACGACGCTGTCTCCAACTTATTCGCTAAGTTGGAACGCTGCGTTGTATGAGTGGCAGGGACAGCGAACACCGACTAGATACTGACTGGTGGACGTAGCCGAAGATGAAATGCGCGGAAAGAATAATCGTTGCCGGTAAGTAGACCCTTTTTACTTGACTTGTAGGCAAGTGGCTTGAGCTGGTGGATAGATCCCTTTGCGTGCAAGAGGTGTAGCCCATGCGATTTGATCGTTTGTACAATGTTCTTGCTGTGAAAGGGTTAGGGGTAGAGGACGGTATCGGCATCAGCATCGGCATCGGCATCGGCATCGACATCTCTAAGCTCTGGTTGTTCGTTCCCCCTTACGGTGGCGTTTTCTGCCTTGGCTTGTCTCTTTTATCCCTGCGACCCGACATAAAAAAATCGGACGATGGCAAATGCTATGCTGGCTGATAATAAGCCCAAGTCATTTTGTGTGACGTCAAGTAGCCCATTCCAGCCCGATGCGTTAATGCAGCTGTGTTTAATCATAGTAGCTGGTTCTTAGCCCATTCCAGTCGATGGTTTCTTGAAATAGAGTTGTGGAAACAGAGCGGAGGCAGGAACACCTGGCGAATGTGCAATGCTATACTGTAGGTCGTTTAAAAGCTCTTCGGTGGCGTTAGCAATAGCCTGCTTATGACCCATAATTCTTTCTATCATTGACATTATAAATACCCGTGGAACCGCTCGCTATTGCCACCCTAGACACATGTCCTATAGGTCGCTTATTCTTAGTAAATATTACCTTAAAACCCCATGGAAAGATCTAAAAGACTCACCTACAAGCTTATCATTAGGTGTCCGCGCCACTACCAAGAAGCTTTAAATCCTACATGCTATAAATGTTAACTCCTGCTCCAGTGCGGGCCACGATGACATGGGCGGAAGGGCCACTGATCCCATGTGCCTACCTGCAGAGAGTGGTGACCTGTTAGCTGCGTGCGCGCGCAAGGGCGGGTAACATCACTCTATATAAACTATGGCTCATCTGGTTCCCCTTACACTGAGAACTTCTACTCCATCGCTTGCTTCTAATAAGTTCTTCAGACAACAGCAACTGCCATCGCGTATCGACTGGCAACATCATCACCACCAGCATCCCCACCTACCCCTTCACCTTTCCACACCTTACTCATTCCCCTGCCCCCAACATGCGCACTAGCACGCTCCTCTCCGCCCTCCTTGGGCTCGTCTCGTCGGCGTCCCTCGCAAGCGGCGAACCCGTTACCCGTGCCGTGGGAGACAGACAGGCACGCGAGGGGGATCCTGGACGCGTTGAAAAGCCCCAGCGACCTCGAGAAGGCCCAGGCCATATTCGCGCAGTACCTGGACGACGTCGGGCTGGCGAACGGGTACGGGATGTTCTCGATCGCGCAATCGCACTGTTCCGGGGTCGTCGCGGAGGAATGCAAGGGCGTGTTGTTGGTGGAGGTCCTATTCTGTTACAAAGAGGAGAACGGTGTGGACGAGGAGGGCCAGAAAATCTATCCGAAGAGCGAGGTGCTTCGGTGGGCGCGCGAGACGTACAAGTGGGAGCAACCTGACAGCGACTAGCCGGAGCCGGAGGACCAGAATAAGGACGCGAAGTACGGCGCGAAGAACGGCGCGGCGTGAGTCTTGTGAGGGCGGCAGCAACAACGATAGTGATGACAACGGGTGGAGAGAATGCTGGGCCATGGGGTCCTTAGCTGCCCATCCTGGTTGTTGCCATGGGAGATATACACGTTGTGAAATATTGTTCTTGGTTTGTAAGATATGGCTTGTACTAATTGTATCATCAATAAAGAACCATACTTGACGCAAGATTTTCTGATAAGACGGTTTCTCCATTCTAGCCCACCATGGTCTACCTACCAATCCTGCGACGCTCACTGAACAAAACAGTCATCACCACACGCCCCTTCTCCTCCTCCTCTTCCTCGCCGCGGCCCAAGTGCGCTACCCAGAAACCGCTCAGCAACGCGTCTCGCCCTAGGCTCGTCCCCAACACCTCCTCTCCCAGCAAGCCGAATCTTCCGGTCGATGTCCAGCCGTCTGGCCGCCGCGGTGAACGCGAAGCCGATGACGAACGGCAGGTTGTCGTCGCCCAGCGGGACGAAAGCTGTGAACGTGGCCAGCCCGGTCACGTCCCCGAAGCGGTGCTTGAGGTCGAGGAGGAGGGTCCGGCACGGGTTGCGCATAGCCTAGTAGTCGAACATAGGTCTGGGGTCTCGTCGTGGACGGACTGCGCGAGCTGGTGGACGAGCTGCGAGGGCGTGAGCTTGGGGGTAGTATCGCGCTGCAAGGGGACGTTACACGTAACGTTAGCAGTTCGCCTTCTGTAGCACAAAAATCAAGTAGTATGATTTCTTTACATTCGGCGCGGCAGCCCTTTATTCCGTTTTTTCTTCTTCTTTTCCTTATCAGGATGGGGAGCAGTGAGGAGAGTGTGGGTTCTATCGAACACGCCGACTTCTTGTTCTCGTAGCTATGGCGTACCCGCACCTACCTACCTAAGTAAGGGCAGCATACCTAGCAAGCATAGATTGGCTCACTTCCATGCATTCCGTTCCCGCTCACAAGACGTCGTTTCTCAAGGGAAAAGAACACCCATGATATGTGTGAGATGGTCGTAGAGAGGGTCGGGCTAGAGAACAATAAGGTTTTCTACCTATCCCTATCTTACTCACTCTAATCTACAATGCGCTTGACAGCAAGTGAATGGCAAACGTCAATCTCATCACTCAACACCAGATACGAAGTCACAGCACGATGATTTTCGGGGACTCAGTGTGAACCGCCAATTGATTATTCAGCTCTTGTGATAACGGTGCTATTAACTATAGGTATGTCTGCCAGGATTCGTGTCATGCTTTCAGTGTCCAAAGGGGCAGCGGCTGATTCATTATTCCACGCGGCCGGAGTCGGCGCTCGAGTTCATCCAATCTCATCATTCATTAGGATTAAGGGTTACTGAGTACTGCGTGGGAGTCGTCTATTCCAATTCTTGCGTGATCGTGACGGGCTCACAGGTCGGGTTGTGAGGCGGCACTGTCTGCGCCCAGCCGATAGACTGGTAGTAGTAGCCGGTGAGGTATTGATAGCACACGTACCATTGGTCTAACTTTGGGTCAGCATGTTTTGGACCAGAGGAAGGGATGATGTCTCGGTATATGCTATGCAGCACCCGAGACGAGGAAGGAGATTGAAGGTATTGACGGGGTGATGAAAATGTGTCGAAAATGGGGATCACTACTCACAGTAAGCCTTCCCCTCGCCAGCGCTCGGCTGCGTTCCCGCCACGAAAGTCGAATCGTCGTAATAGTTGTAGCCGAACAGCTTGCCCTCATCATCGAAACCAACGCTGAACCCGCCGGAGCTGAAACCAAACATCGGGGCGGCGACGTTGCTGTTAGCCTGGTATTGCAGGCTCATGGGTTGGGGCAAGTTCTCCACAGTGCCATTGATATTAACAGGCAGCTTCCACGAGAGCGTGCCGACGTCGGCGTCGCCGACCGTCGTGTACCCGCTGTAGTTGAAGTAGTACTCGTTGGAGTAGCTGCCGGCGGCAGGGGCCGATCCCGAGCCGTAGCACAAACCCTCGATGGCGGCTCCGGCATGGCACGACGACGCGTAGCCTGTTACATGTGTCAGCGCTGGTAACAGTGGTAACATGCACTTTATGTGCGAATCGTACCGTCGATGGAGCTGTTATCTGTGCCCTTGATGTGCAAGAAGAAGGGGCCTGTCTGGTTCGTCTCTTGCGCAGCGACGGTGCTGGCGGCAATGCCCAGTAGGACGGCTGAGATCTGGAACTTCATGGTGATGATTTGCGGTTGGTGTGTGACGAAAAGCTCGGTTTGTTGAGATACAGTGGGCGGCAACTTTGACTGTCTGAAGGAAGAAAGGCGGAAACGGTAGATCTTTATATCAGTAAGGATATTCGGTGTCTGTTGGCTCGCCTACGAGGTCCGCCAGTCTGCCAGTGACGATCATCACGGGCGGTGGGCTGAGGCGGAGAACGGCCATGGCCATGGCCGCCAATGACGATCGTCGGGGCAACAACTTGGCAAGGGCGGGGATACTGGGATACCAGCGGTGGACCCTGCCACAAGTTCTGCCTCGGTGCCTCCGGCTTCGAATGTCGCCTCTTGAGATGCTTGCAACTTGCAAGTCCCAGGTTCCCCAAGAGACGAGCAACAGCAAGGGCGTCAGTGATAGCCTCTCGTATATGCGCCGTGATGCGATGGCACATCGTAAAGATGACCCTGAACTGCACCTTCCATCATCGCAACCACCCTGTCGCCGTTGGTGAGCCAGCCAACGTGCCAAGCCTAACCGGGCAGTTATCATTGGAGGAATTCGAACCATAACCCACCTTCCGTTCCTTACACCCATGCCCGCCATGCGGCACAGCGCAATGATATGACCCGGGCTGCTCCGTCACGGTTCGAAGTTCGAACCTTCCATACCAGTGTATTGCGGGGAATGTGAGCGACAGCTTCAATACCAAGCGATTGCCATTTGGAGTAGCGCGGGGTGCATCATCTCGTATTGATGACATCCATCTCGAACAGGTATTATCACTTCTTCTGGTGCGCACCCATATCGTTTCGCCCCTCACTCAGTTTGTTTGTTTGTTTGTTTGTTTTGTATTTAACGTGGGGGGTAGCTCCTCAGTAGTGCAAACCACGCCTCCCAGAGCCTCTGCATCGCAGGGTTGTGGAGGTCTCAAGATAATAAGTACAGTCAGTCCCGCTTACGGGCCCATCCCCGTTGTTGCGGCGGTATGACCTTGGGGTCATCCATCTGGTCCTTCAAGGAAGGTTATCTATCAGGGGCAGATTGTTGAAAAGAACTTGCTCTTCTCCACGAATTTTGCCCATTCTGTGCTCCTCTCTCCCAAGTATTGTAAACAGGCTGTCCTAGGCGAGTACCTAGGCAATAACCGATTTTTCCCCAGCCTCCTACAAAAGAAAATGTGTTGTGGTGTTTTCTTTTCACCACAGCTGCAGTGGTTGTTCGAGTCTGTATGCCCAAAGCGTTCGTGGTATCTGGCAAAGTCGCCATGTCCAGATCTGGCCGCTAGAAGTCTGTGTAGAGTGCTCCTCTTAAAAGATATAAGGCCTCTTTCAGTTACTGCATGTGAGTATACTTCTTGATACCTAGGTTCTGATTGGTCTTTCCACCATTGATTGAACTCTTTCTTGCCCTTTCTCTTGAGATCTCTCTTGACCCAAGAGATTGTGGGAAGGTTTGTTGTGTCTGTTTCTAGCATGGCGCCCTCTTTTGTTAGTGTGTTAGCAGCCTTATTACCATCAATATCTCTGTGTCCAGGAATCCACTTGACGGTCACTCCAGGAGTGTGTACTGTGGCAAGTTCTTGAAACCGTAGAAAAATGTTCTGTGATGTCTCGGGTGGAGTCCCATTAAGCCCATCTACCACTGATGTGTTGTCCAGGCAGACATATAGCTGTTTTCTGTATCCAATTGCCCTGGCTGCTGCAAGACCTTGGAGAGCACCATGGACTTCAGCATCCACTACTTCTGCTTGTAGAAGTCTGCCCCTTCCCCGGTATACTTCTTGTGCAGTGCCGCCTTTCCTGATGGTATAACCCCATCCAGTGCGGGTTGTGCCTTGGTCATCCAATTGTGATCCATCTGAGTAGATGACAAGGTCAGTGTTCGTATTTCTTTCCTGTAACCATTGCTTAAAGAGCTCTGTTTCTTTGTCCTTGTCTTTACGGACTGGGGCCTTTTTCCATGATGGCTTGGTGAGTATTGGTCTCTGGAAGTCAGGGACTAGTTGGAAGCTTCTTTGTAGCCTTGTTGGTTCTTTGCGAGCTTGTATTTGGAGCCTGTCAACAAGAGGGTGTCTCTGGTCTACTCTTCCGAGTCGGAAGCCGTGACGTCTTCTTATTGACTCTGCAAGAATTCCTGCTGGAGGAATCTGTGATTCAAAGTGTAGGATATGTCCAGGGTGTGTTTTCCAGACCGGCAGGATAGCTCTGATTGCCGTTCGTAGTACAGCATCTATTGTTCCAAGAAGCCTTTTAATGCGATATGCTGATGTCCCACCTAAGCTCCCAATTTTTTCCATTCTTGGGTACCAGGCCTCCAGGCCATGTGTAAGAATAGGAATAACACAAGTTTTCACAGCCTTCTTGATTGACTTTACTGGAAGTCCTTTGACTGTGTTGCATAGTCCTTGAATGTGGTTTGCTACCCTACTAGCTTTCTTGGCCCAGTAGGAAACGTGATCTTTGAAGTTCAGTTTTCTATCCAGGAAGACACCCAGCCATCGCATGGAGTTCTTTGCTGTTCTGTTCATTGTCCCGTGGCGGACCGGAGGATTGTCTGAGTTCTTTTTCCGTGAGAAATGCATGATCTCGGTTTTGTCGGGATCAAATTCAATAGCGTTGTCGTGTCCCCATTGGTTGAGCAGGTAAAGATTTTCAGAAGCCTTTTTGGCTGTTTCTTTGAGGTCCTTTCCAATGCAGAGAGTTGCTAGGTCGTCTGCATATCTAAAGCGTCTTCTTTTCATCCCGAGTCGGGCACAGATTGGCTCTGTATATAGCATATAAAGAATTGGAGAAGCTGGTGAGCCTTGTGGTAGCCCACAAGTGAGGGCTTTTATATCGGTCACAATACCTTCAAACCGAACTCTTGCGGATTGTTCAGACATGAATGACTGGACCCATCTTATAAGAAAGCCTGGCCAGCCCTGTTCTCTCATGCGAACCACCAGCCGTCCCATTAGGGCAGCATCGAAGGCCCCTGTCACATCTGCTGTGACTACCGTTGCAACAAGGCCTTGGTCAAGGGCCTGCTCAATATCGTGTATGAGTGCAGCTACCAAGTCGGTGGCAGAGCGCTTTGGTAGAGCTCCAAAATATTGTGGAGCTAGAATTCCAAGTTTGATAACAAACCAGGCAATTCTTTTTGCAATGAGTCGTTCTAGGCCTTTACCAAGACATGATAATAGCGATATTGGTCTGTAGGCCCTGGGGTTGGAGTAGTCTTTCTTGTCTGGCTTTGGGATCATCACCACCTCAGCTACTTTGAATGGTTTAGGGTGGTGTCCAATCTGTAGGCAGGTCTGGAAAAGGGCTCTAATATGCTCCCCAATGACTGGCCAGCAAGCTTTCAGAATCCGTACTGTGAGGGTGTCTACTCCCGGGGAGTTGCTCTTGGTCCTTATAGTGCACCCTTCAGCCTCTTCTAGTCCGACATGGTATTCGAGGGGGATGTGTGGCTTGGCTTGTGTGATCTGAACAGACCAGGGGTCGGTGATATCGTTGTCTGGGGTGCTTCGTTCAAGCGTGGCTAAGCGTAGTGCATTTGCTTTGCTCTCTTGTGACTCATAGATTTGGTCCCCAATAATGATTGGTGGGGAACGTAATCCTGCTGACAGCTTGTGCCAGGAAACAATTTTGTACAGGTCTTTTGGTTCAGTCGCTGAATCAATTAGAGTCTGCCAGTACTCTCTCTTAGCTTTTCGGACCACATAGCGAAATTCCTGTCGGGCTGAATTTCGCCCTTCTTGGCTTGTGGTCTGTTTAGAAAGGGCCCTGTATGTCTGAGCAGCTGCTTTGCAGTCATCATTCCACCAAGCAGTGGGCCTAGATTGACCGGGCTTCTTGCCCACTGTCCTGATACAGCCTTGAATCATGTTGATCAAGCTTTGTGTAAATCTATCCACCTGGCCAGGGGATACACCTAGCTGGGGGAGTTCATGAATCCTGGTTTGGACATTGTCTGCCAGCTCTTGTAGTTTGTCGTCCGGTACTATCCAATGATTGGCCTTGGGAACTCGGTCCCGATCTCTCTGAATTGGAATGACTATTCGTAATGTCTCGTGATCTGAGGTGCACTGAAGTGCATCATTGATTGAGGCTTCAGCCATGGGGACATCTGAGAACACCAGATCCAGTACATTTCTATCGTCATGTGTTGGGACATCTGGTTCAGAAATCAGATCCAGTCCGTGGTCTGCCATAGTCTGTGCAAGTATGACACCACCGTGATATCCTGGATTGTTCGAGTCCCAGGATGTGTCGCCAGCATTAAAATCTCCAGCTATAACACAGCCAAAAGGTGGAGTCCATACTTCTAGAATGTCATCCACTTCCTGTGGGTTGTCACATGGTCAGTAGACACTGGCAAAAGTGATGCCTTGTACCTTGACCCAGGTGATGTCTCGTGTAGCATAGGGCCGAAGTTGATCCGCTTAAAGGTGTTTTCTCACATAGATGAGAGATCTGGGCCGTGTACTGTCGCTGTCCCAGGAATCCACTGGGGAGTATATATTGTAATTGGGGTGTGTCTTTACTCCCATTCTCTTGCTTGGTGGTATGCCGACCCAGGGCTCTTGCATCAGAATGATGTCTGCTTGTTCTCCTTTGTAGTCAGCCAGGTTGATGGCTAACTCTGTAGGGCCTGTACTCTTTTGTCCTCCTGCTGTGTTCACAGAATGGATGACTAGGTGCCTGTGTCGATGTGTTTTGTTTGATGTACCTAACATTGACTGACAACAATGGTATCGGCATCTTTGGGATGAGTTGTATCTGTTGTGTCGATTTGCATTGTGGTGTCTTTGTTATTGTTGCTGGGTGTGGACCCAGCTTGGTTTCTGCCTGCTTCGTTGAAGGCCTTGGATCTGGCTCTTTCTCCGGCTAGCCTTATTTCCTGGATTTGCTCCCATGTGTGCTTATGGATGGTACCTTTCACAATCTTGGGGCGGGCAGGGCATTTGTTGAAATTGGCAGCATGAGGTCCTTTGCAGTTGACACACTTTGGGATTGGTTTTTCGCACTCTCCC